AAAAGGAATCAAGAGAAATGGTGGTCGGCTGGTATTTGTTTTAAAAATGAAAATCCACCGGGACGCACGGCGTCGCCCTGTCTAGCGCGACGCGGCGGACGCCGACCCTTCACGTCGGATCGGCGCTTCGGGTGGGGAACGAAATTTGGAATCAGCTGTAAACGAGGGCAGCAACCCCTCCAGCATCAGCCAAAGGCTGTTTTGTTGGCTCGGGGGACCCGCGATACTCAAAATTACACTATACGAGTTTCCAGAACAGCCCCTGTTCTTCGGGTAGCAGCAGACCGAGGAAAAAGCTGTGGAGCGATATCGCGGCAACCCTCGTGTATCTAATGAGGAATGAACGGCAGCAGCAGCAGCAGCAACAGCGATGCCAACACTCCATCAAACATCCCTAGCAATACTTGAGCAATTCTCTTGGCTGATGATCCGAAGATCGACTGGCGATCGTAAAGTTCAGCCTGAAGAGGGTTGGGAGGGTAGCGTGTGCGAGGAAACGAGCCCCTAATTGCCTCGGCAAACATCGACGAGACGAAACGAGTAGCGGCTCGTTTGTCAGGCTGGTCTTCGTGGAGGGGTAGTAGGGGGAGTCCGCTTCAGAAAAAAAAAAAGAGTTCAGTACCAACTTTCGAAACGTAACGCTTGGCAAATACAAGCATCGATCCTTCTACATAGATGTAGAGCCACCCCATTGACCCGAGAATATGGATATAGAATTCGAATCCTAATTCCAGTGGGGATAGGCCAAGGAAAAGCCTTTTCACAATTTTTCGTATTTCTCGAACTCGATCGTTCGGCTCATCCCGCTTGCTCGTAGGTGCTCTTGGTACAACCCTCGGTCGAGGGGATCGCAGGAAGGTGCAGGAGACTAAGAGGAGTGACGCTGCGAGGAGCGGGAGGAGCAAGAAGGAGCGAGAAGGACAGGAGGATGCTCTCTCGACGGCTCGATTCTCGCAGAGGCGAAACGAGCGCGCACGGAAAACAAATCGAACACCACGAGGAGGGAGGAAACTGAAGAAAATGTTAAGAGAATGAGGAAGGGAGAGGGCCAATCTCTCCCTCTCCTTTCCCCTCGTTAGAGAGATTCTCCAGACTATTTTACTCCTCTTCCTCCGGGTTCTTCTCTTTTTACCTTTCTTCCCTATATTCCCTCCCGCTCTGGCTTTTCCCCTTTCGGCCTTTCTTTTGCCTGTTTTTTCTGCAAGAAATACGCACACGTCGATCTCACCTGGGGTTGAGGCGGAGACTGAGGTCGACTCTGGGTGGGCAGGAGGTGGGCGAGGGCCAGATGAGGAGGAGATGGAGGTAGTACCCAGCCGCAAGGTTACTCACTTTCCCCGGGTAGTGCGTACTACGGGGTGGCGCGTGGGTGTCGGTGCGTACGTGAGTCCTGAATGCGCGAATGTAGGGGTGTTACCCAGCACATAATGTCACGGATACTATAGTGCCCGTGTGCCGTGTGCCGACTACACGTATAGAGTACGGCGCGATAACCGTGAGGAGTGCAGATCGATGGAGCAGTGACGTCACGGGGTGCGGGAAGCTGCGTCTCCATGGTGACCGCCAACGGACCCGGCCGGTGTACGTGCACGGCCACGAGGCTCGATGAAATTTTATTAAATTTCAGCCTTTTTTCCGCCTCGTTCTTTCTCTCTCTCTCTCTCTCTCTCTCTCTCTCTCTCTCTCTCTCTCTCTCTCTCTCTCTCCCTCCCACCTGCTCCTTCGCGATCTTCAGCACCTTCGCGCTCCGTTCTTCACCGAATCCCTCTTGTCCGTGTCCCTCTTCTTCCTGCTTCCTTCCTCTCCGCAGGAAATTACGCGCTCTTTGAGCCACCGTAACACCCAGCACCGGAACCCATTAACTTCCCTGTCCTCTATTCTCTACCTGACTGCCGAAGTACAAGCCCACCGAAGCCCTTGAAGAATGAGCTGCGATATCAGTTCTTATCGCAGAGAACCACCGGAACCCGGTTCTTCGTTCGAGTATTGGGTACCTCAGATTCGAGCGATCGATCTTCTCCTTCGATTCGTTCGGCTGTGCATTTTTTTATCCCAAAGGAAAAGTTCGTTCGGTTCGACCGTAAAGAAATACATAATTTCAAGTTGTTTTGCCAACTGAAAAGGCGCGAGTGAGGTAGGAAAATACATTTAAAGACTTTCAGCGGGACGAGAGGAGGAAATCCTGGATTCCCTTTAATCGCGCGACTGCAGCAGATTAATTTCGAAGCGATAAACGAGAGACTGACGGGTCTGGATGATTTCGATGAAAATGGGAGCCAGGGAAGAGGGGGGGGGGAGGTACGTTTGATTCAGGGAGATGCTGGGGAGCCAGAGGGTGGCGGAATAAACGCTGACGGTACCCACGCCGGGCTGGGCTTCCCTCTGTGTTCCCTCTTGTGGGAAAATGGGGCTGCGAGCGAACAAAGAACCACTCGTCATCGGCCAAGAATCATCAATTAAACTTCCGATCCCTAAAATCATGCGTCTCGCAGGCGACGGATCCGCCAGAACTGTCAAGACCCCCTCCGATGAGACACTCTCACCGTCCTCGCTCCCATCGCCCGGTCGCCTGATCGCCCTGTCATTGAAAGTGACGCAACCGATCGGACAGCCTGTCAATTTATGCACTATGGGGTTTACCCGAAAACCCGAAGATTCGCGCTATCACTACCATCTCTCCAGCTGTTATCCTTGAAGTATCTCCGCGATGGGTCAGAGAGAGGAAGCTGGGAGGAGGATTGTTGATAATGAATTTTAAAGCGAAAATCACATTTTTTTAAAAGTAAACACACTTTCGAATAGCATCATGAACATCTTCGCAGGCAGAGGGAACGGGTTGTCGCTGAAGGCTGCAATTTTGAATTCGCGCATCGATCTTCTCATGATCCGAAATCGAGCCGAATTTGTCTTCCTGAATACGTTATCATTTTTTTCATCCGCGTGCTGTATTCCGAGAGACATTTTGTTGGGGCTTCTCGTTGTTTCGCAGAGTCGAATAATTTTTGGTGGCACTGTACCGAGGCCCGCGATGCCAGAGAGCCAGAGAGCCAGAGAGTAGGGGGTGCGAGTGGAAGGCAGGGGATGTGTTTGGTCCGGGAACTCGACGTGATGCTGTATTGATCCGCGAGCACCACGGGCATGACGGCCACGAGCTAAAGTAAGCCGCCACCGCCGCCACCGCCGCCTCCGCCGCTGCTGACGCCGACGGTGTGGCAGAGTGTGGTAGTGTGGGAGCAGTAGTAGTGGTAGAGCCTCCGGTTGCCCTGGCAACCACATCCCTCATCCCAGATCGCTCATCCCTTCGCCAAAAACCACCCCCGAACCGACCTTCTCCTTCCCTCGGCTCACCGGTAGCACCCTATCTCTACACGTACATACATCGAGCTACCTTTAGCCATAGATATACACGTGTACGCGTCGAGGGCATCTAAACGGACGAAGCCGTAGAGCATTTTTGTACCTTTTCCACTTTTCCTCTTTTCCACGTTTCTCCCGTCCGGGATTCGTGTAGTCGAATCCTCTTCAAAGTATTTTGACGTCAGTTCATGAGTGTCACCGAATTATCGATACGCAGCCAGCCTGACCAAGTACATTGAGATTCGGAGTTTTCCAAGAGACGACGTCCTTGACTCCTTGGAATTTGAAAAGTGACACTTTTCAAAAATGCAATAGTTTCTCCTTTTCCCGAATTTACGAGTAACCGGACGGGTTCCAAAGAAGATGGCGCCCCTGTGCTGGTTCCTACGACTCTCGCGTAAAAGTCAAGGAATACCAGAAGCAGGTGTGGCTCTTTCGGAATTCTTATGAGAATTTCTCCAAGTAACCGAGGAATCCCCTGGTCGTGGACCTTCCAGAAGATTTGCCGCTCCGTCCCGATGGAGCTGATGTAACATTACGCTGGGTTGCGTGCGGTAAACACCCCTGACCAAAGTAAAACTAACCGACTGGCCCCTGGGCGATTCCACTGGGGTGGCTAATGCTTCTGCCTGTTTGTTTTGCTTGGATGTCGCATCATTCGTCGGGACTTAGGAACCTACGGAATTGCAACCCTCAGCGAGATTCTGGATGAAGTGCCGAGACGATCGTAACTTCCTTTTTCGTATCTCCCTTTTCGACCCACTGTCCATTCACCCCTTAAACCCACCCCCAACCTTTTTATTTTTTCCCCTCTACTCCGCTTTCATTCTGTCCCCAGCCATTTTCGTTTTTTTTTCCGCCGAGAAAACGGACTCGCCGATTCGTTGCGGATCACCCCTTGTGTGGCGCGTGCGACAGATGCGAGGAACAATGGCAGATCGGGCTGGAACGCTGGGGGAGACTGAGAGGCAGGGAGGCAGGTAGACCAGTTTTGATTTCGGCATTATTATGCCGATGCTGACAATCAGGAAAGAGCAGGAACAGCTCGCAGGCTGTTTTATTGACAGCGACAAGGCATCAGCTGTCGATTTTATTCCACGCGAATTCCAATAAATTACGCGTTACTCTTCCTGGCCTCTCGCTATATCACGCTCGTCTGTATTGGTACGACCATAATTTTTCGTTCTACGCATGAGACTGTTGCCGAGTCTTACAATTACTGGTAGATGCAGCATTAAAAAACCATGTGCTATATCGTATACTTACAGGCTTATCAAACGTTTCCACAATATCAGCTGGGAAATTTTGTGCAAAGAAATAATGTATAATTCATGCAATTACTAGATATAACAGGTGGAGACTCAAGGTAAATGGGGAACATTAGTTAATGAGAAATACATTACAAGCGAATGCATTACAGACGCGTAGGTAATGAGTTCAGTTCTAAATGGACAAATTGGAGGCTAAATGTTCTTCGATTCGAATTATCATGCCCTTGTTCAAAAATATCCTGATGGTAAGGGGTGTCGACCGGATCCCCGAATAGACGAATTTACCCAGTGTCTCGGTAGAGTGCACTAGTTGTTGGTCCAGTGCAGCATACCCCTACCGGAGCGCTATCTCGGTGCGAGTCTTCCAACTAAAATGGGGGTAGTTGCCAAGAAAGGAACGAGCAGGCCGGCGCAGCTCGGGCAAACAATAAATTTGTGCGCAACCGGGGGCCAATGTACCTTTCTCGTTAAACCGGCTAATTCCGTCATTGAAATATTAATTTACCCAGAAACGTTAAGCAGAGTGAATTAGTGTTTGTGTGAATTGCGAGGGTCAAGAGGTCATTGGGCGATATAAAAAGTTGCCGGCACTCTTATGCCCAATACGTATCAATACCTCGAAAAGGATGGGAAGCTGAATCGAGGCATAGTTCCGTAGCGCGAATAAAATGGCTGTGATTTTGCGGGTTAGTCCCTGCCACCCAGTGATTTAATTTCCAACCGATGCACGACGATCGCACTTACACCCTCCTAGTTCCTGATAGTACCACGCGCTCTTATCGCGTTAATTAGCTGACTGTGATCGAGCATATCCAACGATGGGTTTTATCGCGCTGGTGAGAAAAAAATCTTAACGGTCTTTGCGTACAATGAAGAACAAGAGCTACGCCATTTTACCATAGAGAATATCGGTAAGCTTTAAATTATACTTAAGGACTGTTTCTATGACAATGAATAAAATGCATTCAGTAGATAGTGATGGAGTATCATGCGCTACGTGATCCACCTAGCTATAAATTTAAATGGCAAATTATTAGAGACTCACCTGTCACGCTTCGTCCGACGACTTTTTCAGGGCCCGGGCGTAGTCAGGCAGGATCATAGGAAGAACAGGATCAACCTGGAGGAACATGAGGTCCTACGACGGTGAGAGTAGCTCCGCCGAAGAGGACGACAGAAGGGAAGGTCATCCTGAGGGACATCCGCAACAGGGGGGCTGGCATCGTTCCTCTTCTCATCCGACCTGGGCCTGGGAACATCGCAGCGCTGTACGTTAAACTCGATGTATAATTTTAAATTTCTAAAAATTGCTCAAATATTACATTGAAAATATCTATTTCCAGCATCAGCTTCCAGCGCAATCGTCAGGCTGCTTAGAATCAATGGGATATCCAGCTCCCGGCGGATCGAATCCAGGACTTCCGGCCCCGTCGGGAGGATACGTATCGGAACATCCTCCCAGCGCCCCGGGAAGAAGAACTCCTCTGGGTGCCGTTGGTCTGGGAGGATTTTACTTTCAACAACAACCACAGCCTCATTCCTCCAGTAGTTTGTCCGATGAAAATAGACCTGATCATGAGAGGTATTTTATGGTATTTTGAAAATCAAGATTTTTTCCCGAAAATACAAAAATGTCTTTTTTCAGAGCCGGTGCCTCCCGCCTGAATTGTCCACCAAAAACAAAAACTACTCGGCAGGGAAAGAGCGTCCGTTTAAATATTAACGCCCGGGAGCGTCGAAGGATGCATGATCTGAATGACGCTCTCGACGAACTCCGTTCAGTCATCCCATACGCTCATAGTCCGTCCGTTCGGAAATTGTCCAAGATTGCTACTCTTCTATTAGCCAAGAACTACATTCTGATGCAAGGTAAAAGCCTAAGAGTCCTATAAGATTCAAGCAGATTCTTACATCTTACAAAACTGAGCTACCTTTTGTACAGCTCCGCGTTACAATTCCAAGTATCGAAGTGACGAGGAAGGCCACTAAAGTTACGTTCTAATGGAGTTTAAACTTTTTAGGAAACGCTTTGGAAGAGCTCAGAAGGGTCATAGCCGTTCTCCAGTCTCCGCACGCACACACAACCGCGCTTCCTCCGACTCCAGTGTCCTATGATCTCCTTCAGGGTTTTCCTGGGAAGCTTTTTCAGGGAGTTCAAGAGATGCAGGGACTTCCCACGGGAGGAAATCCACAAGGTGTCACGGCTGGCGGTCCGCCAACAGACGCAACCGCAGCTAGCAGCGAATCAACTTAAACAGGAAGGAACCTGTGGAAATGATCGAAAGTATTAGGTTATAAGTCAAATGGAGAAATGAAATTTTACTGAACTCGTCACCTCGTGCTCTATTGCAACTGATGAAAGTATTAGTAAGTAAGAATAAAGATTGATCACTATTTATAGAGCAATAAGACGCCCACAGGATTTCTCCTCTGAGCAGTTGTCAATTCATTGGATTTTCATCCATTGGATATCGTGTTGCTTTGGAATTTACAAAGATACAGACGTTGAGAGGAACAGAAAAAATGTTCATTTGACCAACTAGCCAGGGGATGATCACGTGGAGAATGCGGAATTGAAATTCCAAGTTCTGTCAGAAACACGATAGTCAATATAGCATGTGATACGTGTCGAAATATGATAGTCATAAACCCTATATATAAATCTATATTTAATATTTCGCGTGAGTTTTCAATTTATAATAATTTATTTATATATATATTAAAAATATGTATATTGCGTACGCTCATCGAGAATTTACTATGAAGTGCCAAGGGTTAGTTTCTTGCGTGGAATACGTAAAGCTGTACAAAGCTGTTTAGTTTAAAGGCACCAGTCGGTCATTATGCGATTGATTTGTCACTGGACACCGATAACCGTCTCTCACTATTGTTTGTGATGTTAATCAAATCAATCACACGACACTAGTCAAATACGACTGATGCATTTGAGCTAGATAGTTTTTTATATAGAAAGTAAAAAGAATAACGAGCAACAGAGTGTCAAAGTCATTAATTCAAGTAAGATAGATCAATGTTTGACAGCACAAAGACATCCTGAGTATGTCATTTGACAACAGGACGGTTACTGCTTTGGAATACCTTTATGCTATCAGAACAGAAGCTCGTTGCTCGCATTTGAAACTGAAGAGCAATAATGGACTATTTACAAATTAAGAGATAGGGAGGATTTGAGTAACATTACGGAAAGTATACTATGGTGAATATAATTGATAAAGGAAATCCGTGACGCCAGTATTACTTTTAGAAATTAAAGTATTTATTGTAGAATGTAGTAGCATCGCTGTTTAGTGCTCAAATAAAGTATATTTAAGAGAATCATCTTGCACGTACACCGAGGGTAGGACTAAATTCTAATAGGGCAACTAATTAAAATAGAAACGGAATTAAATAATATTCCTTGAATTATAATACTTTACTTTCAACCGGGGAACTCGCAGAAGACTTTTCATTGTTCCTCTCGGTGTGCGTCACTACGTGCTACCATTCTCTAAGATTCCTTCCGCGCATTCTGTCCGTTGGAAAGATTAAATAATTTAAACTATTACAACCAACGATCTCGTTGGTACTATCTTCAAAAGTTTCATTACCCTCTTGACCGATTGTGTATTTAGAAATTACACATTGAAACTACATATTTATACGCGTAATACCTTTCGTTTGAATACGTCATTGCAAAACAAAAATTAATCAGATATTTATTAACACTTACAATTTTCTCGGGTACCGCGTAGAGATACCTCCGCCATTGAATGCGATTAACACAGAACAGACACTTATTTACTAAAAGTTTTCCTTTATCTAAAAAAATCCCTTTTCATTGATTCACTAAGTAAATTTTACTAATCCAAATCCTACTTTTCGATGCAATTGATATTTGTCAAGCTGTTGTCACCATGAAATTATTCGATTCGAATGACCTGATGGTACAAAAGGGAACACGAAAAATGTAAACTGTCTACGCCGTTGTGACAGACTGGTGGTGCCATCGCACGGACTAATCGGGCAACAATACAGACTGTGCATGTCCATATACAATGACGAGGAGGATGGTGTGCTGATGGTGTGTTTCGTGCCTAGCTGTGGCTTGCTTCGGCCGCTGTGCCCTGTGCGCTGTCTGACTTGTCTGAGGTTCAAGATGGCCTGTGTTAGCCGCGCTATGGTGTGATCCATTTTGATATACAAGTTGTGAAATTCCAAGTGTTCCCGTAACGCATCACGTGTCGGCTAAGATATCTACAAGGGAAATTTCTACTATCCAAGGAAATGTGACCAGCCAGGAAAACCGGTGAGTTTTCCCGCGAGATTTTCACCCGGCGACCTCGTCGCAGTTTTCACCTTGCAGTGGCGTAGTACTAGAGAATGTGACAGATGACGGGGTGAGAGTGATCACCAGGTCCATCCAATGATTCTATCCTCTCGTCCCGCTATCCTCCCGTGATTTCATCAAATAGCCTAAACTCCCCCGTTCCCTTTCTACCTCAGTGCGTTTTGTTCCTCCCTCTGGTTAGTCTTTGCAGTGTCGTTTCTGTGCCAAGTAGTTCTCCCTTATCACCAGATACCTAACTTATCATTCACTTCCGTTGAGAAATATTATTTGAGAATTTAAATAGGATGAAACATATTGGGAACCAACTGCTCGAGGCTTGCGAGAAAATTTCTTAAAACTAACCTTACTTCTTGGTTGTTGCTTGACGTGCCAGAGAGAAGCCTGAGTTATTGGACGCGACTTTGGAATATATTTTAGTGAGTCATCGTTATCAGCGTTTGTAAAAGAGCCAATCAGTGAATATTAATGCGATTCTCAAGAGAATTTTAAATAGTGACCTTGAGTTTTTAATCAGACACCGCGAACGAGTGTTTCCATAACGCGATCGGGTTCAGAGCATGCGTGGTGCTTATTTAATCGATGAGGTTTACTTAATAATTCGATAATAATAATAATCACTCGATGAGAAGATCACAGAACTGCTGCTAGTAGATTGCGGCTCCTGGCGACACGAATCATACAAAAAAAATCTCTGTTTCTCTTGAGTCTGTCGATTAATCCTTTTTCTCCACAGTCCTTAATTCCAGCTTGATGTAGACACGTACAATTAATTCAGCGTATCTTCAGCAATTGTTCCTGCAATGAACTTTCTCATATACAATTAGCGAAAAGCTTTTTTGAATCCTAAAATTTTTGTCTTTCCGTGGAGGAAGGGCAGGATCTATTTTCGATCGTTGCTCACGTGCGGTTGATTCGATTGCCAATGTTATCTACGATCACGGCGTATCAGCCATTTCCTGAAAACGAGTCCCGACGCATTTCCGCTCTACGTGTCCCAAGAAACATAAGTATTTGGCGCTGTCGTAACGTATCTACTTAATTTATAACGAGGCAACCCTCACGCTCAAGTCAATACATCTAACACTTGAAGAGTCAGAGACGCGTATGTTTCTCTCTGTCGATACTCTGGCCTTTCTGCTCTCTCCTACCTTTTCCACCTCTCAAAAATTTAAACTCTTCCTCGTTCGTGCAGCTTTCATCAATTTCCATGCCTTCTTTCTTGTTTCACTATTTCTTGTCTTGGTTCTGATTCTCACGTGCGTTGGGACGTCGAGTCCTGAGCGCAGGCGCTTTTTCCTACTACGTCAGGTAGTCAGGTCAAATTTGACTAATCGACTTATATAGAAAAAGCAGCTTGCTTAGAGTAGTGACGCATGCGAGCAGCTTCCACGAGACATTAGCAGTCTCTGCTTTTCAAGAAAATTCAAACTCAGCCACACTTGTTAGTTCATCTCTCGAAGTTAATGTTAATCTTAGGCATTATGCATTTTCTTCTCCATCCTTCCACATAATAAATCCGTATCATTGGAAGTTACTAATTGATTATACATAAAATTCATGTAGCACATTTCTGTCGATAAAACGGATCGCGAGAATCTCGGTCGAGTTCTGTCTTATCGGTCGAGTTTCTGTCTCGTTTAATGACCGTATGCTTAATATATTATTTCGTCATCGTGTAAAATTCCATTAGCTCTCCTGACTCCGCATAAGACGCTTCGGTCCTCCTCGCGAGCCCACTTTTCAGATTATTATTGTCATCGGCGTAATGTCTGCATACGGCACGACGCACGGGATCTACCAGCAGTCGTTTCCGGGATGAAATATAGCGCGATGGCCGAAGGTGTAGTGGAAGAAGGAAGGGGGCGGGAGGAAGGGTGGTAGGTCGGCCGCCGCGTAGCTGTGGGAACGAAGAAAAACGCTAAAAAACAAAAGTAACGCAGACGCCGAGGCAACAATGGCGAATCGACCCGTCAAAACGCGCGCCGCTGCGCAGAGATTCGACGCTGTTTTAATAATATATTTTTTTTAATTCTCTGTATCGATATTGATCCCCCTCCTCCATATTGATCTTATTCAATAAATTCTCTCGACTCCCACACCAGGCTCACCCTTACTACAATGGATGCTGCAGACTGCGGAACATACAATACCGAAGAGATCTTCATGATCTTTCGGGAATGATCGTGCGCGTCTTTGCTTCGTGGGGCAAAGAGATCTTGAGGATGCTGAGTTCGTGGACCACTAGGCTGGCGATGACTCTGGAGTTCTGGGAACAGCCAGGTTTTCCAGAGGGACTCGTGCTGGAAGGTTTACGACGATTTAGGAGGATGGAGGTGAATGAAGGAGAATGGAGGTACACGGGAAAGAGCTGAGAAGTTGGTCCAGGATGGATGGAAGATCGGGTGCCGCGTTGCCATGGCGACCGGCATTGATTCCTCCCCTCTTCGGCTCCCTCTTGCAGTCTCCTAAAACCCATCGCCGATCGCACACCTCCTTCTCTTCCTGCTCCTTCTCTCTCTCTCTCTCTCTCTCTCTCTCTCTCTCTCTCTCTCTCTCTCTCTCTCTCTTTCTTTCTTTCTTTCTTTCCTCTACGTGCTTGCTGCGCCCAGCAAGGCTGGATTGCGAGGCAACTATTAGAGAGGGAGACCCGCCAGAAGAAATGAGAGGAACGGAGAAGGAGATGGAAAGCGAGAGAGCGAGTACGCAGTCCCTAACGAGCGTTGCCAGGCAACCGATATTGTTTCCATTGTTGCGCTCGCGACGTAAATATTTGAAACGAACTCCTTATCTCGCTCTGTGATTCTTGCTCTCTTGCTCTCTTGCTTTCCTACTGCCTCTTGTCCTTCTCCCGTTCGAACGGTACCACCCGCGAGAGGGTTGAAGCGTCGTCGTCACTACTTCAGTATTAGCATTATATACTTCCTTTCTCCTCTTTCTCATCTTCTTTTTGCTCTCCGTTGTCAGAGCATTCATGTTAACCTGCATTCGAGCGTGGAGAGCAGCAAGTACTCAGAAGCCGTCGCTTCGCTTATCAGGCAACCAGTTAGCCTGTCATTAGCCTGAGACGAATCTTGGCTGATTCTAAACATTGACTACCGACAGGATCGATATTCCATTGATACAGTTGGCTTCCGAGTTGATCTCACCAATAAGAGAATTCCGTTGAATCCTCGAAGATTGATCGAGATTTCCTGGGGTCGCGCTCCGGAGGTCGCTTGTGGCTGGCCACGCGAATCATCCGCCGAGATAAGCGATAGTGGATGGATTGCGCAGACGGATCCATGGAGTGACTCCTAGATCAGCTGAAACTCTCAGTTGGGAACGATCAGCAAGCTCAGAACGAGGGAAGTCAGATCCTGCTGGCTAGCTAGGGTTCGCACGCGGCAACGTCTGCGCGGGGAAACTATTGACGCAAAGCGTCGGGACGCCTCGGGGCGCCTCGGCTTCCATTTCCTTCAGCACACTTTCACGTCGTTCACGTAAATTTTATGCGTATATTTCTATACAGATAGACCTGAAACTTTAGTCTTTTCTTTGATTCTCCTTAAGGGGAAGGGGTCCTATGAAAATTCGTCCAAGGCGACCTTTGACCCTTCCGTGCCTAACTTTTGGCATAAAGCAAACCTCTGCCTCCAGCGCAGCTTCTGCGTCCTGGATTGCTCGCAAATTAATACGGTTTCAACATCGTTTTCCGACAATGGCCATTTCGAAACTCCTGCCAGTGTCTACATGACGTACCACGAGCTACCGACCAGCCAACTAACCAACCGAAGAACGAGGCAACCGAGGGAACCTCAGAGCCCCAAACGGCCCCGTCCAATTCCGCTAGGATTTTGCAATCCGTTTGTTCCACTTGCATCCGCCTCGCCGCTAACCTATCCCGCGCGCCTACTTTCACATCGCAGAAGAACTCGAGAACCCGAGAGTCGCCGAGGCCGAGAGCAGCTGAGCTTCTGTAGCGCTGCTGTCAGGGACAACGTGCCGAAGGAATAGAGAGGAGGCAGCGTGCTGCTGATAACAGTTCTTCTTGATTATGTCACAAGGCTGGCGCTTATCGCTCAAGCCCAAAATAGTTTATAACAGGCATTTAAAACCATTGGGAGTTCGCGCGTCGCGCTCCACTGTAGAAGTTTCAACTTTGCAATGGGTGTCCATCGGGATGCTGAGAGAATCACTTTCGCTACCCTGGACCATTCCTATTCCGAAATTTGTCAAACTATGCTGGCCAATATCGACCTCACGTTTGTCACTAATTTTGGGATTACGATACAACATACTGATTATGATTTATGGATCAAGGATCCATTTTCAGTACGTGTAACCTTGTGCAGATAAAACTGTTGCAAAAGCCGATTCTGCGAATATTCTCGAAAGAGCTGGATCGACGAAACACGTGAGAGAAGCAGGTGGGCGTAGCGTGGCTTGGTCTTGTAGGAGAGCAAGGTCGCGAGGGTGACAGAGAGAGGGAGAGAGAGAGACTTGCAAATACTATGCGGTGTCGATTAATTGAGAAACAAAGTGATAAGAAGGAACGGCGAGCAGGGAAAACAGAGGAAGAATCGGACGTACGAGTGCCAAAGCCGCGTGAACTTGGCTCAGGCTTCCGATTCGATCGGATGATCTTTCCGCCGAAGGAACCGTCGGCTGATTAATTATCCTGCCCAGGAAGGGAGATGTGGGGAATCGATCGGTGTGACTTTTTTTCTCGATCCGCGTGGGTTTTCTGTTTTTCCGTCGAGTCGGCGACGCTTACGCACGTGCTCGATGGAATTACGTCACTCTCCAGGGCCGTCACGATATGGAGAGTTTTGACGGTATCGCAAAACGTTCACTCATCGTTCGACCTACGTCCATCGTACGCGCACGTCGTAGACAGGATAGGCAACGCGATATGCTCGAGCTGTGTGGGTTGGTACTCCTGCTAGTTACGTAGTTAGGCAGTTACGTGGGCACAGGGTTCCAAGAGAGGAAGGAAAGTAGGAGGCAAGAGGCAAGAAGAGCCAGCGGCTCCCGGACCGATGAACCACGGAGGAATTTTACTCCGCTACGTTGGCCTACCAGTGCAGAACGGCGCGCGTCGTCGTGACGTCAGGCGCCCCGACGCTATTCCTGTCCCTGGGCTCGTGCTGACTCCCGTCTCTCACCCTCTCTACCGGGCCACCCAGCCACCCTGCAACCTGCTCCATTTAACTGATCTCACCCTCGCTAGTTCATCGGCTCACCCTGACACTTTTTCGAGGTTCGATCGTCGTTATCTCCCTCGTATCTTTCAGACCGCAGACGCGACATATATAACCAGTGACTGCTTGGCGGTTCATTTGGCAATTTCAAAATTATCATAATTCGCATTTATCAATGGCCAAGTAGTAATTATTCATCGCAAGATCAGATTGGCTTGTTGAAAAGGAAAAAAAGAAAAATTGAGACACTTATCATGACACGAGGTAGAAATTCGAAAGTTCTTCCAACCTATTTCGTTGGCCCTTTTCTTCTGAATTTCTTTAAGAATTCTCCTTCCTCGTCCCTTCCCGGCGATGCACGTCAGAGCGTGGACAAAGTGCAGTTGCCTCCGTCAAAGGAATAATCTAGTCCTGCGACATAGTAGACTACAAAGGAAATAGCTAGAACGTTATAGACGCACTTCCGCATCCTGCCAGAGAGTAGAGTCAGCCATGTCACGTCCAATCACGTTGCCAGGCTGGCAAATTGAGAGACCCGGTGCGACCTGACCTTCTTACATAGCCAAAGTGCATAGGGCACGTGCATGACCTATGCCTATTTGCTGTTTACTCAAATTGCCTATATTATCAATTTATCACCCATCGAATCATCCTTAATCATATGACCTGCGTACCTGTAGGCATATACAGGTGCAGAGAATATCCTCACGATGTGACATACTGGCTCTTCTCCATATATCTATATATTAACGTACCTCCGCTCGAAGAGCATTCTCTGGCTGTATATATATATATACACACATATACGTATGGCTCCGTACACGTGATCCTTCATTCGTATTACCGACGCTACACACTATACAGCACGTCGTAATACTTACTCTTGATATCTCATACGATATGCTTTCTCTCCCTCTATTCGTTTTTCTCTACACGGTACATTGATAATGTGAATACGGCGCCAATGATGGAACTATAAACTGTTCAAAGTACAGTCAAAGAATGAGTGACCTATTTTACCGAAATGTCCATAGAATTTTATTAGCGATTTATCGACGTGATTGAAAGTAACGTGTCACGTAGGTTTCAAGGTTAAGGTTGATCGTGTGACACTTGCGGAGGTGGCTGGCACGTCGTATGGATGCTGGAGCTACAGTATCGGATCGAGCATTGGCTGCTAGTCAGGGTGGTCCTAGGTGTTTCCGGATGTTTCGAATTGTTACGGCACAGAGTGCAGTAGGCCCATAGTAGTCCGTGATATCTATGCACGTGCACTGCCAGAGTGCGCTGGGATCGATTCGGTCGGAGGTCGTGAAAACCCCCTACAGCCAGCCCAACCCCATTTACAACCTCCAATATACAGAGCCCGTCTCAGTCCCACACTCGGAGATCCCACCCTGTGCTTCTCTCTCCTGCCTTCGCTCTTTACTTTCGCGTCTCCTTCGCCGCAGATGCGACTCACGAGGCTGCTGCACCAACAATCTTCACCCTTACAGTTTCCATTTTACACGGAGACGGACTTTCACCAAGCTTATCCGGACGAACCGTAGAAATATCTTGGATGAAGTTTAAAGAAAAAAGTACCTTGATTAAATGTATCAAAAAAGTTTCGTGCATCGCCCACTATGCACTTCCGGTCCACCACGCTCTTTGATTATTATTTAGCGAATAGCCGATGCAGGAATGTGCACTTTTCCTGCGAGACTCATGGATTTCGGTCAATTGACCTTTCCACCCTTTCCACCCTCCTCCCCACTCGTGGCTCTTCGGAAATTGAATTTAATTCGGCAGTAGATTATTTCACTTTGAGATTATTTGGATATTGCGGCGCAGTGCCGCAATGATATTGATCCTGCACCTACGTTGCCTATAGTGGGAGGGGGGGGGGGGAGGATCGGTACCGATTCCACATGCATACGGGTATCATTTTTTAATTTCGATTCGAGTACCGAACGGATTAATCATCTTGAGCTGAAAGTGGAAGCAATAAGTATGTTGGCTACTGCGATAGAATGCATAGAGCCTTATATAAATTATAGCGATCCTAAGCGAGAGAGGGAAAATAAATCCGCCAGGAGCGTTCTGGATTTGGTATTAATGATCCGCTGATGTGTTTACAACGGTCGGCGGCCCGTAGGTTGGGAGGGCCGGTGGGTGGTACATTCCGGAGCTTTCAGGGAGGCCGCCGAGAGGCGCTGCAGTATATTCCGCTCCGTCGCTCGTTCATTATGCTAGGGCGACCTACAGTGGCGCGATATGCTGGTTTCCGCTGGTCGCAGTATAGCTGGACTCTCGATTCCTCCAGCAGCTTCAGCATCGCCCTGCAACACGATCTAAGATCGGTAGATCTTCCTTCTCTACTTCCGCACAGAGAGGCTAAGCGGTGGGGCCCAGAATCCCATTGTTGGCTGCACCGTGGCACAACCTGCGTTCCTCCTGTGCTGCTCCTTCGCTTCTGTCTGCGCTGCTGCGCCGTCAATAACTTCGACTCCTACGCAGTCAGACGTGAAATCCCTTTGCCGGTGAAAGCAGAATAGGAAATTTCTCTCGGACCTTTTCGAAAAAAACAAAAAGCACGGAGGGAACTGGTAATGTCGGCGGATGCTGTGTCTACCGAGCTCGTAAAACCAGGCTCACTTTGATCTTCCTTCTCTCCCAGCGAAGCCTCGGAGAACTTTCGCAAAGACTCCTGGAAGCGTTCTTTATCCTTTGGATCTCCTCGCCTCTGTCTTACGATAGACGGGAAGGAGAACCTTGACGATCGAGCTGCTCGCGTCTTTCGTGAATAGCTTCGTTGGCTATTCACGAGATCTTTCGATCGACGATCGATATCCATTCAGGTGTCCTATATTTCAACGGCGGTTTCGCGATCGGATTTCACCAGACGCGGCGGCACTCTTTTCTCTATTCTTCGTCCTTCTCTTTTGCCTGCAAAATGCTCCATCCTCCTCCGGAAAAATTGTTCGAGTGGATCCCGTTATCTCGCAGGCGATGATAATTGCGAGCATCACTCGGCGCTCCTAGCGTGGCATCTGCGTACTAGAACGAAAGCCGCTGTTTAGTTCGTTGAACCGTCGAAGAGAGGCTCTGGCTCTGCGCTCGGCAATTCCATGGCAACTCCGTCGGAGTTCCCGGCGTTGATGCCGACGACGCCGACGCCGACGCCGACGAACCCTGGCAAGCTGTCGGGGGCCATGGCCGAGCCACTCACTCTGCTGTGAGCTGGTGAACGCGAAACACGCGGCTTTGGCTCCGCTCACTATCTCTCTCTTTCTCTCTCTCGTAGACTCTACCTCTCTCAAATCTCTCTGCGATCCTTTCACGACTGACTGCCAATACGCACGTAGTACGGACTCAGCCTCGGAACGAGACTCGCGATATTCGACTTGGAAGAATTTTACTTAGAATTACTAATCGTATCGGTGCGAATCCTCTGATTATTCGCTTTCTCGATCGAGCGGCTTATTCGCGCTCCCCCTCCCTCCCGGCTCGCCACTTCCCCCCCTTGAGATTTCTTCATCATCGCGAAGCATCGTTCTCATCGTTTGGCCTCTCGTCGCCTTCTCTGGCCGTCCGTTAGCATTCTGGGATTCTGTGCGTTTCCTCCCCTGGGAGTTCTTTCTTTGTTGCTCCTTCATTCGGCGACGTATCCTTCGCTCTCACTCCCCGCGTCTTCGTTCTCCGAGCGACTCCAGTCTCTGGGAGAGTACCGTTCTCTTTCAACCGAACAGAAAGTCCGGCGCTTCGACAACCTCAGTTGCTCCTTCATCGCCTTCGGAGGTTGAACTTGGCCAAGTCGGAGGTCGAATGTCTCCGAGGTTGAGCTTCTTCATCGTCGTCTTTACAAGAAGCTCGAGTCTCGTTCATCTACCGTGTCAGATGTATCCGAGCGGGAATGGAGGCTGGAGTTGCGATACGACGTAAATCGAGAACGTGTTCGAGGTTGATACCTCAGGTATCCAGGACGTGATTAGATTGCCGGGAGAAAGCGTCAATTGAAAAAGAGAAGGTGATCCTTCGAATAAAAGGTAAAAGGCCCCCCTTTTGCATTTGCGTTCGTGTAATCCGAGGGCCTTCCGATTTTAGTTCCTTCGCGTTATTCGTTACGCATCTTCGTCCTACGTTCTCAGGGAATTGCTTAGACGATTATGAGGATTATTAGGAGAAATAGGACGTCGGCATGGGGTGCGCATGGAAACAAGAAGCCAGAGGACTCCTCGCTCCTCCTTCCTGCTTTTGAATCAATAATCTCTGGTTAGGACTAAATCAGCGCACGAGAACTTCTCTCGATCTCCTCCTGTCGTTCCTGAGAGGACAAAATCGCTGGGACCGTCGATCACCAGATTCCCTTCGATCGAATCGAATCCCATTGACTTTCCAGAAATATGCGATCGACCTTTCAATTTTCCTTCCTGCCTTCCATCTCGTACTAAGCCTTTACTTTCGTTCATTTCATTCATCCTGCCTGTTCGGTTTGGTCCAGTAAAATTGACTAAATTCAAGGAGCAACCGTTCCCTCGTTTTTAATAGGCGAAATTGATTTTCCTTTTTTCGGTACGTATGCCTCTTCTAGTGCGCGCTACGCCGAGCGCGGTTTATCGATTTCATCCTAGCAACCTACCTACTTACCTTTTTACCTGCCTGCTTTCCTACTTTCCGCGTTGGTTTAGGATTTTCAAGAATTAATTATTTTGGAAAACTCCATGGAACGGACAGATTCACGAACGATCGAAGTCCTTACTCGGGAACAATCTTTATAAATAAATTTTTCTCTTGGCAGATCGTATATAAAGCCGAGATGGAATCACCTTTGGCCCAGTCTCGTCTCGTGGAGGCCCAAGAGGATTCCACCTCAGTGGAGCCTCGATTGGTCCCAGTAGCCAAGGACCTGGAGGATGGGGCCGCTTCCGCTGTCAAGTCACCTGCACCTTCTCAAGACTCGACCGACCCAGCAATTGCACTTCCGGTTATCGGAGACTCTGCCGAGAGGACGACTGCGTCCTCCTTGCAGGACAACTTGGAGAATCGGTGGGAGCTGATCGAAGACTGCACCGACTCGTCGATCCAAGATGTCGCTAAGGAGACGCTCACGTTACTGGTGGAAGCTACCGAGAGGCTGGAAGAGTCTGCTAGGTCCATTGGTCCCATGGGAGACGTTGCTGATCACGAGACTCTTCAGGATGAAGAAATACCTGCGTCATCGCAATCCTCCACGAACCCTTCGCAGCTGGGGTCTCCGCAACTTCCGGGATCCTCCAGGAAGAGACCGGCGACCGACTTCCTGCCGATAACCGCAGAAATCAAAAGGATGGGAGTAGAGATTTCGGAAGAGCGCGCCAACCAATTGAGAAACGACATTCGCCGATTGTCCCCGGTGGTGGTGAGTCTTCACGAGAGGACGCTGGGAGAGATTTCTTTGACTCCGGACACGAGTCTCTTTGTGGAGGATGCCGAGGCCTTTTTGCATGACGAGGACGTCCCCGAGAGTTCAGGATCTGCCGACGGGAAGCTTCTTCTGGAAGAATCTCTCTCCCTGTCCAGTGGAATTGCCAGTGGGTCCAATCCGGAGGATACAACCAGTTCAAGCGAAGCGACGAGCTCTCCCAGGACCGATAATGTCGCTGAGGACGATACGACAATCTTTTCCACGGAACTCGAGGCTCTGACCTCTAGGAAAATCATCCCGGAAGATCCTGTCGACGATGTTCCTCTTAGTGACAGACTTTCTCCTGCTTTCGTGGCTGTTAATACGAACTGTGAGAATAGTGATAATTGTGAGGTTGCTGCGAGCGATGATATCGACAGTAGTGCTGCGGTCGATCCTCTCGAGGAAAAACAATGCGTGCACGATGACAATCTAGAATCGCGTCTTATTCCCGTTATTCCCGGGAACCCTATAGATAACCTTAAAAGTGCGAGTCAATCAAAACTAGATAATACGAGGGACGATCAGTTGGTCAAGTGCGAATCAAATATGCGGGACGCGGTGGTCGTTCTTACGCGAGTCGATGGTTCACCGAAGAGTCCTGCCAAACTCTCCCCTGAAGGTAGTGGTGCCAGTTCTCTAGGTATAAGGAATATCCTGCACGACGCTTTAGTCAAGAAGTCTCGGCATTCCGAGGTCGAATCCCTTGCAAATGTACGAAGCAACCTGAAGCTTTGTAAAGTGGTTATGGAGAAGGTATCTATGAATGAGCAGAGGAAACCATCACAGACGCTGCTGGTTAATCTGGTTGACAGGGAGGAAGCTCCGGGTATACCGAAAGGAATAATAGAGAAATTGAACGTTGACGAGGAGATTGTCTTTGCATCTGGAAAAATTGAAAACCAATCAAATAATCAAACAGAACCGAAGACTCAACCCCTCTCTGTGGAGGAGACTCTGAAAGTGCCTGGGGATCGAGCAGTCGATATTCAGGGATCGAATGACACGGGAACAGAAACAGAAACTGCTTCCGATAGTTCCGAACTTACTTCCATGGTAACGGTACACCTTAGAACGTGCGCGGAAACCGGCTCAGAGTCTGTAACCTGTCCTGAAACTGATCCTCTTGGCTGCGAGGAAATTTCGCCGGAAATTATAACCAGGTTGGAGCCCGAGAGGCCTGAACCTTTTACCGAGGACTCAGCTGAGAGTCTCGCGCTAGCTACTGGTGCTAGGGACGAAGTGAGGTCAGACGGCAGCGACTCAGGATTGGGTAGTGAACTTCCTGGTGATCCTGGACCCGCACCTGCTCCAGAGAGTGATTCTGAAACTTCGTTCCTTGACAGGATACCTGATGACATCCTTACCGACAAAGAAAAAGGTCAGACAATTATTACTCTTGGCAATTAATTGATAAAATAGCACGATATTTGATGACGCCGTTGACCTGTCAGATATCTGAATAAATAGATTTAATTTCAGTCACTGATGAGAATTCTCATATTTACTCTTACAGCTGTTAGTCAATTGGAAGGATTTGTTCCGGACGTCGTCATCCAGGATACTCCTCCAAGAGCGATTCCCAATTTTCCGAATCCGCCTAAGAGCAACCTTAAGAGAAGACTCACAGATTGCATGGAGAGTGAACCCAGTCCGGCCAAAAGGAGTAACACAGATGATACTTCCCCAAGAAAGAAAAATATCCAGTTCGATGCAGTCACTGTTTACTACTTTCCAAGGGCCCAGGGTTTCACCTGTGTTCCTTCTCAGGTGAGTTCGATCGCTTCCGGTCCAGATCGGTTCATTAGCACAGAGAGCAAAGAGGAGGATTTTTCGAATACTTATCCTATTTACTTTTAGGGTGGTAGCACACTCGGCATGAGTGCAACGCACACGCACGCAGAGCGCTTCAGTCTGTCGGAACATGCGGCCGAGCAGCGACGAATCCACCGCGCGAGACTTGCTCAATTGCGATCGGAGCGTGCAGCTAATTGCGTGACCGAAGCAGCTTCCAGTTCGGAAGACCCCAGCGACGACACCGACGAGGAACCTAGCGACACTGAGGAACTCGATATAGATAGTTATTATTTTCTACAACCAGTGCCGACCTGGCAGCGCAGAGCTTTACTCAGGTCAGCTGGAGTTCGCAGAATAGACGCGGTCGAGAAAGACGATTGTCGAGATATACGTGCCAGCAGGGAACATTGCGGATGCGGTTGTAAGGGCTATTGCGACCCCGAGAGCTGTCCTTGCAGTAGGGCTAACGTCAAATGTCAGGTAGGTCGCGACTTTCTTGAATGTTGCGAAGAACTAAATGATGTTGGGTTGATTTGCTTGATGTGAATTTCATCTGTTTTATTCGCAGGTCGATCGAGCTGGTTTCCCTTGCGGTTGCTCTCGGGATGGATGCGCCAATAGTTCAGGACGCATCGAGTTTAATCCCGTTCGCGTTAGAACACACTTCATTCATACACTGATGAGACTAGAATTGGAAAAGAAGCATCGCGAGGAAGAGAACGAACATGATGCGGATAATCATTCGATGAGAGGTCCTTTACGAGAACTAGGATCTGTCATGAATAATGAATCGTGCATTAATGATAGTGGAAATGGATTCATGACGCTTCACTACGAAAATTCGGATGGTACGAATTCAACTTGTCAACCGGAAGTACCTGGTGCTCGAGAGGACAGTCTTGATTTGTATGCTATAAGGGACGATTGCTATCCCAGTGAGGATACGGTTGACGGCGCGCAAAATCCTCAGAGAAAACTGCATCCTGAATTCAGTCAGACCTTCCAAACCTTTCCAGGACAAGTCAATCCCGTTGTGGCGTTCCAGCAGGGGAGTTATCAGGATTACCAGAACTACCAACCGTTACCCTCGACGTCTCGGGCTCACTACCAACCTCAATTTCAACCTGTGCCTGGAAACTCAGGGTTCTCTCCTTACGCAGCCTACGGTCAAGACACCAGTAGTTCCATCCAGAGTGGCTGTCAGCCTCACGCAGGAACTCATGGTACAGGGTACGAGACATCCTTTTGCCAGGAGGATGGCGCAGCTTCCCAGTACACGAATTTAAACTCTGTTCAGCCTATGAATACCGTGATGCAGCAGATGGGTAAATTGGAACCCTTCTCTGAACTTCTAGCAGGAAGATATTCTTACTACGGTGAAGTGGAGCCACAGAATCACGGGAGTTACCATGGGAACACGGCAAAGGTCGAACCAGAGAAGAGTCAGGCGAGCGAACAGCAGTCAGAGAACGCGGAGGACTGCGACGAGAATTTTGGAGAAATTATCAAGAAGTCAATGGTGGAGACTGTATCCGCTTAAGAAGTGAGCCATTAAGGGTGGAACTTAAAACTTTTAAAAGCTTGTCATAGACGATGGACTGGATGCCGCTGATTATACGTACTAAGCGAAAGCGTACCAAGCGTACCTGAGGACGGATTCTTGATTCTTAATTTTGCTCCCAGACGCCAGAGCAAATGACGTCTGAATCATAAAATCAGTGGTGGGGTGAATATTGACGTCTCTCGGAAGAAATAAACACTTACGTGGACGGAACGCCGAAACATAAATGGGAGAGAACGAGAGATCCATCGACGGGGGAGAATTTAATGCGGTTGTGACCAAGAAACAACATGGGATCAGCTTAGAATGCAGTTTATACTACACCTAACTTTAATACTTAAGCGTAGAATCGCGAGTCATGTGTTCTTAGACGAAGCTTTGCGTTTGTACGTAAGCTGCGGTCACAGCTCGTGATTACATTGATCAGGTTAGGTTGGTAAAATTTCAAAAAAGGAAGCCAGACAATTACGCGAATAAAAACGAGATGTCCCAATGAGAAAATCTTGAGAAAGAAATGAGAGTCTCGCTGGCTTTGGACTTGGAACAGGCTCCTCGAGAGTTCGTGCAAATTTACACTGTTTTATTAATATTTCGCATAGACACTTGAAAAACGCGCTTTACTTTGGATCCCCTCCAGGTCCAGCTAAATTAGTTACGGGACTTTTTTTCCAGGTGTGGACCCCTGTCAAGGAGATCGAGGCAACGGTATTTTCGAGCGAAAGCAGGTTATCGACACGAGCGGGATCTTCGTTTCTTTTTCTTCCAAAGCTAGAATCTTTTCACGAAGAAATTTACACGTGTGCTCCATGAGAGCGTGTGAGGGATCGTGCGCGCGCGTGCAAGCAAGAGTACAGGCTGACTCGTATTTACGAAAGGAATCAACTCATTTACAGTTTCCTTTTCTTGAATTTACTTCAGTTTCTTCTACGTTTACTTAAATCTCTTTGTACACAGAAAAAGAGCACTCTGGCAATTGAAAAAGTTTCGCATGCGTTGATTGGTGCACTTTTAAGGTAGAATTAGAATTAAAAAGGTTCAAAAATTGTAGTGATTATTGAATGAGTAACTGAGGCGTGGAGACAATTTTTTATGAAGAAAGAAAAGTATGGCGGAGTGGTGGCTGCCTTTTATCGTTCTTAAAAGTATCCTTTCAGGACGAGTTCGTAGACAGAGAATTTTAAGACAACTTTCTTAGAATCTCGGGGCGTTGATCGCATACATCCACGATTTCATGAGACGTTATGCATAAGGAAAAATAATAATATGGCGATAGTATTAAATTTATACATATTTACCACGGACGGACGCGTCAGATCCCGAGCAGCAGGTCTAAAAAAAACGAGCCACTTTCTCAGGCAGCTGGTGTCGTTTTCGCTTATTGGTTAAACGGCCAGGCAGAGTGCAGCTCTACGCTAAAATTGTAAAAAAAAGCTGCAAATCAAATAATACATAATTCTTAAAATATAAAAAAAAATCGACCGCCAGAGATAATTTGAATTAAAAAATAAGTAAAGTGCGATACGTTGCCAGGGACGTGACACCTCCGTAACAATATAAATATATATATATATATACATATAAACTACATATATGTAACTTTTAGAGTATTTGAGTAAAAAAAGGCATACATAGCTGATAGCGTTTTATTAAATGTTGTGAAAAGTCTCTTGTCTCTGTGGTGTGTTGTCATATGTCTGTCTAATCTCTGGCTAACTTCATTTCTTTGTCAAATCCTTTTCTTACTCGTTTCAAGGAAAAAAGGAAAACTTTCAACGTTCCTCCGATTCTTGGCTGCAGAAAAATATTTCGTACTCGTTCATCATTACAGTCAACTAAACGAATAGCGGCCCTGTTCTTTAAAAATATGTAATTTCAATACATATTTTGGGGCGTCGATTCGATGATCCTCAGGATTTTCAACCCTCCTGATTGTCAATGGTTCCTCCCATATTAATTCTTTAGACGAAGGTGCACAAATATGGAGGACATAAAGACGAGTAGAAAGTGGAGTCCGAAGTTCGGGAGTATCTACGCCAATGCGAAGGATGGAAACAACGGCATACGTAGAATGGCCGACCCACAAAACATAACGTCAAGCCGTCCCGGCGCCTTCCGGAGAAGTCGTATGCCAGGTAATTCCAGATGGCGACAGGTGCATAAATGCAACTACAGCGCCAACGCAGCAGTAGTGAGAAAACAAAGTTTGAGAATAATAGGAAGCATACGAGGGGGGCCGTTTCGATGTCTCACGATGACAGAAGAAAAAGACGAGGTGAATGGGCCCAATTGAGTCCCAGAGAGAATTGACAGATGGGCCCAACTACGATCGACTCGTCGCACTAGCAGCAATAGCAGCTAAAGGCCAGAAGCAAGAGTAAAACGTCAAGGCACGCAGCGTGCATGCAAATACAAATTACAGTGTGACAGTTGTGGCCAGGATGGCGACGAGGAAGGCTCGAGGTAAGAGGAAAGCATCGGTATTCGTCGGAGGCACCAGGCCACAACCACAGGCAGCAGCACATCGCGGCGAAGCTTCGGCATTACGAAGACCGAGTGGGGACTCGGAGGAAGGGAATGGCCGTTGAGTCTCGCAAGCCGCAGCCGAATGCGGTTCAGTACTGCAAGTGTGTCTGTGGCCGTGGGGGCATACAGAGCTCGAACGTTCCTCTCTCGTGTGTCTTTCGCGTGTTTCCTTTCAATCTCCCGAATCTCCTGACTCGCCCGAGGAATATTTATAAGGCGATTGCCGCGGCCAGTCTCCCGAAGCAAGGCGGCAGACTCTTCGTTCGGGAGTCTGAACTGGTTTTTCGTTTCTGTTACTTGTACCGATCTTTGAAGAAGCCTGTAGTCGAGGCAGGATGGCCTGAAAGGATCGCGGCGACTCGGCAGTCAGTCAGTGTCGTTGACGTATCGTGTTGTGTCAGTGTCCTCGGCGCGTGGTGCTTCCCCTCTCGGTGTGTGATGATCGGTGACAGGTGGTTGACTCCTGGTGGCGTCTGTTTCATTCCTTGGGATTATCGTAGAGAAGCAGCGACATCGGCTTCAGGATGGATGGCAGAATGAAGAGTCAATGCTGCCGGAAGTGCCCTGAAAAGGAGGAGCTACGGGTTCAGCGGCGCGACTTCCTTCGCGCACTTGTGCCATGAGCGCTGACAATGGCGACGATTCCCTGGTAATGTTGGAACCCACTGAAATCACTTTGCTTTTCTCGATAGATTCATTGACTCGCTTTAGAGTAGCATCCATTGTCCGTAACGAGTAACAGCTGTCACTCGCTTACTGAATTATCAATGAACGTCGATTCAGCCTGCAGCGCCAGATTTTACTCTATCGAGTCAACATAGCAATAGGGAAACCTTTGTATTCCGTTCACGTGCTGTTCTCGCAAACGAGTCGCACTGCAGGAATAATTTTCAATGCGGTGGCGAAGGAACGAGAAGGATTTTAGAGACCGAAAGGAATGACAGATTCTCGATGGAAACCGAAAGTAACCTCGCGGCGCGCTGGTTGCGAACGTCCGCTTCCGGTAAGACCGAGCGATTACTAAACCTGATAAGCCTCCCATTCGAATCCCCCGGGTGCCTCGGTACTAGGGCACTCTGCACGCCGCACAGTAAGTACGATCCCTTTCACCGGAAGACGTCTCCTTTTCTACGCCTAGAATTTTCTCCAAAGAACCGAGGAAGCGCTGCGTGTCGCCAGCATTCGACCATTCGGCCCTGATCCGAGTCTCGAAAGTCACTCCAACGTTTCTGCCCGCATTCATATATCTTCGAAAACAGTAAAAACCACTTTTCGAGAAATCGACGAATAATTCGCAGCTCCGTAAACAGGTCTGACCTTCCCGGTGCTCGTTACTAACTACTGACGTAATTTACATAATTAAATTAACCACGAAGAGGGTAACTGTTTGTAAATAGTGAAATCCAAATCGAAGTTTTCGATTCTCCGGCGAAACGGGAACGTTTGGCTAACCACGTGCTCCTCGTATCCCGAGAAGAAGCGATGGGAAAAGAAAGAAGTGTCACGTTCGAACTTTTATGGCAGTGCAAAGAAGTAATACATGTCGAGTGGTCTAAGGTGTGCGCCGTGGAATGTCGAAAGGAGACAAGCTCATCGTCGTGGGACGTCGAGAAGTTCCATACCAGTTTAGAATCTACCGGGTAGGCCCCGCTTTGTCGATCCGGTACTGTTACTTCTCTAGCCTCTTGTTTTTCTCGACTGTTCGACATGCTGGACTCTGACGTTTCGAGCGAAGCGCACCAGCAGAACAGGGCGGACCGTTCTTCACGATTACGTCTTCTCTTTTCCGCTTCTTTCGCTCCTGGTTCGCCCACATGCGTTGCCATCATTAGCCAAAGTGTAGAGAGCGCTTCGATCGACAGAGGCTCTTCTATCAGCGCCCATGGAGAATTCTACGCTCCTGTTATTCGTTCCTGCTAACAGTCGTACTGTCCTGTTAACAGACGTATCGAACCTTCCCATAGGAGTGTCTATCCACGATAACAAAACATACGCAAACGGTACCAAGTATTATCTAGGATGATTCAAACCGAGAGAAGGCGGCTCCGTGCTGTGCCTGGGACTGCTATAGAAATTCGTCTTTCTCACGCAGACTGTGAGAAGATCGATCTCCGCTACGATTCTCATAGTAAGCCTGACTTTTACGAGCGTCTCCACAACGGAGGAGTTATCCCGCGAACGTTGTGGACCTTGCGAAAATATTTCCGATAGTCGCGGGGACACCGACGTAGAAATCAGATGTCACTCCTAACTTTAGACGAGCCTCGAGTCACGTATTAGAAGCACTTAAGCCACTTAGTGCTTTTCAAATGAGCTACGTATAGAGACCGAGTTTACTCGACGATCGACGATCGTCGCTCATTGCTGTTGCAACCTTTTTCTTCCCTCCTGCCAGCTCGGCTTTCGTCTCCAGCAACGATAAAAAGCCAAGAATTCATGGCTTCCGTTCTGTGCACAGTGCCCATAATTTGAGGTCTATTAATCCGCACTGCGCATGCGCGTTCCACGAAGCGATCGGTGACGCGTTGGACACGTGCGAAAACAAGCTTTGTTCACGAAAGCAACTGTAGCCAATTGAAAACACTGTCGAAATGCAGTTTATCGAGAACGTTAACGATATATATATATGAGTTTACATAAAAAACACGTGCATCGCATGAATTCTTAGTGTCTTTGTGCAGACGCTATGCTTGCCTGCTGCGTCCAGGACGCGTGACTTTGCTTCGAAGGAATAATTAACCAGCGTCGTTATCCGTTGAAGGAACACGTCATTCGCAGGTGCCCGATAAGCGATTAACGTGAACGGCAAAAAAGTCCAATTTCGCGCGTCTTTTCGTCGAGTGGACGTCCACGACGGTATTTCTTCGGAAGAGGCGCGTGGAACATATGTAGGTGCACGCGTAACGTGACTCACTCGACGGTCCCACGCAAATACACGTATCGCTCTCGAGTCTCAAGGATCTTTTTCCATAACGCGCGAGGCAGTCGAATTTCTCTGAATTCTTTAGCACCCTTGACCTCCCGCCATTTCCGAGGCGTCCAATGTACATTTGTTAACAATCAATTCCAACGAGCGTCGATGCGACTCAATAATCTCATACAGCCGCGAGGCCAATATTGTGATTCCGTTAGAAGCCACAGGAAATGCAGGAATGAAGTTTTCGTAATTTTGAATAATAATTTTTTTTGCAAGTGCGTCACATCCGGTAATTCGAAATCACACGTCATCGGGCAATTTCGAAACCATCGGGAACTACCGACTGTCAGTCACACAGGCTGACAGTGAATTCTTGCATGAAAGTGGAGAAAGGCTTTCACTCTGCGCTGCTCTGCCATCTTGTCCTACTACGTAGACTAATGTCGCAATGGCTCAATTTTCATTGGCACGCGCGTCCTAGTTGGCCCGTCGCGTAAATCCGCCTGGCAATTCAAAGAAAAGGTCGCTGCTCCTAGCGAAGCTCTGGCCAACGTATCCCGGAACAGAAGGGTCAAGGGGTCAGGCACCGGCCGGCCGGCTGTCGTCTGTTAAAAGCGCAAAACCTCCAGCACCCGCGAAGGGAGCGAACGGGCGCTTTGACTTGTGCGTTTACGGGGACTTCTTGTCCACAGCCTGAGGTTTATTGCAGTAGCGAATTACTCGTGGACTCCGTCGGAACGTGGGTGCGTCGTAAAGTGCGTGCTCGTTAAAATATCCAGAGGCAGAAAACAAACTGGACCAGAGAGTAAAGGACCTTTGCCAGAAGCAGCGCAATCGGGAACGTAATTACGCGATAGCGTTAAGGAGCCTTAATGACGATTAATTGAATTTTAGTCGTGCATAAACGGTGCAAGAGCCAGGAGGAAATTCCCGAGGTAGAAAAACATCAAGTGGCCGGAGAGTCGTTTATTTTTCAGTGGTAGCAGATTTTTAAAATCTTTTTCTCTCTCTTTACCTCACTTTAGCCCTTTTGATATTCTTACTGGCGGCTGATACGGTGCGCCCTTGCGCAATCCAACTGAATGTCACATGCCGTGGCAACCCTAACGTCTGGTTGGCTTTGGTGAGTAAGGGTGACGTAAAATCAATAGCATTCGCGGCTGGAGAAGAAGGTTTCGAAAGCACTAGGGGCTCGTGAAAAGTGACTCCTACCTAGGACACAGAGTCCTGGTAGGCTGCTGCGAGTTCAAAGCGAATATAACAGATTCAACCAAGCAGGAGCGTTAAGACCGAAAAGAAGATACAAAAATATGCTTGTCTGTAAGAATAATAGTAATTATACACGAATCTACGTGTATTACGTTCATTGTGCCATGCTTGTGACGCAAATGTTTTCATCAATCGATATAATCAATAGAACGTACGCGAGCTGGAATTTGCCACGGATTTCGATCGAACTAATTCACTTTACGTGAGCGCCGTGGGCTTCGTTATCGGTGGTCGGTACGAGGAGCGACGTCACCGTGAACTATGACGTCGGCCCGTGTCGATCGACGCTCCGTGCGACGTCACTAACGTCGAAGAGCCAGTCGTGGTGTCTGGTTTAGTCGGGCCGCGTCAGAAGCGTCAAGCAGTGTGGGAGATAACGAGTAAAATAGTAGGTGAGCTCCTCGTGACGTCGCTTCCGATAGTGCACGTGGTCAGAAGCACATGCCGAAGTGGACTTTGCTGTGGAAATTAAGTGGCGTCAGGTCAGGAACCTGTGGAACTTGTCATCTGTATATTTATTGAAAATCCTGGGGTAGATCCCCAGCCTGTCTGTAAAGGGCTGGTTGGGGTTCGTATGGAGAGCCTGTAGGGAGCAACCCTTAGCGTGTTTGGAACTAACCTCGACCTTGCCTACCCACGCATCGTCGACCCTTTCAGGCTTTCACTGATGTGGAGATGCTTGGTCCAGACGCTCACCCAGGGGATGTTCTCATTTGATTTGATGACTCAGAACATTTTATGGGGGAGTGTAATTTCAGCAGCCTGCGGCTACGGACCCAGGGGGTGGTCGAACGAGCTTCGGCTCGGATAGTCACCCTCAAAAGTATTTCCAAACTCGTACCACGTAAACTCCCATAAGCTTCTCAGTGTTGGGCGTGCATTGTCCAAGTTTCCAGTAGATCCTTGTTAAATACGTAATCACGTGAATCGTCGATTATTAAAAATATGTGTAAGAAATGCGTTTGATCGATCAGAATTTATCGAATGTTTTCCGGGCTCACTCGACATTAGAAAGCGTGACGAACGGGAGAGACATTTTCAAGGAGGCAGGTATAAAGTGAAACCATTAAGAAGCCAGTAGAGGTATATCAGTGCGGGATTAACTGGAGGGCAGAATTGTCTGAAAGAAACGGAGAGACGGGAAATTCAGGTAAGTCCAGGGCTACGCGCAGATTATTCCTGAGCTACCGGATGGGTTCTTGCCATTGGCAATACTTAGATTCTTGCTAAGGCGTAGTAGACGTGCCTAGACTCCACGTTACTACAGTGGGAAAAGGAAATAAAGAAATGAGGTCTAGTCACGTTCTGCGCATAGTTGAATACGGAACCGCGTGAGCTCGCTAGTTCTTACGCCGATCGTAGAATTTACCGACTGACACAGAATCTGCGCGACAGGACGCAGAAGACACGATGGTAACGTCGATCCGAGTGCTTATCAGAGAGGCTCACACATCCGTTCACGGTGTTTCGTACGTAGCATAGAAGAAAGTCTCACACAGTAACAACTGAGTAGCTAGAGTGTGGTCAGTTATTGGGTTGACTGTGTAGTCGGCGTCGCTCGAACCGCGTGGCTCTCCGGGTAGCGGAGCGTCAGTCGCTCTTGAGACGTTGCGACGTAAACGTCTGCGTGCGGTCGCGGCAGCTTTTCAAATTCCGAGGTTAATAGCCAAAACTCCTGGAAGTGTCAGAGAAAACGTTGAAACAAATAAAATACTCAGTGCTCGCAGTAAAGTGAAATCTCGATTCGCGAAGTGGAAGTGAATGAATTTGGCGGGTGGGTGGATGGTTGGTTTACGCGGCAACACTTCGATCTTTCTATCACGTCTAAGATTGCTTCCTCCCCTAGAGAATAATGTTATTATGGATAATACTAACCATAGAACAATGCCATTGCCATTTCGTTCCCCATTTACAAAGCCTCCTCCCCTTCGCTCGCTTCACTGCCTTATGTTTTAACTGTCAACATTCCAGACTCTGTTATCCTCACGGCGTCCATTTGTATCAGACATAAGATTCTCAGAACACCTTGAGAAATTGCAGCGTGACTTATAAAGGACACAAACAGCCTTAGAGTAGCATTCACATACGTGCATCACGTATGGTTGCGTACTCTAAATGTATAAACGAGTGACTAATCAGAACGCATATTAACACGAACCTCCTGCTCGAGTCATTTTCATTATGCACAGTTCAGCAGTTAGGTGCATCATTTTCTTTCCTTTGTATTTCGAATCTGACTGTGCTCGATCTGTGATCGATAATCGACCCTGAACTCGTTCGCGCGTTGGCTCACGCTCCTTCGGAAAGAGTATCGACGATAAGGCGATCTAGTTTGTTTTGAATTCCGACAGACGCTTATAAACCATGTTCTGGATTCTTCGGAACTGTGAATTGAAGATTCTTCTTTGAGGAGGCTCGTGAATCGCTGCGATATGGCAGATGGAATGCCTTGAAAATTCTCTATCGGAATTCTGGCGGATAAACAGGTTTTCACAGTGGTTCACGCATCAAAGGAGGGAATCGTTCGCTACTGTAATTCATCCAGATTGGGTAGCATCTATTTTTAAATGTCTCTTGGAAGTCAAAACGTATCACTCAGCAGTATCACGCGGGATGATCGGCTCTAGATTTATGGGAATCTCCTGTTTCTCCTTTGCTCATTCTCATCACACGTCTCACACGTCTTTCGTCTGGTGTAGCTATGGGTGACGTATCCAGCAAGCACACGCAATCGGAATGTGTTATGCAAGCTAGCATTGTCCATAAAAGTGTGCCTATGCCTCGCGTACAGGAAGTACGACACAGTTTTCATGAAAATAGGATTCCATGTTATTTTTCACTGTTCTTTTTTTCCTGCTTTGTTTCGCGAATCATTTCATTGGGATCAAATCGATAATATGTAGAACATTGTAACTTTGCGTAGAAAAAAAAATAAATAAATTCGCACGAACTTCCAATTATAGCGATTGCTTAATATTAGACACTACTGCCTGTCAGAAATCTCCATTCTGAACGTGGGAATGGCGTTAAGGAATTTCCACTAAAGTCAATCGGATAGTGGCATTTGAATAAACAGGATAGACACATAAGTTGCAAAAAGAGAAGCGCTCGCTGGAACAAATAGAAAAATTCCAACTAGTAAAATATTTAGAATTCGTGGAACGCGAGGTCGAAATATCCGATACAATGTCAACCGAGTGGAATAATCTACCAATCGCCGCCTCGATCGATCATAACACCATTTCCCATAGCATGCGCGATGCCTCGACATTCTTCATTCTCTATACCATTCTTCTTCCTATTTTTCTTTCTTCTTGCCTTCTCCTCCAGGAATTTCCCGGGGTGCTGCAATTATCCGTAGCAATATGTTTCAGGGCGGCCAGGCGCGTGCACGTCTCTCGACTTTTGACTCTTCCCTTTCATTCGTACTTCCCGCCTTCCATCTTGCCTCCTGCTCTTCGCTCCAGCGAAGAGAGAAGAGAGCCAAGCGAAGACGCACTGGGCGCAGTCGAGCGGAATTTCTTCAACTGGTTTCCCGGCTTCTCGCTCCTTGCTGACCTTTCCACCTTTAATCATGGCAACCTTTCGCATACCGATCGATTGCTCCCGCTCTTTCGCATCATTCTCCGCGAACCTTCCGACTGTCAGACGACGTGACACTTTGCTCTATTCCAGAGCCATTCACGCAGCGGAGCTGAATACGTCGGTTTTCCTTGGTTCGCCTCCCGACTCGTCTTCGCTGTTAAACCGATGACGCACAGTCGCGTGGCGCAGGGTCCGGAGGAGACACGCTCCGGCACTGCCAAACGTTCATTGTATTAAATTCTAAGGAGGAAACGACAATTCTCATTGCCTCGGACCTGCTTCCTCCGAAATCTACCCCGCGCTCGCCACCTCCTCCCCCTTCACTAAAACATTCCTGTATTACGTGGAACGATAATTGGCGTGGTACGTTCTATTCCCAAAATAACGATGATCCAGTCCTCGGAAGAGAAAAGAGTTTCCGGCTTGCGTTTAACAGCCAGAGAGAAATTTGAAAAGGAACTCAGTTCTATTGTGTCTTGGGGAATTTTCAGTTTGCCAGAGGAAACAATAGAAGCCGTAATAAGAAGGAGATCGCGAGCGTCGGCCGATGCGATTCAAATAAAAAGGACGCAAGCGAAGAGACGGCGAGCGAATCCAAGTTCTACCAAGAATCACTAATCCGTGGATGCTGTGGCCCGTGTTGGGGGATGATGGGCTGAGCCCCACGTCGCCTTCAAGGGCGGCACCCCTCAAGGGGGTCAACAAACTGGGTCCCTTACTTTTGTGTGCCCCTTGCAAGCCGAGCCACAGGAAAAACCAGAATTCCACCCAGTGGTACGTGCAGCAGGTAAAGAACCACGAGATTCCATACCCGGAGGGTTTCTTACCCGGTTGGCTTTGTCCCTTTCACTTCTGTCTCTGGCCAAGTGTGTGCTTCGTGTGTGTACATTTCGTATCTCCTACCACCAGCTTCCCCGTCTGCATAAACATATATCCCTCTCGCCACCCCTACCGTTCGTGTCGTAGTCACTTTTTCAAAAGTCGCCTGTATATTAATAGCGACGAAAGTGCCATGCATTTCCCTTGATGAGACTCCAAGAAGACCGTAAGAGAATTCGCAGTGGCGCGATGCTTCCTCTCTCTCTCTCTCGCACGAGTGTGTTTACGCTCTCCTCCAACTCGTAGCTTTCACGAGTCAGCAGGCAGGCCTGGAACTCCGGAAAGGGACCTGAATTATCGCGCGGAGTGTTTTTAGTGGACTGCGCAAACGGAATCCTCATTGCACACGTATGTTTGAATTGGGAGTTTGGATCGATACGGCAAATGCCACTTTGGGCTCCGTCCGTAATTTCGTCCGTAATTTGAACGAAAGATCCAGCCTGCCAATCCAAAGATCCGAGGCACAGCACGTGACACGTAACGCATAAGCAGCACGTATGCATCTTATTTTTATAAGCAACTCAGTTATTACGAGACGAGTATGTAGTTGTATATGTTTTGTACTTTTCCGTAATAAACAGGTTTTCCGGTTGCATGTCTCTCATCCGCACGCGCCGACTTACATTATCGATCAATCCGCAGACAGGAGCGCAGTACTGCGATACCGCGAAATTTCATTTCTCCGTCTACATCCTGACAACCGGGCGATGGACCCTGTCCCGATGTTTAAAAATTCAATATCGACGATAAGGCTACAGCGTCAGAAGTATGATTCGTAATCTCTTGTTTTTCTCTTTTAAGAGAGTCCCTCGTTTATCTCCACGTCCGACGGCTTACTCACGTAATTTCCTTTCGCGAGATACGCGCTCTGCAGCTACTTCGGTAACCAGCCGAGTCGTGCCGTAGGGCCGTGTAATTATGCGTGCACGATGGAGGTATTGCCTGACCGGAAGTTATGGAGCTGTCCGTGCCTAATAGGATTCCGGCGCTACCAGGCAGTGCAAACCACTAAACCAAGCACAGAGCCTTTGTCTGGAGAAGCAACGAGGGTCCAGTCCAGGGATTTCTTAAAATTAGCCTCGATCGTGGCTGCTGATGATCTTTAGAGCTCCACCGGTGTCAGCGGATGTCCAGAACCTACGTCCATCGGAAATTCATAAGAATCTACCATAACTGGCTCTTTATCTTTCGCTCTTTGTACTTCCGGTGCCAGTCGCGTACTTCCTGGCACCACGTAGTCGGGTACGTGGATATCTCTTTGTACGCGAGATCTTTGACCCACTGCTTCTCGTGTAGCGAAATGACGTCGGCGTCGTGGGCGTCGGCGACGTCCTTGCCGAGGCGATGCCACCTTGGCTTCTCATCGATCGTTCGGCCTGCTAATCCCATATCGTTCTCTCGTTCTTTTTATAGGTTGATATGAAATTGTAACGAGGCCCATGGCCATTGAACCGCCTTGACGCGTCGCTGCCACTTTGCCTATGGAGTAGAGCGCCGTAGAACTCAAGGTCCGCCATACTAGTTAATTCGCTAACCAGCTCGTTACGGATTCACGTTTATTCTATGTCATGTGCGAACTTATCTATTTGTGTCGCGCATCGATTACCTCGCTGATTTCGCAAGACCGGCAGATGTTTTCTCAATTATGTATGCTTGAAAGGATCGTGAAACTATTAAAAATACAAATATGCTCGTCAGTCTTTTCTCATTGTCGAAGAGGAAGGGAAGCATGGTCACGCGTGGTTTCTTTCGCTAACCGTTTAATTGCCGGATCGTCCGGCAACTTCTGTCCTGTCTCGAGGAAATATTTTTTACATTTTTTACGGTAACCTCTTTGTCCTGGAAACTAGGGAAAGAACCGAGGCTCCTACCTGTGGCAAATGGACACGATTAAAGTACAATTAAAGTCCTTGCTCTTACGTCATACCCGTTGTCCATTGCTAGTAAAAACAGTTGCCTACGCGAGCCGTGAGAAATCGTTCCCGTTACTACGCGGCGCTAGGCCGCCGCATTACCAAATCGCCCAGTAGCTTCCACTGGCTGCCGCAACGCGACTCTATTTAGATAGACAATTCCATCGAAAGGAAACGTTCTACCTGGATCGATATCTTATCGCACTCTGTCCGCCTTCCTGGAACATTCGTAGCGTCCCAGTTGGACTTCGAGGGAAACTCAGCAGACTGTTTTAGTTTGGAAGTTGATAAAAAAAATCCAAAGCCGGTCGTAAACTCAAGATTTCTCAAAGCAGCAGTTTCGTGAGACTCCTCGTTGATCGGAGCGTCCTTGAAATCGGGATTCACGATCGGACATGGCTTACTTATTTTATAGATAGGGAATTAAAGTTGATTAATGCTTTTCCTATTGGTTTCAGCCCACGTGGCGCTTATGGGGCGAGGAACGCGGCGATGGCGTCATATACACGGTGTACCTTAAGAAAGTGCGCTATCACAGACCCACCAGGAGTCTCTCGGCTTCGGTAAGTAGTGAACGTTGCGGAGTTTATTGTTGTGGTTGTGCCTGTACTACTCGGTGCTGACTCTTCCTCAGGATTCCGATGACGAGATCTCGCACTTGGAATGGGAAACTGTCAGAGTCCGCTTCCTCAAGGCAGGAACCGTGCAGCGGCTGGTCGAGAGTCTTGCCAACGACGACGGTGAACTCGAGTCGACATACATCAACGTCTTCCTGGCGACGTACAGAGCCTTCACGACGCCTCGCGACGTCCTGGAGCTTCTGCTCGCCAGGTACGACGCCCTGGACGAGAATTCCGTCGCCCTGACGGGAGAACAGCACAGGAAGACTCTGGTCCAGGCTCTTCACGTCTGGCTCGATGCGTATCCTGGTGATTGGAAGTCTCCTCCCAATCATCCTCTTCTGGCCAGACTCCTGGACTTCACTCATCGGCGATTGCCGGGTTCCGAGTTGGAACTCAAAGCCAGACATCGGCTGCACAGGTTTCAACGGGAGGATCAGATCGGTACGAGAAATTGTAATTGTAAACACAAAGTGTAAAAGCATCAGCGTGAACAATATGAATCAATTGCTGATACACTTACGTATGGTATTACTGGATGTTTTCAGTGTTTTATCATTGACTAATACTCTTTGTATACTATCAATAACGTAAGGAGCTCCACTCGATGAGCTCAATCATTCGAGTACAACGTGGCTGAATCACTGGGTACATACTGGATATCGGTTCGACACACTCGGTGTAGGGCGCAGGGCCTAGTGTACACGATGTCTGATGTTCGACCCAGTCTGATGTTGCTATCGGATTCCATCCGGTGTATCGTCCTACCACATTTTTCTTAATCATTTTTCCAGACTCCTGCTTGGTCTACGATAATGGCCGGATGCAAGGTCCAGGAGATTCGATCGTGGATCACTGGCCAGGGTACACCTTTCCCGAGGTGCCGCACAGACATTTTGCCGAACAGCTGACGCGAATGGATGCTGAAGTTTTCAGGAAGTTGGTGGCTCATCAGTGTCTCGGCGCCGTATGGTCTCGCAGGGATCGTTCGAGAAGCCACGACGCCGCCACTGTGCTGGCCACGGTGAATCAATTCAACGCCGTTTCCCTGAGAGTGATATCCACTGTGCTCATGGAAACGAACCTAAAGCCCCAGGAACGCGCACGCATCCTCGAGACGTGGATAGACATCGCCCAGGAATTGCGAATATTGAAAAACTTCAGCAGCCTGAAGGCCATTGTCTCAGGACTTCAGAGCAATCCTGTCTACAGGCTCGAGAAGTGCTGGCAGTGTATGCCTCGGGAGAAGCACGAGCTCTTCAGGGAGCTTGAGAGGATCTTCTCCGAGGAAAACAATGCTTGGACTCAGCGTGAATTGCTCATCAAGGAGGGCACCGCCAAATTCGCGGATACGGCTGGCAGAAGCGATAGGCATCTGCAGAAAATATTTCAAAAACAGAATACTCACTCCGGGGTTAGTATTCTACGCCGTTCATAATAATATATTTTGTTTATTATTGTCCTGGTATATCGCTATCATGCATCCTTACAGAATATCAGTTATGGAACCATACCGTACCTGGGTACCTTCCTGACGGATCTGACGATGATCGACACAGCGATTCCCGATACGATAGCGGAGGGTCTGATAAACTTTGACAAGAGAAGAAAGGAATTCGAAGTCCTCGCCAGGATACGACTCCTCCAAGGAGCTGCGAATGCCTACAACTTTAGCACTGATCCACTTTTTGATCGATGGTTTCACTCGGTCATTGTCTTGGATGATAGAGAGGCGTACAAGCTCAGCTGTCAGATAGAGCCACCTCCACCCGGGAATACGCTCAACAACCGAGGAAAGAAAAAACAGGTGGGCAAGCTAAGAATTTATATTACCTAAAGCACAATAAAATATTCCCCGGAGATATCAACTGACCTTTCTGTGCAGAGTAATCATCAGGGTCATCGCAAAAATGACTCGATAGCCTCGACCTCGAGTTCCAGCAGTTCGCAGTTCTACTGCGACCTCGACTCTTTACCCAGTTCGCCTCACAATTCTTTGGACAGACGAACCTCGCCGTCGCAGATGTCCAGCTCGTCTTCCAGTTCCTCCCTGCCTTCCCTGGATGTTTCTCTGAGTTCCGGTGGAGCCGGAAGTTCCGGTCAGCACTCCCGACTTCAGCTCCCACCGTCTGGCCTGGCCAATGGCAGCACCCCGAACCTCACGGGGCCTATGAGTCCCACGCATTCGCACAAGAGCTCACCGGACTTCTATATAATTAAAGTCACCATGGAGAGCGACAGCGTCGAGACGGAGGGCGTCGTGCTCTACAAGTCCATTATGCTCTCGAACAACGAGCGAACGCCGCAAGTGATACGAAATGCCATGTTAAAATTGAACATTGAGGGCAGTCCTGATCAGTACACTTTGGCGCAGGTTTTACCGGACCGCGAGATGGTCCTGCCCAGTTCTGCCAACGTCTACTACGCCGTGAATACAGCGCATAATTTGAACTTTATCCTGAGACCACGCAGAGATGTGAACGAAGGGAACGTTGATAGTCCAAAAAATAAAACGACCAATCACAAACAGTAGTGGTGGCTGTAGACTAGCAATTGTGGAGCGAGTAGTGTCTTTTTATTTTTTTTTTGCAAGAAAGTAGAATGTGGTCGTCCAAAGACATTTTTAAATATGGACACCCGTTTGATCACCACCAAAACTCAATTAACTATCGTAGATAATCGTGATATTTCTCCGTATTACCATGACAACTCAGTGCAACAAAGTATTTCGAAGTAAAGCATAATTCATGATGCAGATCAAGATGATCGACTGATTCCGTAAGAATCTCAAACGGTGACAAAATGTCAAACGGTGACAGAAGCTCAAGCACGCGCATATATCAAATCTTTACCTGCTGCCTGTTCTTCAGACGTGATGAATTAATTAATCGTATTAGGTAGGACGAAGTCTAATCGTTTTATAAAAATGAAAATGTATGTCATTAGAAGGACCAATGAACGAATACTTGTATTACTGTGAGAAAGAGGGAAAATGGAAAAAAGGAAAAATCCTTTACACGTATCACTGTGCATTTGCGAATGCTCATGGAAACGGGATTTCCGGCACCTGCGAAGATTCTCGAGAACTCGAGAGTTAATGTCTATGTAATTTTTCTCTTTCTTTTTCTGTAAATAACTAGTGTAAATTCTACTCTGAGAATTTTATTTTTTCTCGGTTTTCTTCGCAAGGAAATCTTTTCGAGTACGCCATTGAACAAACTTTCAATTCGGACAATAAAATCTCACGCAGAATTTTATGCAATTCTGTATAGCTTTGTGATATTGAAATTTCTTTGGCCTCCAGAGGTATGGTCAAAGGCACGTCAAGAGTGTGTAAAGAAGAGCTTCAGGGGTGTAGCACTGGGAATCAATACTCAGAGTCGAATATAGCCTGAAATTATGAAGTAGACGGGCAGTACGATAAATTATTGGATTGGCTTTATCGATCGACCAATCTCGTAAGCGAATACGTTGAATGACATATTTAGGGATCTTCGATCCCTGAACAAATAACTCCGGTATAAGAAGTATTCGATCTTTTTAACTTATAGTCTTAGGCAATTTTGTACTTATCGACGTTGAATTTCTACTTTGTCTATTGTCTCTCACTCCGTGTGTACAGAGCGTTCTCAACAAGACGAGTACCAAGAGTATCATTAATAAGAGTCGAAAAAAGATTTAAAAAAAAAAAAGGAAAAGACAGTCAATATTTCATTTCACACATAGTCTTGCCATCCTGATCACGTTCCTCCGTGACCTCCCAAGGGAATTGAATTTGCGTTTTCTAAGCTGCATGGCCGCAAACGATCGGCAAATCGGCCCAGGATGTCAGCGACTCTTATACCCGCTGATGAGTGGACTTCCTGTACGTCGGCACTTCCGGCACGCGAACCTGTTGAGCTAAGAGTCAGTACCCAGTTAACCTAGCCAGTCCAGGTCTACCACCCCCGGTATGCAAAGTGAGGAAACACGGGGCTGGATGTTTAATGGTTCACAATTATGGTTTACGTTCTTCCTGGCCGATGAAAGACAGGTAGTCATTACTTCGGGCTCGTTTACTGTTGCCACAAAAATAGTGAAGAATATATGAAAGCTTTTATTCTCGAAAGACAAAGCCTCTTCGCATTCAGGTGTAGCACAGTAGGAACGAATTCTTGTTTGATTCCGTGTCCAAGGTCCGGACTATTTAAGAAGAATCGAAGGAAAGCCTAAGACACGAGTGGAAGTAGGCAATGAAGAGTTCTTCAGGGGTTGGTTTGCCGAAGCCACCGAGGTCACCAAGGGTGGCTGATGGTCGGGTGGTGGCAGCAGCGAGGTTCCTTCTCGATCGGACAGAGCTTGCGCGTAAGGTTCTGTCGTTAGTTGGAGAAACTCCCACGAGGTCTGCGGCGGCAGGCCCGAGCATAGAAATCCGGCCAGCATATAGGGGAGGACTCGAGCCTACTCCCACCCTCGCTCGACTCCAAAGCAACCCCCAGCTAAGCTCTCAGCGCCAGTTGTGAGCTTCGGGCCGGCTGGAGGCGATGCGTGTCTCGCGTCCAGCTTCCGTGCGCTTCCGTGCGTTCCCGTGAGAATCGCGTTGGTGCCATCCCTCCAAACAATTCGGACGCAAAGCCATGAGAGACGTGAGTTCATTCTATTCCGGCTAGAGGCTAGGTAACCTTCCGAATCCCCGAGAATCGGCTGGACTCCAACTCGGCCACGTTGTAGCAGCTCCACAAACGCGCGCGCGACTTAGCACGGAGCTGCATAACCTTTACACGCCACACGGAGACGTCGGGTCGCCACCAACATACCCACCTCGAGGCGCACACGGACGGGACGTTATTGCGAATTAGAGAGAGGATTTTTGAGTCTAAGGCAATAACCGTGCCCACACTGGCACGTACGTAGGGCTTCGACCGGGTCTCCTGGGTTCGTTAGGTTCGTTGGGTTCGTTAGGTTCGTTACATTTGTCAGGCACCGCAGCGCTGGCTGCTCTGTGTGTGTGTCTCTGTGCGTGTCACCTCTGACCCGTCCCCCAGCCACCATTCGCGTTTTATCCCCTTTTTACTCCCACGAGTCGAGCGGAAGCGATGTGCAGGCAGCATCGATCGGGCCGATCGATCCTTTCGTCGGGATGGACACGATTAATTAATCACCTGGAATTAATTCTACCTCTCCAGAGGCTCCAGCTCACTTATTTTTAGTTCTTTACTCTCGCCTGCTCAGCGTCCTTCCTCGTTCACGAACTAGCTCGCTTCCAGCCGCAAATCGGTTCCAGGGTCGACATCCTCCATCCTTTTGTGTCTTTAGCGTGATACGAGCTTCCTGCCCATACGCGACTATGTGGCCCGTATAGTGAACTCTTGATGCTTATTAGTTGCTGTCGTTTACTCTAGACGGCTCGATAGAAAACTTCCGTCAGCTATATGCCGTCGGCCGTCGGCCGTCGCCGCTTCAGACAATGCGCTTGATAGGAGACTTGGGGACTTTAGAGCCACGAGAGACTGGAGAGCCGCCCGCGTAGAGAGAGCAGCGTCGCTATCGGTTGATCGAGTGGTCACTCTTCGGCACGTATTTTTCAGTGAGATCGATAGATCCTTCGATAACAGGATGCATTACGGATTATCGTTCAGTAAATTCCAATGATTTTCTTCGAGGTAGATCTTGACTGGCGCTGCCTCAACGTACGTAACACAATGTAACTACAGCGTCGCGTTCGATGAGAACCGCCGTTAAATCTCGATGGATTTCGATTCTCGTGCATTCGACAGCCGGAGCCAATCGGATTTCCTCGCTTCAGAAAATAAATAACCTGTCAACCCCAAAACCAGCTGAACCACGAAATTTAACATTTGCAAACTATGGACGCCGTGCGTCGGGACGTCCTCGCGTAGGCATTTCCAAGCGGTCCTGTATCGCTTCGATCCGACAATGGGCGCTTTCCAGAATTCCTCTATCTATACCCCTCCCTTCCGACTGACCCTTATCTTTCCATTCAGCTGAGATATCGGGACAATATTTCTGAAGAAGCTCCCGTGAATTAAACCGAAGGAGGGTGAGCCACGACCCAGTATCGGCGCTTAGCAATTTCCCAGTAAGAATCTCAGGATTTCATTAGATCCGAATAAATATCTTTTAATCGTCGCTCGCATCTTGCATTATTGATGGTCTTATCGGCCTTGTAATATTTTTCTGGATTCTCCGAGAGAGAGAGAGACGCGACGAGTCGGAGTGTATCGAAGGAGCATACTATTATATAAAGGTGGAGCGAAGGGGCGTCGGGCCGCGTGCGTCTTGCCTCGTTCGAACGAAACAAAGGAGCGGGTCGCTCATCAAGGCATTAATAAATAATCTGAGGTTGCTCGACTGGCGGGTTAGGATACGCAGTGCTAGGTGCCTTTAGCCACTGTAGCGTCTACTGGTAACAGGTACGTCGCGAGGCGGCCGCGCGACAGGCGTTTCGTGAGAACCCACACAGAGGCAGCTGGCCACGTATGAGAATCTGAATTCCCTACCTGATATTGGCTACCGGCACAGGTGCCAGGGGAACTACATTGCGCAGAACCGCGACATCAGGAAATTAAATTGCCTCCGGCTGCCTTTTCCGTTTCGCATTGCTTGCCAGAACAAAAAAAGAGGGAAAATCGAAAACGATTACGTCGGTTAGTTTGCTTTTACGTAGAATATTGGGATATTGGTAAAACTCATCCGTGCAATTTTACGAGTCTCAGTAGTAAACGTTACGTTCGCGTTATCCGTTAGATTTTAGCACTGAGAGTCCAGTTTTACGATGTTCATTATCCGCGCTATTAATTACCCACTTTCCTTCCACCCTCGATGTATTATTCCTTCGATTTGCTACTTCATATTTGCACTGCTAATGCGGGGCCGTTTCCTTTCTTTATTTTTTTTCCTATTGCTCGTGCGACGTTCGCGGAACACGGGACACGCACCCTGACTGCGTGCTAGGACTGGTACACCGTATTGCAAGGACTAATTCCAGCGACAGGCGTCGCTTTCGTGAATATTCAACGTTGCGACGAATAGCCACGCAATGCAGAGGCAATTTCAGGCGTCACGTAAGCGCAGCGTGCGAGTGTCGCTGCTGCCTGGAAGTGCAGGAGGAATTACTATAAAGTCATGCGGTCGAGTAGCGTGGATAATCAATGCTTTATCGTTAGCCTGGAATTATTGAAGAAGCTAAAGGGACTGGAGAATCCCGATAGAGTCTCATTGTTGGAAATCGCACGAGTATAGAATGGCTCAAGAAAAAATAGGAGCGCTCGATATATTATAAATTCGCAAACGAGAAACGATTGAAGTTTTTTTTTTTTCGCGAATTTCGTAAATCCGCCAAGACGCCTCTCGGAGTAGAAGCTTTAGCCTCCGAATCACGTATCTCCGGGACGTGCTAGTATCCTACATTTTACGATTTTATTTGAGTATCATCTCCTGGAATCCTTCCACGATCCTACCTTGAATTATTGCCGATTCCTAGTTCCGATTGGATCCCCAGAATGTTTCCTACATGTTCTCAGACGGTCGAATGTGCAAAATTGGCATACTACATAATCGTGCTCTCCCGTATAAAGAAAATAAAAAGTGGCCTAAAAGTAGCCACGACTGTACTCGATCAACGAGTTAAAGGAGTTAATCAGCGCGTTGCGGGACTAATGGTCTTTTCGTGCGTGTCGAGTCTAACCGGTTAAATTATCAGGTTACCACGATGATCGAAGGACTTTCGGAGCTGCCAGCCAAGTACTCGAGCTCCATGTTTGCCAGTCTCGTGCGATCTTTACTCAACACATGTTACAAAGAATAGCCAGCAGCCAGTGTGCCGAGCGTATCGTAGCAGAGCGAGCGTATTATAGAGGAGGACGGCCGCACAGTCTTACCAACACAGGCAGGAGCAACGGCAGCCGCCGCCTCCCTGATGATTACCCTTCGGCCACAATAGCGCAGGAGCTTCGAGTAAAGGGGGGAAAAGCTCGGCTTTTTATGCGACGGCAAAGTCGTGCCGGCGATTGGCTGTCGATACGACGACCACGTGTATTTATAGTCTCCTCTTCTATGGGCCACGACGGGTCTAGCTACAATCTCCAGAGGAATCTCTTTTGTGCCGCGGAAGCCGGGAGATAATAAAACTGGGCAGGAGATAGCGCATTGCCTATTGGATCCACTCCGGAGTGTATCCGACCAACGACACGCACTTTTAATTAAGTGCTCAATTTCCTACCGAATCCACCAGGGTCAGTTTACTGTCTGTGGGCTGAGCTTTCTAGTCCTTTTGTAATTCTATAGTGTTTCGCGGACTGCCAGGGACGTATAATTCAGTAGTAGTCTGGGTTCGTGATGCTCTACTTAGGACACGGGATATGGGATATTCACATTTGGTTAGTTCGCAAAGTGCACCGCACCTGAGACACACGAGCTGTGCAGCCTAGAATCCAGAAGCTACAACGTACGAGGCTGCAGCCATGCTTGCAGTCTAGCGCCTCATGAAATATTGCTACTGCAGTCGCCGCAGTCTTGTCCGAGGCTCGAGTATCTTGGGGAAGTGGCTTCCGGAAGTCCTGCGGATCCTGTCAAAGTGTCCCAGGATCTCAAAGGGTCACTCTGCGGGGTTCGGCTGACCCTTTTATCGGAAACAGTTCTTTGCGCTTTTTGTAGTTGGCCAACTGCAGTCTTTTTTCTTTCCCCAGCCGAGCACCGATAAACCGAGTTCCCCAGGAATACTCGCGTGACCTGCACGAGTATCCAGCATCCTTATCTGCGGATATATATACATCTTTGGCATCGAGATACGCCCTGCGGAGGACGTTTTATCGCATCGTTTCTTCGCCGGAAAGCGGTTTCGTAATAGGGATGCAATTCCGGGGATGGCGTGTCGTGGGAAGCCCGTTCGATATTTCTCTCCTTGGTACTTTAAAAGCTTCCATCTTTTTTTTCTTGACTCTAGACCGTCACGAGGCGAAACTCCCGAGATATTCTTTCTTCGGGTGTTATACAAATCCAGGATGTGCTTCCTGGACAACCGAGGCCATCCCACCGTAGTCACTTTCACGGCTTGACGCCACTTACGTTTTTACGTAATCTTTAGTCGACTCTTCTTCTTTTTGTTTTTTCTTTCATTCTTGGTCAATAAACGCTTGTCCCTTCCACGAATCTCTCGTTATTTCCCTAGAGAATGGGGATCGGTAAGGAGGCAGGTCGTTAGTCTGCAAATCGGCGTTCGACTAGGAATCGACGTGAGCGATAATAGTGTCGGGTGTGTTGAAGGTTCGCGTGGTGAACGGAGCTGGTGCAGTTAATTCAAGGGCTGACCGCGAAGGGGATTCCAGGCTGCCTGTCTAGCCTCCCCGCCTTCATCCTGCCTATCTTTGGCTACCACCCACGCACGTACCCGAGTAGAAATTTATAAAGGCTCGCATCAGGCTTAAATCCTATTTTCCCCAATTTAAATTCTCTCCCGATCTGGCAATTTGATATAGCTCGATATATAATAATATACGATATTTTTCATATAGAGCTCAAACGATAATTACCATATATATATATAGCTTATTTAAAAATTAATGGCACGTTAAAATCAAATATGTTGGAAAATGAAAAAATGTTGCTAATACTAGCAGCATTGACTGATCAATTCTAAAAATATTTTAAAATGGATTTTTAAATGTCAAATCAGGTAATTCGAACCTGATGTGGGGAGAGTCAAGATATTATGATAAACAGTAATTCGGGAATTCCCAATTGGGGTAAGCAGCAAGACGGATCGTCGTGAAATGGAAATAGGTAAATATGTATAGGGCCCTGACTAGGGCAAATCGAAGCGGAACCTGAGTCGACCCTGACGATGTTAAGAATTGCCTGATGAAATTCCTACTCGAGTAACCAGGCATAGACAGACAGCTAGTCAGGGGGTTGAAATAGACAGGGCAGAGAAGTGGGGCTGGTAACTATGTGAATATAGGTGGGCGACTAGGTAGAAGGTGGAATGTATAAGGAGCTAACTATATGGATGAAGCAGGCATCGGGATGGAGAAGGTTGTAGGTGAAGCACAGATATGCCCGAGGTGCAGGGGGATATGGACGTAGTCAGTAGCGTGGGAAACGAGGAGGATGGCTGGAATGGGAGCTGCTGAATGAAGCCGAGTTCGAGGGCTGCAGTATTGATCGCCTCACCCTCGCACAACAAAACCCTCAAACACCCCCGCCCCCCTGCCCTCGGCACCACCCCCTGGCAACCCTCTCAGGCCCACGTCCACGGCCGCCCACCACTCTCTGGCAAACAACCACTGAGTCTTTCTCAGTGTCAAGGTTGACCTAGACGCTCCGAGAGGTATTTCCATTTTTGCTTGATTCGACTGGGGGGGTTAAAAGGGGGTTAAGCCGTTATCAGCTGATTGCTTGGCGACGTGATATCAGGTATTCCCTGAGCCTACCTTCGAGATGAGTAAGGTTCTGGAGGAATGTCGATGGATCAAATTGGTAGGAGAAATGAGGAAGGGAAGGAAGGAAGGAAGTTTTGATGTAAACGAAGCATAAGTTAGTCGCTCGCTTAGGCGAGGAAATCAGCCAATTAGCAGCGTGCGCCACATTATGGTTTTATCTGAGATCTGGATTCGGTCACGGCACGCTGTTTAAATTTGCCCTGCGGTGGCGACGTGCGGCTTTGGCTCTGGTCGCGGCTTTTGTTGTGGGTGCGGACTCAATTTTCTTAATGAAAAATTTCATTAAGGACACGAACTCGAGGCGCGACCCTCACCGGCACTTCTGAAAACGACAACCGTTCTACGTGTGAACACGAGGTAGCCCGGGGCCAGGGGTTCTCAACTCATAGTTGCCAGGAACGTAATATTCAACCGTCCGTTTCCGCGTTCCCAGAGTCCACGTGTCTCGGAGGAATTGACTTGCGGGTTTCGCTAATTTACGCATACGTAGCATACGTGGACGTGCGTAGCCAAGGCTACGAAGCTTCATGAAATTCCATTTGGGTACGTCCTTCTACGTTGCCCTGAATATTTACACTGATCAATGGCAGACATCCGCATTCAAGCTCTCGGCTAATTTCACTAGTCTCTCTCTTCGTAATTTTCACTTGGAGGTTCACGTGGCGTCTGCTTCAGGTTTCCTGGTGTCACACGGGTTCAATAAGAAGGAGGAAGTGAGAGGTCGTGAGGCGAGCGTTAATGGCGTTTCCGGTGAGTGGGAGTTGCAGGACGTGTAACAGGTCTGCTGTATACGAGCAGCAACCCCTAAGTGACCCCTGTCGCTTGCTAACCCCATTTCTCAAATCTAATCCATACGAGGTCAAGCTCAAGATTTTCTATTAGCTTCCTAGGTGATTTGTGGTATAAAAGCGGAATTGTATTTACGGATTTTCATCAAGCTTAAGCTTCTGCCCTCGTCTCCTCCTTCTATTTCCACGGAAAGTCAATCGCATTCCGTGACTCCAGTGATTTTTTTCGAGTGACGGGATAAAACGCCACGTGACGTTTTTCCAAAGTTTCGAAGTCTCGGCAACGCGCCACGGCGATACATGGAGATGCGTCTGGCTACGCCAGGTGGAAACTCGCGTGCCAAAAGTGGAAGCAACGCGTACGGTTGGATCATTGACCGACCAGAGAAACCTTTCTCAAAGGAAGCCATAGACGGAGCGTGCGCGTGCCAACAAGGCAATTGTTCAGAACTTGACTCGATTACCGTGCACTGCAGGCACTGTGATACCCCTACCGCGATTAGCCGGCTCTTTACTTGGGTTGCGTGTGCTCCTTAAATCTTGGACGTTCAGCCGCCGTCTCTTACACGGACCCAAAGGCATCATTCGTTTCAATTGAAATACAATTCTATAAGAGCCCCCCCCCCCACCGCCCCCTCTATAAGGATGTTCCGTTTCGAGTTGGTAAAACGTACTCAGGTATGACCTAAAGCGAGAGGACGAGCCATGGCAAGCAGCACGGAGGACTACGGATCCGAGCTGCAGGAGCTGCAGTGGGGCAGTAGCAACGGTCCCAATTTCCTGCGAAGTGGTTCGCATTTCCCGAGGAGCGGATGCTACGAGGCTGAAGATCTCGAATCCAGCAGACATCACGGGACCCAGCATCGGGGGTACTACAGTCCTCCTGGCACCAGCTACACCATCGTCGAGAGGCCCCCGAGCGCACCGCATCATCATTCCTCGCATACGACTCCTTATAGACATCGAGGACGCGCTACATCCGGCACCGGTGCTGGTACAGGTGCAATCTCACCGGAGCAGGTTCTCAGGTAGGTGCTTACCCCGTTGACCACCTCGGCAACGATTAAGCCTCCACTCGTACCGCTATTCACGAGTCCTTGGGAACTCGGAGACTCCTGATACCAACTTCCTGCGGCAGGCTCTTCGGCAATGGCGTCTCTAGCGAGAGGAGGCAGAACGGGAGACGCACTCCAGCCTCGAGTCCTGCCAGTGTCGCCATAAGGAGTTCCTCTTCCCAGCAGAGCCAACAGAATCCTCAGACTCCACCGCCGCCACAGCCCCTCAGCCTCCAGGAACTCACCGTCAGGACAATCACCATGACTAGAGATCCTCCGGAGTCTCATCATGGCTTTGGTATTTGCGTAAAAGGCGGAAAGGATGCTGGTGAGTTACTTCGCGCTCTTATCTTATTTCATACGTGATCGCGCTTAGCTTCATTTCTCGTTGAATACAGCTAATTTGGCTATAAATAATTAAAGTCGTCTCTCCGCGTGAAACTGCAATAAAGTTCACTCGCCTGCCGATAGGCAAACCTCCACACGCCATTCTTGGCCACCGTGTGGCTACAATAGATACCTAATGAACGTACCGTAAATAATACTTGATTAACGGCGCCTGGACGTAGGCAAATTGTTACACAGCAGATGTGCTAAACTCAGGCTTTCGCAGAGCTAACGTATTCGAGTGCACGAGATGAACAATCTGCAATATGACTCTTTCATTACTTTTACATATCTCGAGCACTTTGATGCGACTTTTAAAATTTCGTTGGTTAGGTTAATCGTCAAGATGTTATTTCTTGAATTGTCTGTATGTTACCTTTTATCGGAATGGTACGACCGCTCGTAGCGTTTCTGTGATCGTGATTCTCACATATGTTGTTTTCTCTAATCTAACTGCTGTCATATCGATTTACACTGTACATTCGAAAAACCGCGAAAATCGAAACGATCGTTTCGTACGCCGTTAGGATTTTTTTTCTTTCTCTCAAGTAATTATGTTGCCTCTTGACAGGCTAAAAAAAGTAAAAGAAGAGCAGCATGCTACGAAACTATTTATTTTTGCTTCGGATGAGATTGCTCGGCTCGCAAGCTCACCAGAATTAATCACTGAATTTGATCAAATCGCGAAAATCACGCGCGATCAGTCTCAGCGCAAATTACAGTCTTTGTGTACGTTTGGATGCTCCAATCCAGCCTAGTAAATTTCCATAAGAACTCCGTCTGGATTCAATTTTCGTAGAGTCCGCGTAACCTGTGCACGTTTCTGGAGATTTAATTAACGCGGCAACCTTCGATCGGTCGTATCGTCCAAACTGATTAAGAAAGAGTAAGTCAGTCACTGCGGAATTGTTTCTATCTGTTTGGCCGAACCAGAAGCGCAGTCAGGTAACCAGCGTAGTATCAGAGATCAAAGATCAGAAAAAGAAAAGCCACTGGAGAGTGAAATGATTAATTAGAAGAATGGGGCGCGTTGAAGTCCGCCGTTCTTTTAGTGTGTTATTGATAAAAGAGGCAACGAAAGAAAAATAGGAAAATAATGTAATAACTTTCAGTCTCCATGGTTTTCCGTCAGTAAAAACAGTCGATGTCGCATGCGGTATGTTGGTTGTTTCTGGCAAAATATAGAAGTCGGCTCGAGTTCATATACGATTCGATCGACTGCCTTTATTTATTCTCTGTATTTCGTAATTCGAGCCGGCATCATTATGTTGCACGATGCGTAGTACCTTCTGCACAAGTCTATTAGAATAGATTGCGAGCATAGAATTCAAAGAGAAAACTAGCTTATTTTTTATTTCAAAAAATGGATTTTCTCAATTTTATTTCTTTCATAGAATTTCATTAATACTTGACATTGTAAAGACGTCCAATTACCAATGAAATCAATTTCCAGTAAAATTCCGAAATCCAATAGAGAAAGTAGAATTAAAATTCTCAATTGCAAGAAGTGAGCAGGTTGTAAGTATTTTTTTTTTTTTGAATGACGTAAAATCATTAATCTCCTACAACACATTCTAGAGTGAACGGGTATACGTGTTAATTATTCCTGTAATCATTAATTAAGTTTAGCCGAATTAACCCAGATTACGAGCGCAACCTCCTGTACGTTGTCTCACAGCCTCACAATCACTGATTAATTCCAAGCAACTTCGATCGATTCAAGTAAACTAAAGCGTCCTCATTATTATCCATGTTATCGATTAGCCCTTGGCTGGATCCATGGGGTCAATTTGCCCCAGCTATTTTTCAATCGCGATTCTCGTACATTCAGGATCTTTAAAATTTTAAAGGATTTTTTAAATCTTTACAAAAAAGTCGATCTACAGAAGGTTTTATCTTAAAAAATATGTATTAAGATATAACCAAAAAAAATTTCAAGCCAAAATATTAAAAACAGTTGATTTTATAACTAAATTTTCTTTGGGGTCTTCAATGACCCCACTCGTCAGCTATGTTATCACAGACAAAGGATCCAGCTAAGGGTTAGAGTATCAAATGATTCAGATCAGCAAATTTGGACCTTTAATCCATCTCTATAGATAATCTCTACGCTTAGATTATCAAGGGAGCATGACTATACTTCCATTGAATGTACAGTGTATTATAATTGTGTAATTTTATTAAAAAAAAAAAAGATTCTTAGAGGATAGCAAACAAAAATGATAAAAATGACATTTCAGTCTCTGCATGTACACATCTAAACTGATTAACTGTGCATTCAAAGCCGCTTAATGGCTTTAATGTCGCAAGCTCACGACCTCACTTCCCTCTTATTTATACCTGTACTTATATATTATTCAATTATAGTATACCCCCTATGGTACAGGAGACTTCCACTCAAGGCGCCCTGAGTGTCTTCTACCCAGAGGAACACTCTAGCGTGCTTCTGGTGATAACCGATAACGCGAACCTTTGACCAGTAGAAAGTGAAAAATATAAGCTCGGCATCCTGGGTGGAGTTTTCCATGAGCACAGTCGAGCAGACGAAGCGAAAGGTGGCTGAAAGGGGGCTGAATGGGGGCTGATGGAACGTCTGCGTATTGTTTTCAGGGGTGGGCGTCTATATATCAAGGGTCGAAGAGGGTTCGGTGGCCGAACGTGCTGGACTCAGGCCAGGAGACACCATTCTAGAGGTCAACGGGACGCCCTTCCGGGCGGTCACCCACGAGGAAGCACTCAAGGTAAGATCCTCGTGGAAAAGATCACCAGCCGCCTTCTGCGAGCCCCGTATGTTTCGAAGCTCCGGTGCAGTCTGAGAAAAGGGAAGATAAATCGATGGCTTCTTCGGAAGAAGTGCCCCCCAGGTCTCCGGGCTGCTGCGTCTGCGCGAGCAATCTCAGGTGTAAATGATGCTGATCGTTATCTGGATCCGGTGGCTCGTCACACTCTTGTAAGTCGGGAGGCTGTAGACAAAAGCCCACTGACAATAGGCCATCAGAGTATCGTACATTGTGAGGTGGGAGATGTTCGGGGAGACCGAGAGAGAAAGACAGAAGGTGGTTCGGTGCTCGAGATAAAAGAAAGGAGAATGTAGGCGGTACGTGTGGGATGAGTTGAGACGTGGCCTCCGCTCCTTCTATGTATATTGCCTGCTGGAGGAAAGTGAGCCAACTAAGAGATAAAGAGATTGAGAGAGAGAGAGAGAGAGAGAGAGATGCCAAGAGTAGAGATGACGTCCTACTTGAGCTATCAGTCTTTCGATGCCACTCTCGCATCGACCCTGACTAATCCCTTGCTGTTCCACCTGGAGGACTTTTTGCAACTTAACCTATCTCAAGGCTGAAGCTCCAACCCTTTGCCTAGGACCTGGTCACGCCGTTCTGTCATTGCTCTATCACTCAGGCTACCAGATGCACCCTCTGGGAAGCGAATCGATCCTGGGCTCTTTGGTGAAATTGCAGCCCCTTGCCTGTCAGCCTTTTCAGTCCTTGCGGCATCGCGCGTCAATACAGGAGTAAATCTGTAGCATCTACATGCCCACGAAGATACACAGACTCGTGGGTATATCAGGCGAAAGGTATTTTTGGTTATTGGAAAACGTCCTTGCTAAGGACGGCGAGGACCTCCCTCGAACGGAGAATGTCTGCCAGACTGGATCGAAGGAAATAGCCAACGATAAATGTGCAAATTGAATCAGCGGGTCGGCTCTCTCGTAAAATAAGGACGTCTGCTCGTTACTTTGTAATGGCTACTAGGCTGGGATAGGAAATGCAGAAGAAGCAGAAGCAGCAGAAGCAGCAACAGCAGCGCTACTGGTGTCAGTAATAGTGGTAGTAGGAATGGTAGCAGCGACAGTAGTAAAAGGAGTAGCGACGGCAGCCTCCGTTCTCGACGGCTTAGACGGCGCCAGCCGTCCCGGCGCCCCGAGATCCCCTTCATTTATTTTATCTACATAACACGAGGCTCCCATGGAAGCTACTTTAAAATTCGGCGTCACTCGCGATGGGCAAACACTCGAGGAAATGGATCAATCCGGAATCGATTTCCGGTTCGTGGCTATTGCTGTTGTTATTATTGTTGCCGTCGACGTAGTCGAAGAATCGAGAATAGGGGAAGATTCCTTGTGTTTATCCACCAGACTAAGGCAGGAGCGTTTATTCAGCTAAAAAGGGACACTTTTTACATTGTCATAGTCCTCAGCATCTAGGATGAACTCTGGAATGGACCAGTCAGTCAGATTATATTGAAGATCCTGAAGAAGGAGAAAAAACGTGGAGTCGATCCATAGATCGTCCGAGGAGTTCGGAAAGACAGAGAATCGTTAAGGATTGTAAAGGAGCCCATTTTGATAGCGATCAGAAATGGCGAATCGGATGGGGCGTTTGAGCCGGCTTCCTTTCAATCCGGAAGTGACTTACCGGTTCGATAATAGCTTGCTAGTCCAGCACCCCGGTATACCAATACCCTTCTATACTAAACCCTAATATCCTGTCGCCGTCACGAGCTATATGGTAATTCCAGCCGTCGCAGCCCGCGATTAACGTAAAATATGTATACGTAGCGTGCGAAACCAGTATTTCCGTGCGAACGAGTGTGATGAGGGTCAGTCGTATTGTCACGTATACGTATACGTCCCTAGATGGACTCCTGCGAGGGTTACCAATTCTTCGTGTAATTGAAGGACAATTTAGGTACGAGTGGGGTTGATAAAATTTGTCTGAGGTGGTAAATTCGCAAAGACGCAACAAACGAACTCGCCTTAAGGATGAGGCAGCTCGGGTCAAGGATAAGCAGGATGTGACGTCATGGGAGTAGTCCGAGATCGATATCTATGCTACCGAATGGCGTCACCTAAAACGTGAACTCCACTTCACCTTCGTGTCCTGCGCGCTTCTCGAAATACTCGTTTCTCGTATTTTCTCGAGAGCCTGTTTGTCTTCCCAGATCGGACACGATAAGACCAGGAATTATTCAGCCTGACGAAGCTTTAATTCGAGCACGCATTCTGCGATCGATAACCTTTCGTTATTCCAATTACTTTGGTAGACTCGGTAATCCTTGCTCGTCTGGTTTCAGATGCTCAAGTCCTGCAGAACTTTGAGCATGACTGTAAGAGGTCCTGCTCTGGATCCGCGATGCAGGGGAAATCATCCTGCGTGGTCTTCGTCGGGTCGACAGCAATCTTGCAGCTGGATGGACCGACAGGGCCGACCAGCCTCGCCTCCTCCGCTGCATCCGCGCGATTCTCGTTACGCGCCCAGGACGCGAAAGGTCGAGCTCTGCATAGAACCAGGCCAATCTCTTGGGCTGATGATCCGAGGTGGACTCGAGTACGGACTTGGAATCTATGTCACTGGGGTCGATAAGGAAAGCGTCGCGGACCGAGCAGGATTATTGGTAAGGATTCCAAAAATAAACTGGAGCACCAGCTCATTAAGATGAACTCTGGTAGGAAGTTTCGGTCTCTCTTCTTCTGCATTGTCCTCCTTTCAGGTAGGCGACCAAATCATCGAGGTCAACGGCCAGAGTTTCGAGGAAGCTACGCACGACGAGGCGGTGCAGATCCTGAAGACAAACAAGAGGATGAGTCTGCTGATCAGGGATGTTGGCAAAGTGCCACACTCCTGCACGACCAGTCAACCCATGGTGTTACCAGCCTCAAGGTACCAGGAGCATGATCCTCTGCTCCTGGAGAGTCTTGGGAACCACGAGCCACCCACGTAAGGACCGAGAGCCTAGTCCCCTAGATTAGATTCGATGGTTCAACTAAATCCACTCTTAAGAGGATCCTTTTCCTGAGAAAGGAGTGCTAGCAGCAACGACTGGAGACCCAGAGGACTTCACACGGTGTCCTCGGCGACCGCTGCCATGGTCGAGGAAAAGGCTAGGGTCGTCCTGGCCAGGAGTGAAAGGGCGGCTCTGTCGCAGCTTCTCGCAGACTACAGAACACGCAGGATCACCGTCGAGGATCTCGTCTCGAGTCTTGCCGACCTTCTGAATACTCATGAGAAGCTGACGTTGCTCACTGAATTGCGAGAGCTAGTCGACAGCAAGGACAGAGCTGCTTTCGATGATCTAGTCTACAGGCCACGGGCTACTTTAAGCAGGGTAGGTCGCTTCGTTGTTTTGACTTAAAGACGAATAATCAGTAATAAATAATATTCGTTGGTGCACAGAGAAAAGGTGACAGGGCGCATTCCGACCTCGTAGTGACACCTTCGCTCCACGATCTTCCGGTAAGTTTTTACTTATATTTTCTCTTCGTTCTTATTCATAGTTTTCGAAATATGTACATGCATATAGATATGTACCAGTGCTCACTCTCTCTCTCTCTCTCTTTGTGTCTGTTGTGTGTATCTACTCTCTTAGACCTGTATATTCTCTTCCGAAACGTATCTCCTATCTCTTTCGTGTTGGCAACATTGCGCGTCAGATTCTTCCTTGGCGCCTAAAGCAACTTTGGATCACAAACAAATTTCATTATGACATTATACATGTACATGTAATGAACCCTATGTAAATTGAACACAAAAGCCATAGAAGAGCCTGACGCATTGTACCAATTTGTATGTCATGTGTCCTCTTATCTGTCTCCACCAACCTATATACCTACTTATCGTTAGATGGCTACACGTTTCCACGTAGAGAACCCTTAAAAAAGGACCTTAACTGAACGAAAGATCTGTAAATAACGGACCAAGAGATGAAGACAAATCGGGGGAGGGAAAAGAATAGAGTAAAGAATGAGAAGGAGCGGTGGAGTGTTTTGAAAGGAGGAAAACTCGTTATCGACTGGAGAGGTGCGAGAGAGCGCGAGAGAGAGAGGAAAGAAGGGGAGGGTGAAAAGGCGAACATCGCAAAACACACCTTTGCGAGGCTGTAGAATCACTCGAGAAGCCTCGTGGAACTCTGAAGGGGTTGTGGGGGGAGGGGGAGGGGGGGAGGTTGCAAAAACGAAGCAAAATAAAATGCGACTGTAATTGTCTAGATTTGTCTGAGCATGCACAATATACGGATAGACACACCACTACGCAGTCAAGAACAGAATATTTACGATTATAATTGTTCTATATTTATTTGACAAAAAGACCAAAATATTTGAACGTGACGAAAAATCTGCCAGAGACGCGTCTGACTTTTTCGTAAGAAATGTCGATGACGTCTCGTCTTGAAATTTTTGTAAGAGGTGACGACCTATGACATATATGTACACGCATATACATTGCACATCACCACATGGCACGCACGTCGTTCTTTAATTCCTTGATAACTTTCCTTCGTTCTTTCTCGACTTTTCTCGGCCCTCTCGGCCCTAGTAGCATGAGCTCCAGAACCTGCGCAAGCTGACCCTCGACCTCTGCTCAAAATCTCCCATGGATATGCCAAGTCCGATATGCGACAGCCGCGCGCAGCATTCATTAATATTATATCTATTTTCATTATTTCGTTTTGCTTGAGACGCCTTGAAGCCTGCGATATTTTCCTTCTTACAAAACAAGTCTTGCATTTTTTGGATCAGTCGCTCCAAGAGTCGACTGCTTGACGATCGGTCGACTAGACTCGCTAATTCGCAATCAATCATCGACCGATCGTTGTTTTCTGCCTGATCTAATGAAGAATAATGAATTTTTCTCCATCGCCAATGGGTTCGCCTGAGCTTTGCTGGATTTTTTCCTTGTGTTCACGTTGATTTTTTAATTCTCTTACAGTTCTTTTTTTTTAATTTGTACTGACGTCAAACGAATTTTGTTCGCGTATTCGAAGTTCCGTGGAGTGCGGGTATAAGTTCAATCTCGAGTCCCGCAGCTTTTTCTCGAAGTGCTAATCGTGTACCTAGAGAATCCCTAATGGGACACCTTAGATAATAGGACACATCAATGGACGAATTGTCGGCATGGGTTAAAATTAAAAAAAGGAAAAAGGAAAAAGGGCTAGTACAAAGCTCCGGCAAGCTCGCCACGCGATATCAGTTGAAGGCTAAGCGGCCTGACGGATCTGATAATTTGCCGCAGAGGGGTGTTTCCGGGGGTTGTTGCCGACCGGGACGACTGGTGGACATCGAGGGAGATCCTCTGGGAGTGACGGGACCTCTCCTGTCCAGGGATAACCAGGAGTATAGGTCGCCGAGCGAGGACAGCGGTCTCGGGGCTGACATGCCCAGGACCAGGTCGAGAGACAATACCGATCCAGGAAGGTCCTTTGCCAGCGAGAATTACTAATTACTCAAAAGCGTCCAATGCCTTGTCTCTCTTTTTCTTTCTTTTTCCATCCTAATCCACGGATCGCTAATTTTACTTAAAGGTAGAAAGAGAAAGTGACAGGAGATAGGAGGGATAATGTAAAGGGGGTCGCTTCGTGAAAGATAAAACGTGGCCTATCGATCTAGAGAGAAAATAATCCGAATTCGGTGTTTGGCCGAACCTTGATAATGAATTTTTTTAAAATACACCCACACGTGCGCTCGGGCGTCATAATAAATCAGTAATAAATAATGAGGCATCTGGATGCTCGATACGCAAGCGTCAAATAGAAAAGGGTGGCCAAGTCGATATTTCATTTCCTAGCTAGGCAGTTAATGCGTTCCTTCCTTTATCGATAGGTAGCACTAAGTACACGGACGTATACGTGTATCGTTAAACGTATAGTTTAGGTAGGAGGAATCACGTGCATGCACAATAGACTAACAGCCAGTCGGCAGTAGCCAACCTAGAGAAACTATAAACTACCGTATAAAGATAGGGCTGTTTTATTTTTGTGGGGAATTGGGCCAAATCCTCGAATCGATTGGTGCACTACCACCCGGGGCAACTTTTTAGGAGGGCTGGAACTAGAGGGACACCCTAATAGGATTCCTGACAGGAGCCTCCTGCGGCTGTCACGATCACGTGTGTGTTCCGACTCTTGATCCATTTGGACCCTACTCTAACTTTACCAAGGGAGTTTATTGTGTCGATCATATGACAGCTGTCAAATCTGCCTTTGCTGCCTACATTCGAACAGTCCTGCATGTGAATTACGTCTTCGCGTCCTGTCCCAGGCTGCTCGGTATCCTGGGCAACCAAATTGAAAAAACAAATGACTTGCCGTGAGAGTTCGCAGTTCACAGCGATTCACAGCAGTTCACAGTTCGCCTTAGAAATGAGAAGTCGGGTGGTTCGACTGGTGCAAATATATTCGCGCTGTTTTCGCTTTTTGAAGTGGGGCTTCTTCTAATATTTCTCAGGGCTGCTACGTCAAATCTGTATAAGGTCAGAGTTTAGGCGCGAAATTGACCTTTTGGGGCGGGAGGATGGGTGCTACCTAATAGTCCTAATGGTGCCTAATGGGTCCCAAGAGTTGGACGGAAGTAAAATGACCTTTGGATATTCAAAGTATTTCTGAGAATTGCTGCGCCGTTCTTCTCCCTGGTCTCAGGGGCCTACACGTTGGCTGGCACGTTGCGCTATTTCTATTCGGAAAAAGTTTGCATGAAACTTGTTAAAGGGTTAGTGGGAGCCAACCGAAGCCTCCCTGTCCCTCTAGCATCCGTTTTCCTCCCTGCAACTCCTAAAAATGTGTTCCGTGTTGCTTTCGAGCTTCACCAGCAACGGGTGAGAGTCATATAATTTTCTTGAATCTTTCACTTTTTTTGTATTTTTCTTCTTTCCATTCTTTCTTTTCGCCAACTAGAATTTATCGCCACATTGGAAAAGTTTGGCGGATAGGCTTATAAGCGAGAAGCAATGGTATACGAAGATGGGAAGAAAAGTTTGAGTTATCATGGTGAAGGTATAGTGGATCCAGCGATCGTAGTGGATAACGTGGATGACGCGAATGGCATTGATGATGATTACCATGAAGTATGAGTGTGCTAATGTCATTTGATGTCGCTGGCAAAAGGACTTTCATGGCAGCTCGACGATTGGTGCAAATTGATTTGAATGATTTTCGGACTTCCAGAGTGGGCTGCAGAAGAGGTCAGCAGCATCAGGTCGCAACCTCTGACCTCGCCCTCTCCAACGATGACGAGTGTGATAATCAGGTACACACATACACACACGCGCAGACACACGTGCAGGCATAAAGGCACTAAGGTGCATTCAGAGACGCCTGAAAGATATGAGAACGCGCGTCGCGACGCTTTAATGACGGCGGAAGCCGAAAGGCTCCCTAGAGAGTGAGGCGCCTGCAACCGGAAGCGAAGTCGCGGAACGGAGGAAGCCGGAAGGAAGCGCCTCCTGCAAGAGTACAATGCTTCTTTTTTTTCAGGACTACGAGGACGAGACAGGAAACGACCGCGGTCGACGTCACAGTTCACCAGGAGGCTCTCGGGGCAATTCCCGGGACTATCCTCATCATCATCTTCTTCCTGACAATTTGGTAAGTCGACAACAGCCATATGAGACTGAATTTCGAATTCTAATTCCTTTGCCCCTGTCTATTGCGTAACGTAGATGTACCTCAGGTTGTCTTCTTTGGGGTCAAAGATCAGATTCGTAAATGGACTACTTCCAAGTGCCTAGCCTGTCCATGAGATTCATTAATTTGCATATCCTTATAGTCCTTGTAGAACAGAAGAAAATTAGATGAAAGCTCGTCGCTTGGAAAGTGAGATCGTTACAAGTAAGATACGATATACGTAATATAGTTATAGTTAATATTTAGATAATCAGGATAGCGGAGAAAAGTTTCTTCTTATTGTTAGTTAGATAAAAAAATTTTACTGTGTTCCATAATATAGGATAGCCGAGGGCGTTTGGAGTTTAGTAAAACATAGCTTACTTCGTTCTAGTAAATCACACGGATAGTCGGACCCGGCCTCTAGAGTTTTTAGTTGAAAAATGAGGATTTACACGCTAGTGTAATACTGTCCTCTTTGTTTATCTCTCTCACTTCCCTTTTCTGTCCCTTCATTTTTTCCCTCATCTTTCACGTTCCTTTTCTTCCGTGGAACACCTCTGTCCGTCAGAAATCTCTTATGTACAGCAGTCAGCCTATGAAAGAGTCTATTCGCTAGGTACTGTCAGTAGGAATTTTTGTCCCCGAGTGAATTCGGTACTTTCTCTCTCACTCGCTCTCTCTCTCTCTGTTTCTTTCTCGCTATCTCTCTCTCTCTCTCTCTCTCTTACGACTCGCCTCATTGTCAAAAGAAGAATTCGCGGTCTCCCGTTTGATCCCCTGGAACACTCCTACCAAGCTCAGAAGAATCACGTAAACGTCGGTGAATCTTCACGAGGACTTCCATTCAGTTAAAACGGATGTAAGAGTCTATAGGAACCGGAAGTGGGAAGATTCAAGCCTCGAGTGACACGCCGCTTAGAGTTGCCAACCGTGAAAAGAGATCAAAACGGTCGATTGGCAATTGCCAAGATCGTTCCTCAACATTTGCATTTGCCTTTCGGTTCGATTGCGGAATCGATTAGATTTTTTCTTATTCTTTTTATATATTTGAATTTTCTTGTTGCACCCGAGCGCTCATTGTCCAAAGAAGCCGAGGAAGACGTTGCGAGCCTCTTTGAAAGGAAACGAAGGTGAAACTTGGAGCGTCATCCGGGTGAAACGATTATGGAAAGTAAATCCATTCGAGTCATCATCGACCAATCCCAACCGAATCAGCGAAAGTCATCGCTCCTCATAACTGGAGCAGGTTCATTAATTAATCACGCGCAATTCTTCTTATTTCTCGTTACGAGTCATCGTTCTTTATTGACAAGAATAATTATCAACAGTGTATATATATATAATATATGCGTGTACAGGGTGTATAAAATATTCACGAACAATAATATATGTATTGAGGTTCTATGTACAGGGGTAGGGAGGAATTGACGAACGAATCGATCCAGTCCATTTAGATAACGAGAATAGTAACCACCTGGGTACAATCAATAGGATTTCCTTTAACCACGCGCCTGGACACTTTAATTTTCCGATTGACGAAGCTCAGGGCGCGTGAATAATTTCTCGGCGAACGGAAGATTTACTTGTGTCGGTAGGTGATAACATGATAAAGATAAATTGGATGAATCAAATAAATGGAATAATTCAATAAAACGCATTCGATCCGCAGGCAATCTCCTGAGATACCTAATCCTAATCCTAATCCGAGCAAGTGATTACAAGCTAGCTTATCCTTCGAGATATACGAAGAGAAGGTACAAAAATAGGGGATCCGGAAATGAGTATCCCTCCAGGTCAAAGTTTATCCTGAAGAGCCTGACGCAGTTCTTCCGTAGCCTTGGCGACATCCTGGGCCTGCCTCGCGTGCGCTTCCGGTCTTACGTGCTGAACACTCGAATTTGACCTCCTCACGGAATTTCCACTGCCAAATTTCGGCCGCGGAATTCTCACGCGCTGCACGTCGCTCAGCCAGGACTCCATCCTTCGGTATAGTATCTCTAGATTTCCTATCCTTCTTCTTCTCCTCTTCCTCTTATCTCCTCTCAGTCTGCGCAGCTCTCGATATATTCAAACCTGAAAAATACGAAGGTCTTTATCGTGACACAAAGGAGCTTCCCGTAGCTCGGGAAAAATGTAGGTCGAGCGACGCAGCCAGCCGTTTTACGAACACCATGAGGATGTCACTGGGCCACGAGGCTGGGTGACTGGCTGGCTGGCTGACTGGCTGACTGGCTGACTTTGTCGGGCCACGAAACAGGCTCTGCATCGCAATCAGCCTGTCCGACTGACACTAGGCCACCTCGTTCACCAGACTGAGACGAGTTCTTTGTGCCTTTTATTCTCCCATCTCCCATCATAAAACCACTGACCCCTCCTGGTAATTGCGAGTAAAATGCACGGGACGCGCGTCCGCGGCGCCATGTTGGGAATCGCGAGTCCTTACGTAGTAAATTAGCGGGAAGTTCAAGAGGCGCAGAGACAAGTGACAATTGGGACGCAGAGGTAAAAAAGGAATTGAAAAAGCCTTAACGTTAGCCGTTTAACCGAATCCAATTAGCTTCACTCGATTCCAGGATGTATCTAGCCCCAGGCCGTTCCGTTACTAATTCTCACCATTCTTCTCCACTTCTGAGTATCCATCTTAGGTTCCTACTCTCGGACTCTGTCTCAGCACGTAGCAGTGACTAACGTCCCTCTTTATACGTCCCTCTGAGGAACGGAGGAGAAGAGCGAAGAATGAACGCGACGAGCCCGGGGCTCACGTGTTACATCGTGGAACCGGCTGAAATTCATAAATTCCCCGATGTACCGATGTACCGTACTGGATATACAGTTAGTTGCATCCACCTATACGAAAGGCGATAACGAAGGATCCTCCGGAGGATTCTGCATTGAAAGTTCCAGTGAGGATTTTCGCTGTCGATCGATTATCAGGCTCATTAAGCTAAGCAACTTTCTAGGCAACCGAACTCTCCTCTGCTTCAGCAATTTCTAATAAGCGCGAATAAATAAAAGTTTAATTCGGTCAATTCGAAAGAGTCCTCCATCTTGACTTTGGTATCTGGGTTGCTTCGCGATCACTCCCTTGTTGCTTTTAGATTAGATTAATTGTATTCCGGCGATTAGACTTTCCATTGAACGACGAGTCGCTCGCTTAACTCGATTTATCTTTTGATGCAATGTAAAATACTTGCTTTGACAACTGTACCCGTACTGGCGCGTATTACTCGATTGTTACTGATTATTTCACGTAAGCCAATTGCGCAATTGGCTTACAGATGCGATTACGGCGACTCGAGAGGATCGCGAACACAGGCTGAGTTATCTAATTACCGCAACGTCTCCTTGATTGTGTTTATTGATTGCGAACCTGCGAGACACTCGCCCGTTCCTTAAATTCTCATTAACGAACCAACGATTCACCACGGTGAGATATCCTATCGCTCTACCGCACAACGTTGCGATAACTTTTCTGTATTCACTTCCTTTCTCCTCTATTTTCACGCAGACTCTATGGATATGGATATTTACACCGTTGACACGTCCTCTTTTCCCCTGCACGTTATCCTTTAATTTCTATTAATTTACTTCCTCTTGAAAACCCACTACGACGCGTCCGGACTCTTTTACTGTGGACTCTCTATTTCCCTCGTACAAAAAAGACTCTTCTGGTTCTCCTCCTAAAGCCCAGTATCAACAGTGCCAACTTACTCTGGATTGCTGGTTGGTCTCCGTTTTTCCTTGTTCTTCCTTGGACACTCTTGCTGGACGGGGACTCGGATTGGTGCTCGAGGGAAGATCGAGGTCGTCGCCGGATATTAATCTCAAATTTGGATTAAAACGATGAAAGAGAATAGTGAAAAATTGGAACCGCTCGAGTAAGAATAGTCAGCTGGAGCGTCGAGGTGGGCACGTTGCGCGCTCGTGTTATCCTGGTGACTCGACTGAGCTCGACTGATTCAAGAACCGAAGAGCCGAGTACGAAGCGGCCAGACTCGCCGCCAGGTTTACGTTTACTCGATCGGCAGTGAGTAAACGAGTGAGTATTCTGAGAGAGGGAATGAGAGGGACTGAGAGGGACTGTAGAACAGGTAAGAGGCGAGACGAGCAGGAAGAATGGTTCGACGTTGTTGCCAAGTTGCCAACTGACTGGTTTCGATGCGCATTACGCTCGAGACTTTGGTATCATCTTTGAGAGGATCGCTCCCACTTGGGAACCTGTCCCTGGATACCTTGGACTCCTGGGTATGACCCCCCTAACAAATGGAATATTCGCTAGAATTGGCAAGGGTGAAGTGCTCGATCGATTGGAAACCGAAATAATAAATCAAAATCGACAAGGACTCCGAATGCGAATCTTTTGAACATCCGAGCCTATATCGACGGCCCGGGGAATGAGAGGCGACTTCCTGGTCTTGGGATTCCTGCAAGGTTATCATCCTGGATATCGGAGGCGGGACCCCAATTCGTTTGGAGACTCCCAGAGACTTTCTTTCTGAGTCAGCGTTTGCGTGACTCACGCACAATTAGTCCAGCTAGAACGGACAAATGTCAGAATGGTCTAACAGGACAAATGGACAAATGGACAGATGGGCAGATGGGCACATTGACAAATGGACGCTCGGGTGACTGACCTAAGAAGCCCTGATATTCGTTCAGGGCAATTCTGCTTTGATTTAGCTTAGAAAGCCGAAAGGCTTATGAATCGATCTCACCTAAGTCTGACGTTAGTCCTGACAGGATTCCTCGCGGTTGGATGTATTAGACGCAGCAGACGTCGAATCGCATTAAGTCGGCTTCGAGGTCAGAGTCTAAGAACAGGAATGATTTGATGAGAAGGAGGCGAGTAGGCAAAAAATGAAAGAACCGATCGCAGGATCGATCGATGATCGGGGATTCCTGAGCCCTGTTGAGCTATCGCACTGCTCGTCGGCCCTGCTCTTTTCTTTTTCCTCGTTGATTCACAACAGAAGGTTCGGCCACTCTCGTCTCGGAACGATTAGGCGGAAGCGATGATAGCACAGATAAGCGTTACTTATTTTTCGAAATCGGCCGCCTGTAAATTTCCTGCGGTTCGGCAGCGCGATGCGTTGAAGTATGAAAAGCATAAGAGCATAAAGGGGCTAACCGCATAATGATAACAGGCCGATGCAGGTCGTGGAGAAAGTTTTGACTTGCTCGAACCAACTGGACGGTCAATTTTATGACTTTACCGATTGTAGGTCAATTATTGCAGCATTGCCGCCTGGCACGTGCATTTACGTTTCTCCACGCTGACGGATTTCCAGTTCCAGTACCTTGGTCAGTCGTTATGTGCATAAGAAACGTACACGGTGTACTTAGCATTGTACGGTAGCCTAGCAAACGGAGCACCAAGTCGACCATGTTGTATTTCCTGCACGTTGAAAGACGCGTCTCGTTTGTGACACTTGGCCACTGGTCTTGTGCTCACAAGACATAGGTACTGACCTATGCACAGAAATCGATAGACCGTATAAGAATTAGGTAATGGAGCTGGGATCGATTGGTCCAGGATGCTGGACGGTGGAGGCGAAGGATCCCGATAACGTACCACTGCTTTACTGATAAGGAGGCTAATTTGGGATGCGCTGTGTTTGGGGGCTGTTGTGCTAGGAGAGCGACGGAGGGTGCGAGGGTAGCGACGCCGAGATGATCGGTAATGGGAGGCGAGGCAAGAGGGATCGGGACCGCGATCGTAATCGAGATCGTGATCATGATACGGAGGAGGATGATGACGAAGGAAGGGAGGAGAGGAGCTCGGAGGGTGTTGGAGGTGGGGGTTTTGGTGGTTGGAGGTCACACCTCCTTGGTGGACTGACCCAGCGTGTCAAATCCTGGTACTGGGGCGCCAGGCCCCTCGTAAGTTTCTCTAGTCTCACGCATTTGAGCTAATTTCGGGTATACCTAACCTAACCTACCTACATCTACCTACCTCACTCTTTCTCTCACTCGTTCACTCACACACTCTCTCTTCTCTTTCTCTTTTTTCTTTTTTCTTTTTTTCTCACTCTTTCTCAATTTCTCTCTTTCACACGCCACACGCACCGGCACTGTCGTCAGACATGCACACACGCGGACACACTCTTTACCCACTAATTCAATCAATCAGAACTCAACTATCTACTCTGTTGTCTTTCTTTTTCCTAAAGATGCATTATGCAGCTTATCATCATTTTCCACAATTGACAAAATACTTTTCTTCCTTACAATTGGACACGTACAGAGATACGAAAATTTGTATATTTACTTTGTCGTACGACCACTCTCTCTCTCTCTCTCTCTCTCTCTCTCTCTCTCTTTACTCTAAAGACTGTCTTTCTTTTTCCTAAAGATGCATTATGCAGCTTATCATCATTTTCCACAATTGACAAAATACTTTTCTTCCTTACAATTGGACACGTACAGAGATACGAAAATTTGTATATTTACTTTGTCGTACGACCACTCTCTCTCTCTCTCTCTCTCTCTCTCTCTCTCTCTCTCTTTCTTACTGTAGAATATAAGAAACAATGCATCGTAATTGAATTATTTTGTCGCATGACTATAATTACGGTTTGCAATTATCATTCTTGTTTCTCTTACTCTCTGACTATCCTCTCTCATCCTATGACTACTGCCTCTTCTCTCTCTCTCTCTCTCTCTCTCTCTCTTTACTCTAAAGACAAAACGAAACCCTTTACTCTATAGAGTTAGCGATAGTGAATAGAGCGTGTGTACGTGTTACTTAGATGTCTTGCACATGAACTTTCTTTTTCATTATTCTTATTAAATTAAAGCACGATACTAGATGTCTTGGCATGCACCAATCACTAAACTCACATGATTTCGAATGGTAGGAAATAACAGAGTTCAATGAAGTTTAATAAGAGAAAAAAAAAAGTAGAAAAATCTCTCGAAGGAGCGATCGATAAATCATAAAGATCTTTCGAGTAGAAGACAAGAGTGATTACTGATTAGAATGATGATCGGACGGCATACCGTGGCCACTCGATAAGACGCTGTTTCAAAGTACTCGCTGCTAATCAGAGTCCTTATCACGACGCCTGCAAGGCGTCTGGATGATTTAGATGTTCATTGAGATGCCAAGAGAAATTCCGAGAGACGTTCCCGATCCCAAAGTGAATTCAGTAAAAGCGGCCATTGTCTTTCGAAAGACGCGCTGCTCGCGAGCGTTTTCCCAACGCCACGGTTTGCCGTACTTTCACCGTTTCTTATTTTCTTCATTTCTCCGTTTCTTTATTCAAGAGGACGGCACCTCCACGAGATCTCGCGATAATCGAAGGGACGCCTGGCGCTCGACGATCCACGATCCGTCATGATACTCATGTTACTCACGATGCACGATCGATCGTAGAATCGTCGATACTCGCGTAGCTCAAAGAAACGCGCGCTACGAGTCCTTCTTCATCCTCTTCTACTTGCTCTGATCATAATAATTTTTTGACGCGAACACCACCACTCTCCGAGCACCACCACACCCAACCACTTAACCAGCCTATCTGCAAGCATGACTTAATACATATTTTATACTCTAAAATATTCACGCAGTGTCCTTTCCTAATGGCCCATACACTCGCACAAAGCACGGGCTCTGATAAGGGGTTCTTATTAATCTGCATGTGCCGAGCATCAACGAGATCAAAGAATGCGTAATTGTGCCAGTCCTAGATCAATTGACCCGTGCTTGTGGAAGCGTGTATATAGCCAGCGGCTAGGAGCACTCTCTTCACATCATAATATACAACAGTATGTACGTATGAACTAGCGTGAGCCTTTAGAGATTATAGTGTTATCGTGTGCGTGTGCCGTGCGTAAATTTGCGCGAACGTCCGTGACAGCGGTAATATTTCCTAGTGGGGCTTTACCTCCTCCGGCTGATCGTAAACCAGTCAAAGATGACCAAACCAAAGAAATAAAAAAGTCTCTGGCCATTGTTGACGCCAGCACAATCGGGGAGCTATCCCGTGGGCTGAGCGCGTTATAATAATCGATGATCGCGCCTGGTTAAGGATAACCAGTGTTCACGCGTCCCGAAGATGAGGTGGATTGTCGGCCCGGGTGAAGTATTGTCGCTGGTGCCGGACGTGAGTGGAGACTGTCACCAATCAAATTCTAATCCTTTCAGGAACTCGCGCACAAGCTGTCACGGAGCTTCGACATGCAGGAGGCGCAACTTTTGGAAGAGAGTGGATCCGGAAGTGGAGCAGCCGGAAGTGGTGGCTCGGGTGGACCACCCCGGAGGCACCACAGTGCTCAGCGGTTAACCAGGAGCGAGATGTCCGAGAGGAGAGAGGAGGACGGTGCCCTGGTGGTTCCTGATCATCAGGGCAACCTGAGAATCACGGTCAAGAAGACCAAGTCCATTTTGGGTATCGCCATTGAAGGTGGAGCCAACACGAAGCATCCTCTGCCGAGGATCATCAATATTCACGTGAGTACTCGTACTTTTTGATTCGTACAGATGATTCGATCCTAGAAGGCAGAGACGCTTGCCCAAGGCGACGTCCTTTCTGATATTCAAGGAGTTACTTTCGCGCGATCCACATCGCTCGAGGAACCGGTTTCAAATTCGATCCTAAAACGGATCTCTTTTTTTTTTCTTCTCTTAAACCCGCCGAGTCAAACCAGTCAAAAGCGCGAGCGCTTAACGGGTTCCGTTCCGGCTTTCTGTTCCGGTGACACGACCCCCGCGTCCCTCTCCAGAGTGCCTTGACCCTTGCGATCACGAATTGCCTGACGTAACTAGACGCAGAGCTAGTGGTCGCGTCTAAAGGAGAATGAAACTACTGTTTCAGGACAATGGAGCAGCTTACGAGGCCGGTGGACTCGAGGTTGGTCAGCTGATCTTGGAGGTCGACGGTCACAAGGTGGAGGGTAGGGCTCACTGGTAGATTAGAATATCTAAAAAGAAAAGAAGCAACGATCCAGCGCTTAATCGAGCTTAAAACTTGCAGGACTTCATCATCAGGAAGTGGCCAGACTGATAGCCGAATCATTCGCACGGCGGGATCGTAACGAGATCGAGTTCCTGGTCGTCGAGGCGAAGAAGAGCAACCTGGAGCCGAAGCCTACGGCCTTGATTTTCCTAGAGGCGTAGCAAGAATCTCCCACCTCCGAGCCGGAAGTATCCTAGCTTCGAATCCCGAAGCCAATTCGAGAGTGATTCCTCAGAATACATGAAAAACGCTAACGGAAGAAGAAGTATTGAAAATTATTAAAAATCAAAGAAAAATTACTCTCTGGCTTCTGGATCTGACTGAATCTCCAACAAGTTTACCGATTCAACTGGCCCAGGTGGTGGGAAGATTAAGACACTTGTGTCGGCTAATTCGACTCAATCTAGTCGCTAAGCGCTGATTAGAGAACACGTGTTGTCAATCGTATACCAGCGAGTTCCGCAGCGAACAAAGTGGGTATGACGAATTGATGCTACAGACGGGAAGGATGGAATTAACACAGGACAAGCTGCACCAAGGAAGAGAGAAAGAGAGAGAAGAAGGAGTGCACGCAGTTTAAGTGGAACCGGCCAAGAATAATGGCCGAAGACGTTGATGGTTGGTTCGCCTCAGTATTAGACATATTCACGAGAAGCGTGCACTGTGCCAAAGTAATTAGCGACGTTTCACGTGAATATATACATACGTATATGTACGGAAAATACATATAGATCCTCGTGCGTTACGTTTAATCAATGAGTCTGTTAATGCGAACGATCGGAGAGTGACGGCAGTGCGCATGCGCGCACGCGACAACCACGACTTTTCGCTAAGAGATTCACGATGCAATTCACTGTTGACTAATGTGTTACAATGGCGCCGAAGGATTAAGGTCCTTGCTCCGCTCCGCGCAGTCATCTTTTTCTTTTTATCTCGCGATCGAACGATCGAGCGATCCTCCATAGATTTTTTGGTCCTAAGGAACAGTTAAAGTCGAAGAGCGGAGCAAAGTCGTTTAATTCTGTCGAGCGATAATTATAGACTTATTATGGGAATTGTTGAGGCTTAAAAAGTATATATAAATATATATACCTATATATATACGTATACGTATATATATATAATTATTACCGAAAATTCTCGTAGTGGAATGCAAGTTATAAATATATGGAGTGTTCGCAATTCGTGAAGAGGAGAACGACTAGTATATATATATACATATATATATACATAATATTTTCAAAAAGTAACACGTAGTTGTGCATAATCTAAGGGTTACTACAGGCCTGGTGAATCGGGTCTAAAATTGCGATACGATCCGGTGAGCTTCTAGCTTATTTTACAAGAGGATTTCCAATGTTTTTCTTAGTTTTGGGAAAATCCGAATTCGTTGATAATCGTTTAGGAATGTTCAAGCTCATCGTGGATCGTAGCGCTCTTTAGGAGGATTGCGTGTAACGGTACTGAGGCTGCTCATGGTACTCGATTGGTTTAGAAATTAGAGGAGCCACGCATAGGCGAGTTCAAGGTAATAAGACAGATACGCATGCAAAGTCATAGGCGGCAGGCAGAGACACTGGAAAAGACAGAACTGCACTGTGAAAATAACTACAACCGTGTATCTTAGAGGAACTTAGAACTGTAAAGTTGGTAATGTGCCAAAACGTAGTGAGTAAACGAAATTGAGATAAACTCGAGAAGAAGATTGCCCGAAGAGAAGAGGAAATGATGGGAAAGTAGGCCGAAATAAAAATTGAAGAAAAAAAAAGATGGATACGTAACACGTAATGTACAGTCTGTGCCATTTCGGCTTTTATTCTGATTCTTTTTGTAGCACGCACAATAATGGCATAATAAGAGATGCACCGCTTTTAACCGTGTGACGACATGGAAATCATCATTATAGAATGTCGGGCGGGTCTTCGTGTACAGGATGGCCGGAACGGAGACCCGAAAGGGGATAATAAAGAAGGATCGATCGACGGCTGAAATAATGTAGGAGAAGATCAAAGAAAAATAGAACCGAAGAAAGAAATAAAGACAGGCAAACTATTTCCGAACAGATTTTTTTAAAAACTTCCAGCCTCTGGCTTCGTTTCGGGTCCAGTCGGTTCTCGAGAATGGGACGATCCTATCAGCTGGGATGCATAAGTCCAATATTTTTTAAACGGCTTTCGAAACACGCACTCCGGGCGGCCAGAGGTTCAGCTGACATATCCGACAATGCCTTACTGCTTTGCGTCTTGATAATTGAACTGTTGATCGGACGACGATCGACGAGAATCCAAAATCGAGAATTCATTTGTCCCGGATAGTCCCTCGATTCGCCCTTACCGATTCTTACGAACGATCCTTGAGGCTCTCCAGTCTCTGGAGCTCTCTTTGGATCCTGGAGATTTTGAGGTGGGTCAATGTCACGAGTGCACTGGAAAATTAGGAAAGGAGGAATGCACGTAAACAAAAAGTTTTTTCTATTCTCACTGCGATTATTCGCGATAAGCACCGGTCAAAAAATCGATGCACACTTGAAAACGAAGATTCGACCATGATAAAAAACTGCAATGATCTCCAATTCCGAGAAAGAAGAACGACAGGTGGACCTGAAGTGTGCTGGACCGATCGCAGCTTCTCTCGTCGCGTCAACCTTCGCCATTCCTATGTACAGGCGAGATTCTCTCGATCGATCACGATCGATCTCTCGGTAGATTCAAATAGACAAGTAGTGCGTAACCATACAAATAGAGAAGTCTAGTAGATCAGAGGAAGGATAAAAGGTGCGATGAACCCGTTAGAGATTTAGCAAATCGCAGCTTGAATCGTAGCGAAACTTTAGCAAAGTTTATTTTTTCAAAAATAACCCCACCTCCCACCCTCTCTCCCTCCCCATCACCCGCTCTCTAAACGTACCTGCATACAAAAAAAAAAGACAGCCTGACAAGCCAATTACAACATCCTGTCCAACGATTAGTTGGAATTGCATGAATCAGATGAAAAAAAAAAAACTTTATCGAAGGTCCTACCTAGGTCCTCCCTGATTTTTAGGGATGTCCTGGGGATCCTCCCCAATATCAACCCCTTTGATTCGACCCTCATCACACCCAGGCCCTCGCTCACGGCATTCGTCTTAATCGACCGTCAATGCCAAGTCAAGAGAACGAAGATACTAAAGAACACAGAAGATTCCACGTATTCTCATCTTTTGTCCCGGACACGACGTGACTCATGCGTGATGCAGATTAATGCAAAAAATAGATAAAGATAATCTATAATTGCGAAGAGAGTAACCGTTTACCTGTTTAACGGCGTCTCGTGAAATTATCTAAATGATTGTGCGCCAGGTCGTCGTAACAAGTCAAACAACAAAAACTGTACATACATAGACAGTTCGTTCATACGCATTTCATAGATCGTTTTTTGCAGTCCAGTTATACAATCACGCGAGACGTATAATATTCCAATGGAGGACGGGTTAAGATTACAAAGATTGTACCGCCCGCCATTGAGAATCCTCGAATACAGCGAATTGGAGGAATAAGGCGCATCGAAACTTTTCATGTGCAACACACGGAAGTTCATATTATTATTATTATTAAATAAAAACGTTCACCACGAAGGAAGAGATTCATTCATTTTCTATTTTTATCCCTGACCCCTTCTTGTTCCATAGGCAACGTCGATCTTTTTTTTTGGTTCATGGCAAAAATAATAAATCTTTTAAGTAAAGCAGAAAAGCGTTCGGTAATCTTACGCAAAGTCAGAGTCCCGTATTTACAATAGCGCGGAGGAAGCTACATTGTTATGACGTGGACACGAAGGTAAAATCTTGCGAAAGTTGTTAAATGCTTACAGATTCTGGCTGAATAACAGGGCAGCCGAGTCGCGAGTATCGAAATTGATATTTCCAGCCAGTCGAGATTCTCTTTGGTCTCGACGCTGAGCTCGAAAGGTTTTCGCTTACGTAGAAGGTATCCACGTACGTTGGTATTCGGTCCGATCGCCACTTTAGATCGGAAGAGCCGCCTTACGTAAGAGAACCACATTACAGGTAACCTCACGTGTAATCCGTAATCCTGTTAATGGGCAGAGGGTGCGAGTGACTCTCGCGACGTGTGCTGACTCGTGGACGCCTTACAGGGTACGTGGAAGAGGAAAGAATCTGCTCTCTAAGGCATTTTGGGAAGTGACGTACAGCTATAGAGAAACGGTGAGTTTGAAAATAGTCCGAAGTTTTTATAGGAAAAACACGTTATTCAGAATTATTATGTCAACTCAGCGAAATTCCAACGTTTCCAAGAGCATAGAATCGAATTTACGATTAAATAGTTCGGAGAATCGAATCGGGGTTATGGAATACCTCAATTCCGGGAGTCGGGAGTATTTCTACGACATGTGCTTGATTCGTACGAGAGGAACATTACATAACACCTTGATATTTTGGGTAGGGGAAAAATTATATAAATATAGAAAAAGCGGAAATTTTGATCGGATACACATCGAGCGTGACTGATGCAAAACGTTGAACCAACCACTGGGCCTCACATGTGTTGCAGCGAGTCGTGCGTGTCGCGCAGAGAGCGTAGACCAGCGATTAGGTTGGACAGTTGAAACGGAGTCACCTGGTTATTTCTGTAGTATCTAATAGGACGCCGTACCTTTTCGTACAGGGCGAAGGAAGCATCGATCGACCGGAGCTGCGTCACTGGCTACTGATTCCTGCATAATTCATAAGCATTTCGGTTCTCTACGGAAGCCGAGTGCCGACTGTCCCTTCGTACTGCATCTGCATTGCCAGCAGAGTGCGCACTTAGGACCGGCATTCGACGCACATCAAGCAGCACTTGGCGAACCTGATGCCAACCTGGTCCTGGAAGATGCGAAGATCGAGACCCTCCGATGGGTTCAGCATCTACGCAATACTTATCTCGAGCTAAGGGCTCCATGGAATTAATAAGGAGGTGTAACCGGTGTGCCAAGTACTTCCTCTTCCTCTTCCTTGCAGATGGGGATGCACGTGCTCAGGTCAATAGCGGATACCTGGCCCAGGAGCCTGACTATCGGGGCACAATGGCAAGGCGCCGAATTCGGTAACAATGCGCGTCGTGACGCAAAAGAATAGACTGCACAAGGCCCGCCGAGCAGAGTGAAGCGTAAAACTCAGCCCAGTGAAAGGGACCGTGAGGGTACTGGGGGTAGTGGGGGTAGGGGATGTACGAGATAATGCCAAAATGGTCATGGACCTATCCCCTGACGGCAAAGGCTGAATCGCCGCGCAGGGGTACAGGGGCCCTGGAGCCTGGTTCTTGGGTCCGGAGTCCCGGCCGCGGGAGGAACCCGAAAAGTCTGCACACGTGCTGTGCTAGGGGTGCACCCTTCGAGGGTGGAGAATAACTTACTATACTATCCCATAGGAATATCGATCGCTAGCAATCGTGCAACCGGTACCACATAGATTTCACAGTTTAGCATCGTGAACACGACACGACGCCCCACGGCTTCGAATAGGTGGCACGAGCCGTGGGTTTCAGTGGCCGGCAAACCGTCAGAGCGTCTCGACGCCTTTCGACGCCTCTCCACGCACGCGATGTGTCGCTGTATTATTTTCCTATTGCATATCGAGCCATCGCGATTCTTCTTCCGGGACTGGACAGCATTCGTTGTTTGACCGATCATTTTTGTAAGAATAAATCTTGTGTTCTGTTGTCTTTACAAAAAATCGACTTTATTTTATCAGTTATCGTCATGTATGACGGTTAAGAATAATTTTCGAAATTTACGGCGTCGTACTTTTTTTCGAATATATTCACGTAGAACGCGGTATTGTTTTACCCCCCATTGTGAGACGTGACGTGAATTGTGCTTATTCGTTGCTGCGAATCAGTGGACTCTCTTGTGCTTGTTTACATTGTGTAGGGAGGAGAGTGTGTGTCAGCGGTGTTGCACGGAGCAGCGCAAGGCTTCCCCCTGGCAGCATACTGGGAATAAGATTGCAGAGGACAAGGAATCAGAGCGATCGGCAATCGATAGCTGGCGTCATTGGAATTTCTGGCTGGCATCTAGAGAAGAAGAAAAAAAGATAAAGCGTGCGAAAAGAAACAAGACTAGATCGCCGAGCGTCATCAACCGAAGAATTCCGTGGCAATCGACGCTTGGGTCGGCGTTGTGGAATTATTAGGGAACGAAAGGAGAGAAAGAAAAATACGCATACTCGATACCTCGCGATAGAGGGAGGGAGGAGCCATTGATATAAGCCTGAACTGACCTCGATGGAAACTATCGGGAGATCACTTCGTGAAATAGAGACCTTGAATTCGTAAGATCAGGGACCAGTTATCTCCTTCGTTCAAAATTACGAGGCTGATTGATAATACCAGAATCGAGCAAACATTTAACTCTTGGCTAAAGCAACAAACTTCAGCTGCTGCTACTGCGTTGCCGTCCGGTCGGCTGCAGTTCGCTTCGATCCGAAACACTGACCAGCGCAATCGCCATCTGCTAGAAATCAAAGAGAATACAAAGAAGGCAGAATCCTGGGCACACGGTGCTCCCATCGCTCTGGCCGATTCCACCTTTAGTCATCCTCGGCGCATCGAAGCATCGGCAGCAACCTGAAAGATCAGGGTCGCGGTTACGGTCCCCGTGTAAACACTTCCTAAAGTTACTTCACTGTGGCATTGGGCAATGTGCCCAACTTGCGAAGGGAATTATGCGGCCTATAAAATGAGTGTCATAAGACGGATTTAAAATAGGAGTCGTAGCCATTTCAGAATGAAACGCCTTATTGTCTTGACTCTTTTATGAGAGATCGGCCACCTTCCCTTGCCAGTACAGAAGACTCGAGGAAGCGAGCGTCTGGTAAAGGAGAAGAACCAAGCCAGTTTCGAGTGGACCTTAAAGTGCCGTTTCCAACTCGCTATCTATGGTACTCGAAGATCAGTTCGGCGAAGGCTAAAATTAAAAGGCACCTTCGGGGCAAAGGTCTTTAACCTTCGAGAAGCAACCGGCCTCTGTGATGGTCAGACATGGCGTCAAGATCGACTCAAATCGTCCTGCTCCTCCTGGCGACGAGGTTCACGCTTCTCCTGTCGACCCCATTCCCGTCGATCACAAGAAGTGTCGTGGCAGTCAAGTTAACCGGAGGTCACATGGAGATCGTCCACGAGGAACGCTGCTCGGACTCGACTCTCAGGTTGACATGTAGATCATTGAAGGCTTTCATATTCGTCCTGGAAGCCGAGTACCAAATGGATCGCACCGAATACTGCGGCTACGACCTCAAGAGGGTCCAGGACCAGTCGATCCGGTACAAGAACGGAAGATCGCGGTACCGTTCCAAAACTAACCGACAACTCAGAGGAAACTACGTGGACGAGGATGACGAAGATCTCAGCAATGTCGACCTCAGGAGTTCTTTAAACAGAAGGTAAATCATCGGTGGATCCTCATAAAAGCCTGTTATCTCACAGTAAGAGCTTTCGGCAACGTCGCATTAATAACCTTGTATTCTGGATTACGCAAAGTCTAACTCCTCTTGCACCCGGCCTCCCATTTTCTGGCTTATTTGTTTACGCGCAAGATGGCCTCGTTGGCTAGCACCTTCCTGCGATATGTTTGGACTCCCATGAATTAGTATCCCTCAACGATCTTCGGCCTTACTCTCCGCATTACTCTTGCTCCTGTGATCTATACACTCCACTGTTTTTTTTCCTCTTGCTTTCTTCATAGACCCCTGAGATGTCACGAGGCGGATTCGTGTTTGGCCTGTTCCGAAACAATGCGCGACTGGCGAACAGTAACACGAGCTGCCTTTAAGCATCCGCAGGAGAGAGTTCCTGGTATAGAATTTCGCACGGCGTACCAAACCGCAAACTAGAAAACGTCGTTCTTATTTGACTGCATCCACATTAATTCGCCCTTGCTGTATTACATGATCTGTCGCCGCACTGGTAGCCAGTTAGCTACTGATACAGTAGAGTCGTGCGAATTGCGATAAATCGCAGATGCGCGCCATAGAGGAGAGTAGTAAAATTTCATATTAAATTCCTAATCCATGTTTCAGTGTGATTTTAAGACTTGCATAAGGTCCATTTGCGCAGTACCAAGTACTATTGCAAACAGTGGCCTATGTGAACTCCCCTTCATGATCTTCGACCTCTAGAACCCAAGATACGTTATGGATGAGATCCCATGCCAAAAGCTACGCTGTCACGATGGATCATAATCGCGCGATCCAGCCGCTACGGACTATAAATATTTGCTCGTTATTAGATGATATTGTGAAAGACGCAGATACGACCGGATGTTTGAGTTTTTAGAGAAAATAGCGCGTCGTAAATGTACACGCGACTGATTTGTCAACGAAAATTCTTTATTTTATTCAGCTACAAAAATACATGATATACAACGTACATATCAGGAGCAATCAGCAATCATACGATCCAAACAAATGGATACCCGAACGTTTTTCGAAATGAACAGGAAAGGCAGTTCTGGTGATTTCCGTCGATAAGACAGCAACTGCATGGCTAAAAATGTTCCTGACAATCAACAGGGGCTGCTACCCCTCGCTTTGAAAGGGTGATTCGACCCCAACCAATTTCACTCACCCACGCCACCCTCTTTCTCTGCATTTCAAACTGAACACGCGCACGTGAACTTTACACTTGCAGTTACATCCTGACGTGGAGTTACCTGCTACGTGTTCATTTCCCTTGTGAACAGTCATCCTTGCAATTACTGCCGGAAGTCCTTGGAGAAAAAAAAACAGTCTTCCGGACAGCTTTCCATAATTTTATCAGCGGGACCTTCGATCGAATTGTCAATTGTCATTGAATCGTTAGTCATTCGCCTTTGGAATCCCTTCGATACTCGGACTCTTGGAGTAAATCATGATCGCTTGTAAAATTTAATCATTTGCTTGCAGATGCTCCGGACATCAGCACTGCCGGTTCAACATGGCCACCGATCATCCAGGTGCAACGACCTGGAGCCCTGCCAACCTGATCCTCAAATATGCCTGTATCCCAGGTAAACAGACGGAGTATGTTATTTCTTAGAGGGTATGGCCAGTGCACACGGCGCACACGGCGCACACGGCGCACTGGACGCACCGACAGGAAACACCAGTAGCGAAGGTTGGGATGACGTTGGAAAGGGTCGCGCGTGTAATCGATAATGCCAATCTGAATAGTTTTCCGTGGCGTTGAGTTTCGAGTAATGGGAGAACACGTGGCGCGTCACGTGCCGCAAATCCTAATGCGCCAGATAGTCATCGGGAGCCTTGAACAGCTGTGCGTTTTGCGAGCGCTTGCTTAGCCCATGGGGTTGTTAGTTAGTGCGAGGGACGTAAGTCCCGGGCCCACCCTCATCGTGGGATTAGACATTTGGCTGCGTCTCTTGACGGGGCGAACTCGTTTGAAAATTCAACAACCCTCAGTCCGCGTAGAAAGTAGAAAAGCGTGCACTCTTTAATCCGTCTTTTTCATGGATCCCTCGCACCCTCGTTTCCTTTTCAAATTCGTGTAAGAATTGCAAGGGGATCGTGACTACACACTGATCGACCAAGTATTCTCATTTTCCCGGAACCAGAGAACGAAATACAAAATTTGGAATTCCTGTCACGCGATTATTTTCCATTCTTCTGCAGTTACTAGGGTACGTTGCTGTGCAGAATTGTTTAGGGGGTGACTCTTACTGCGAGGGTAGTACGGTGAGGGGTGGCTCGACTTCCCCTGCTATGCCCTACTATCATCCAGCATCCCTGCAGACACGTACAGTATACTCTCCAGCCCGTCTGGCTACCCCGCGTTTCCCACCCCCGCAGCGACGCCCTGAGGGAGAATCTGGGGCAAGGACACCCTCACCCCGTTTATCGTAACTCCTGTGGATGGTGTATATACGTCATATACGATATCATTGGCACGTATCTGCTCCTGTAGATATGGACGATAGCGGTCCATCCACTAGGATACGTATCGACATGAAATAAACAAAAGTTTTTCGTGTATTTTTCCTCCTCGCGATACAAGGGGCCTCGGGTCTCCGAATCTCTGACATAGGAGACCCTGCTGATTTCGGGACCCGAGAGAATAAAGGGGTTCGGGAGTAAAGAGAGCAGAGGGGGTTGTTTTCGTGGAAATTAACGCTGGCTCAGCACGAGACAGGCGAATCTCCCTGGCAAACATGCACGATCACTCGGTTATCCTTTGTAAATCAGACTTCGTTCGATTTGACAGAAGCAGCAGTTCGCAAATACTGCAATACGCAATTTTGGGTTCCTGGCGGTGAGGGAGGCTACCTCAAGTCCCCAGGATATCCACTCTACTACACTGGCGGCAATACTTGCGGATGGATATTCGCGTCCTTTCCAGGACAGAAGATAGTACTTACCTTTCACGACTTAAATATTCGCAGTAAGTTGTACCAATTTAATATTTATCTCGCAGATCCAGTCGTCCAATTTCATCGTTTTGATCGTCACTCTCCGCAGGTCCTGAAACGGATGGCAGTTGCGTGGACGTTGTAAGGATACGGGAGAACAGTAACACACTCTATGAATTCTGTGGAACAGCAGCCGGCATAAAAGTCACATCGTCCTCAAACATAGTGACCCTTGACCTGATCGCATCTACCAGACTTTACCCAGCTCGAGGCTTCCTCGTCCAGTATCAAGGTAACATCCACTCCAGTATAATCTGCTATTGCCGCAGCAGTATAGTGGCCGATCGTAAACCTGTCGACACACGGAGTAACTTAAGGAGCTTAAAGTTGCGGTCACGCATCGATCCGAAGTGGTTCGCCTGCTGAGAAATTGACACGCGGGGCTGGGGAGTCGTTGCATAATAAGACGTCAGCCGTTCCAGAAATAACTTATCCCAGCGATGAAGACAAGCGTGACTTAATGAACCATCAAGAGCACCTCGCCCACGAGTTCCTTCGAAAACCACGTAACAGCCTCCGAAATGGGTCCAGTTCCTCTATATCAGTCTCCTATCCCCAGAATTATTGTTAAAATTTCTGACCGCCATTAGCCGCTATCTGTGACGAAAATCTGATCCCGGTGAATTATTTTGTCCCTTTTTAGTCCTGGGTTGCCCGGATGTGTCCCTGCCGAACGGAAGCTACGTGATAAACAGCACGATCGACAGCAGGACCGTTATTTGCCAAGTAGGATCGACTTTCCCGGACACGAAGAACAGGACGAGGATCCTCGAGTGCAAGGATGGACGCTGGAGCGAGGACAGCCTCCCGAATTGCGTCGGTAAGAAAATGAAACGTCTAGAGAGGAGCTGCTGCTCGTTCGGATATCTTCGGAAAGGTTCGGTAAGGGATCTCAGCGTGCGAGGCACAGCCCTGGCTGCTTTGGACTCGTCTCGTTACGTTACGAACCAAATGTCCGTCCCGGCGACGGTTCAGGCGGCTTCCAAACTATGGAAACCTCCTGCTGCTCGTTGAGCGGCTGTGGTACGGTAGAGGGGATATATCGAGTTTATAGAACACCGCGTTCCTCGTGTACGCATATACGTCGCGACACCAGCCGTCCCGACGCCACGTGTCGGGCTGCTACGACACCGAATCCTCTCTCGGGAACACATCAGGTCAGTCGCAACTGTAACAATATTAGGTGGAGAATATTGTAAAACTTTTGTCTGTGATCCTTGTGAACTCTTGTTTTTTTTTTTCGTTTTGCTTATCATTATTTTTTCGGGCATTATCACCACGAGGGGTATTTTAAACGATTGTACACACTGTTTACAGACCGTTTCTGGTTAATGTAGATAAACAGTTAATAAACAACTAATCGCACGACGCTAATGATTACGAGTACGAGAATAAAAGTCTATTAAATAATTCAAGATCAGTTGCACGAGACGATCGACTGATCTCCCTGTGACTTACGAAGAAATTTAATCGTGGAAGTGTGTGCACCGGAGGACGCAACTGTGAGCTGGAAAGAGAGAAAAGTATAGGAATAAAAATATCGGATAAGATTAAACACGGGTCATCTGAATTTAATCCAGCTCATCCAGTTCACAATTTCTCATCTTATCGCCTCTTTGTGCAATTATAACGGAGATACGTAAGTGACACGTGAACTAGCGACCGATAGTGAAATACTCCACTGGCACTCTTTACAAACGAAATAGTTAAGATAAACTGGAAGGTCGAGTTCCCTCAATTTTTATCTAAGTACCAGAAGCGTGGGTGTGTCGCAAAAAACTGAGTCAGCTTATAGAAACATAAAGTCAGTAGCTGGAATATTTACATATTTGAGCACCATATCGCCAGATTGCTATCACTCTGTTATCTCGCCCGTGGCATCCATTTTTTTTTCGACTTTTCCACTCGGGCCTCGTCAATTGCCTTCACAACAGATCTACCGAAATTCGTTGATGTCCAGCTTCCATCTAGTGGACCAAAAAAACCTATATAAGAAGATCTTCTCCAGCGCTGTCCCTGACCGAGAAACCATTTTCAGGGAGTTTCCCCGAGCGGCTATCGAATCATCTCATCCCCGGTTGGTTAAAAGATAAAAACCTTGCCACTATCAAGATCCGGTACTATAGTCCGTGCCTATTAACATCCCCACCTAGTTACGATAAGGCTGGAAGTCGGGCTGGAGCCTTTGGTGGGGATTTCGTCCTCCAACTCCCCGGACCTCACTTGGCCACCGGCAACCTCCTCGATGGAAGCGAACAAGAGAACGCGGGTTAGCCAGACTAGAGTCGTAAAGAGGCTGAGTTAGGAAAGGAGGATGAGCCCAAGGAAGGAGAAGGAGAAGATGCTCCAGTCGTGCCCGCATTTGCTCCAGAGTTAGTCAGAGGTTCAGTCTGCTCTGCTTTGCTCCACTCGGCAACCCACCAAGCCTCAAGCCTTCAATGGAGACTCTCTTAGATCCCGTAACTAACGACAAGGTCCTCAGATCGTCATCCGCGTGCAGACGTGTTCGCGTCCGTGCCCGAGACTCGACCCCGTCCTGGGAGGAAATACTGGAGGGCTGTTGCCTGCTGGCTCGCAGTCGTACGAAGAATCAGGCTCCGTCTTCCTAAGGAGTGTCCGATATGTGCTGGATGTGTCAGTAGTGGGGGGTCAAAGGGGAGCAGTGGGATTGAATGATAACCGATAAGTAAATAGAGAAGAGGAAAAAAAAGGAAAAAGGCCCAAGAAGAAGATAGTACGAGGAATCAAAGGTCATCTCTTGGGAGCGTGCTCGATTAACCGCAAGATCGGCGCATCGCGTTGAATCACGCCACGCTTGGCTCACGTGTGAATAAAGCCGCACGGCTCTCCCGGATTCCGCTCAGTTCGCTGTCAGATTCCTGCGAGGAGTTTGCTTCGCTCTTGAAAAACCTCCTGGTAATTGGATCGCGACGTCAATTAAATTCGACAGGCATAAATAAAAAGAATTGCGCGATCGCGTACAGCCTGGCTCTTGTACCTCTCGTGTCGAAACTTTGTTTCTTTGTTCTTTCCCACTTTTCTTTGTCTTCTGACACATCACTGCTCTCTAAGAGACAGCTCGTTTTCGCAAAGTGCACGGGAACGTGAGATGGTGCTGGTCCTACAACGATAACAAACCATTTCGTCAAGATGTCTCGTATATTCATGGACGCCTTCAAGAACTTTATATGTGAGTTTAATGGAGTAGATGCTCCTGAGTTGTTCCGTCATTATCGTCGATCGACTGAGCTTGTTCATTTTTTACTCTTATTTTCATCCACTCGCCGAATTCATGGCTACCCGAAGCAGATGCTGCAACGCACGCACGCGTTCCCCATTGTAAAGTGCGGAATACGTGACTGACGTAACGTACCGACATTCTACCAGTCTCTTGAGAACTCGTAACGACTTTATACTTACGTCTCGTCGAACATTTCATCGTCCCGAACGCGTTAAATTCAGTGTCGCGGAGTTCGATGTAGGTGCGATCGCAATTTCAAAATATGTGGACGTTCGCAAAAGTTTACGTAAAACGAAACGCTGCTGGTGATATTTCGCCGCTGGAGTTTATTAGCAGCCTTCCGTTTCTGTGTTTCATGTTACGCTGCGATAATTTTTCTATTGTAAAACTCTGCGTTCCCTGGCTGTTAAATTAAAACTATCGCGAGCTGCACCTTGTACTCTCTGCTCGAATTATCATAGAGACTCGGTCTTATCTGATGATATTAAGGAGAAAAGCAATTTCACACAAAGTCAAGTGAGATAAGGTCGAATTGATGATCTAACGTGTGACATTACAAGAGCCGACAATTGAAAAAGATTGGACGGACACATTGGACGTCCCGACGTGCTAAAGCGACGTTTCGAGCGGAGGTTCACGCAGGCCGTAGTCAAACGCTAGACTCCCAGGAACGCAGGCATTAGAACTAAATTAGGCAGAGGCTTTGGTATCGTCCTTTTTCGCGAGGAACTTCTCCAGTTACCAAGTTTCCACGTGAAACATGATAACCTCTCTGATTACACAATTGGTCTAAGGGCCTGACTCGACTGAGTCGCGGGATTCTCGATCTCACAATTTCTTATTGATATTTTAATTGTCGACGTGATAAACTCGTGTACGAAGCGTGGCTGTAGGAATAAAAATATTCAGTTGTCGCGATAACGATTTTATTTCAAATGATTATTCAAAAAAATAATAACAGCCGCGACTTTTCACCTCGCGACTCGAGATAACGTTCTGGCGCCAACCACGTGTCCCCAGCGAAGAATCGCCGATTAAACTCAATCATTCGACCCTACTGGAATTTAAAATTTTGAAAAATGAAAATTAATGAAAATCTTAACCGACCGCTAAGGCTTCAGCTAAATTCTCTGTTAAAGTTTCAAGGATATTTGAAAATGAAGTGTAGGCTTTTTTTATGAACGTCCACTTCGAGGATGTGAAACACGTGGGTCGAGCTTAACGTTCATTGTGGATCTCCCAATCGGACAATTAGAAAAGCTATGATTCAGAGACTGCGGCATGTGGGGAATTAATGCAGAAAAAAAAGATGCGATATGTCAAGTGGGAAGAAGTGAGATTGCTACTTTTTACTTTCATGAATGTGTAAACTATTAAACTCGACCTCAGGATTTATCAGCATGTTTTGGACTTGCTGCCGATATGCCAGAGGATCACGCCATTACGACAGGCGATAACGGACCACTCGTGTGTACCGTTTTCTTTGCTTTTCATGTAATTCTCTTTCCGTCCTCACGTACCGTCCTATAACGCTGACAGAGCTCCAGAGGAGGATTCTGCCTTTTCGAGCGAGACAGGACGAGCGGTCATTTCATCAGCCGAAACATTATCGATTACTGATATCAGCCGACTAAACGAGCATCTGGTGACACCTTTTACCCTGACCTTTTTTTTGTTCCCAGCTACCTCGGCAGTTATCCTCAAGGCCGAGAGGGAGAACAATCACATCTCCAATCTGTCGGAGGACAGTCTGACGTCGGGGGTGAGAATCGGTCGAGGCGACGACGCAGCCGCAGAAAGCACGGATTTCGTTATGGATTCGGCGCAACCAGCCATGATGAAGGAGGCAGACTACGTCGTAGGTCAGTGTGCATTTATCTTTAAATCCTCAAATAATTTCATAGTCAATTTCACCATTTCATATCAGCAGTATCTTGCACCCTAGGGGAGCCTTCCAGTGGCGTAAAACAAAAAACAAACAACTGTGCCACGCAGACCCGTGATATTTCTTTCCGTCATCAAGACGCAATGAGGAAACCTCGACGAGCCGTCACTTTATCGGGAACTAATTTCCGTCGGTATTTTCTCATCGCATGATAAATAATTCTTATGGCTTGACACGTATCGACGACTCGAAAATTACACTGCTCAGAATCAGTGTAAGAGATCACAGGAAACGTTCGTTCGTTGGCCTCTCCATTTCCTGACGTTGTTTCATTGATAAGCAAGTTACAAAGAAAATCACTCGACGTTATCTTTTTGGGTCTGTTCCCATCGAGTTTGTCTCTCAAAAGACTTTAACCTCGGTAAAACTTTCTCATGATCTTTTTGAGAACCGTGCAAAAACTATTCATACGACGGCCGTTTATAACTCTGGCTAAAGTCCACTATGTCAGCCCTTTCGTACGCGGATGAGTTATAATAACGTCATGACATTCTTTCTCAATCGTAACTTTGACCACTGGTTAAGGCTGCAGCCTCTCTTTTATGCATTATTACATTAATGGGGGTTACGTCGGGTCCCAAGTCCCATCGCAGACAGACGAACCAGTCGCAAGAACATATCCACGTATCAAACTGTGACCATTGACAATTTTTCTATTTTCATACTTTTTTTTCTACAGACGTCGTCCTACCAACCATCCTCATCGCTTTGCTCTTCGTCGGCAATGCTGTCATCATCTACATCATCTTTCAGTATAGAAAGAGGTATGTATGACTCGTTATATTTTTTATCCTCATTTTTTATATCTTATCCCCATCTTCTTCCAGACTCTTCCCAAGCTTGAGAGATGCCATTTCACCAGTCCTCAAATTCCCATCTCTATACCGTTCCAAGTGACCTCATCTCCTGTAAATCTCATGATACATATAGGAATTATACGTTTCTATGTTACGAATGTTCACGGGTTTTATTCTTTCTAGAAAAGTACCAGCGTTCCAAGGAGAAGATGTGGCCTTAAGTGCTCCCTCAGGAGTTCCGCAGGTGTGACTGCGGTTCTCACGTAAAGACTAGGATAAGATACGCATAGATAAAACTATTAAGACTATTTTGTTGCCGTCATAAAAGAGTTTGCAAAAGTGCCGAGCTGATTCCTCGCCAGCCTACGAAACACGTAGTGGTTGCTGCTCTGATCTGTGTTCGCCTTGCGATTCTTAGTTTCTTATGAAAACCATACACATCGCCATAAACAGGAACAGGTACCCTATGGTGTGCCTAGGATCCAGCTAATACCGAACTTTGAGCTCGTTGAAATGATAAAGAGACAGAATGACAACGAGTGAACATTATTTTCATCATTTCGCATAATTTTCACAACATCGTTACCATTAACGTGCTACCACATTCATTATACTTCATGACGCTGTATTATAACATAGGAAGATAATATATTTCGTCTAAATTGTAACTAAGTTAAATAAACGGATGTTTTCATAAAATCTCACAGGGTATAAGTATCGATTGACTCCCTTAACAAACATTGTTCTCTTTATTATAAAAATTATATCGAAATATATTCATAAGCCGGTCTACTGGTAATTCGAGCCTGTTCGATATTAAAAGTATTTTTGGAGCGGCTCACCCAGTATCTCCTCTAAAGTTCGTACAGCGTTTTGCGCATGCTTTTCCGTCGCCTCATCTTCGTCCTCAAGAAGTTCCGCCAGGAAGGGAACCGTTTCCGGTAAAAGAGGCATAAAGTCCACACCGAGTTTCCTTGCGATTTCAACCTGCAAATGCGAGACCCCGATTTAAATACCACAGTAATGCATTTTCTTCATAGCGTTGTCAAAGGAGATAAAAGAGCTTACCAGTGCACTCAGCGCAGTACTTCTGACGTGAGATTTGTTATGCCTAGTTTTCAACAAAATTTGGTAGACTAGCTGCTTGTGCAAAGAATCGTCAGGCGTTGCACCGGCAAAGGAAGCAACACATGGGACCAGAAGGTCCTTCGCTCTCCTTTCATATTCCTCGACGGTGCCCATGGTGTTTTCGATCTGGTCTATAATCGGCTGTGCCAGAGTCTCGAATCTTTCCTGATTTACAAAATTATGTGCATCATAAGTAAATACTCTATGTAAAGTCAAAAGAATGGCCTCGATCAGTTCCACCCTGTGAGCCTCGTCTTCCAGGAGAAATTCATTGGACTCCTCAGTCACGGCAAGATTATTGGTGCCGAGTAAAGTGGCGGCGTGGTTCAGGAACTGGCCGGCGAACAGTACAAACAGAGATTTCAAACATTCGGCGATGGTCGCCGAAAGTCTGTAGAACGTAATGTTCCTCTGCTTTTGATGAGGATTCCTCGCGGCCCAATCGTACAGTTTGTAGTAGAGTGGACGGAACGTGGCCTCGCTCAATTTCAAGACCAGTGCGACCAAAGACTTACTAGCGCATTCCTCGATCCTTTTTATATCCCTGGACATGTCTCCGCCTTCCTCGTCTATCTCCATGGAATGCTCGTCCTTCGCGAAGTCCTCTCGAAACTGTAGAACCTTCAGGAAGAAGGTGGTAAGGTCCTGTATAGCTGCGTTCAGATCTCCAGGTTGAATATTTGCAAAGGACTCGGCCAGGACGCTCATCAAAGGACCCACGCATTCGTAAGATTTATTCGAAATAAACGCGTCGTATGTTCTGCTCACAGCTGGTAGTAAGACCCTCAGTGGAATACAGTTGGACAACCTTTGAGCGGTCGCCTTCAAACGGGAAGCCACCAGCTCGATTTTTGGATGTTCCGTGTCCGTGTAAAGGGAGTTCAGTCTGGAGAGTTCAAACAGCAACTGATCCAAGTACAGGGAAAGGAAATTCCCAACGGATTCAACAATTTTCTGTAAGGCACTAACTATGCTGACGACTACCAAGTCTGGCACCTCCTGGTTGCACTGTTTCTCAAGGAGTCGCAAAATGGCTGGTACAAATTTATTAAGGGACTGTATCGCGTGAACGCGCATCGCACTGCACAATTCTGCAACGCACAATACTCCACTTGCCAAGACGGGACCATTCCGTGTCCTCACGAGTTCTGTGCTCAATTCCAAAATGGGTTTGAATGTGTTTGGATGGTCCGTGGCTAACGATTTGGCTAGTAACTTCAAGCTAATCAGGGCCGTTTGTTGAATCACTTCATAATCCGAAGATTTTGTTTTATCCTGTTCCTCGACTATACGTACAATGGCGTCTATTGTGCTCAGCAGGTCCTCATGATCGTATTGGTTAAATTTCTTCTGCTGGAGTCTCGCGTTCAGCAATTCCAAGGCTTTTCTGCGCACGGTTGTTATATCGTGTGCCAAGAGTCTCTTGATACTTGCTATGAATGTCTTGTTGGGTAGGAGTCCATTGACAACGTCGAGAACATCGTAGAGATGATGTAGCAGTACCTTCCAGTACTTCCCCTTAGATTTCCCAAGGTGAATGTCCGCGCTCTTTGATGCGCTCTGTATAAGCACTACAAGTTCGACAATTAGCTTATCGAATATATCATTCATAGCCGAGATCTCCGAGGAATCAAGGGATGCAACCCTAGTGACGAATTCCGGGGCTGAGAGCAGCGCGCTCAAGAACTGGACCAGGGTGTACTTGTAGTGTCTCAGTTGTTTCGCGGAATTGTTACTCACGTCGAAAATATGTTTACCAGGAAATGCCGGAAGTTGTTTACGACGTTCATCCTCAATTTCCACCGGAAGTAGTCGCATGAATTCCAGTAATTTCACGCAAATGCCAATGAGCTGCCGGGGTGAGAATTCATGGGATATACTCAAAGCGAATTCCAGTCGCTCTGATGATTTCTGTTGGTCCACCCCTTCGTTGCATTGCGATAGAACGTGACTCTCGAACGTCAGTAGATAAAATAGATGCAGATGATTCTCGAGAAGCTGCAGAAGCTTCACGAACAGTGGGACTCTGCGATGCTCTGGAATATCTGGTAACGAACTGATGAATACTCGCAGTATTTCACAGGCGTGTCTTTCGTTGTTGGCTGCATTGACAACTGGCACGATGGTTTCGATGGTTTTTGAAATGATCTGTATCGAGTATGCATCGTCCTGCCGAAGTACCGAGCTGCCCATAAAGGTGAATATGGGCATGATACTGTGCAAGGCCCTTTCCATGTCCGCCACCCTGAACAGTTCAACCAGTAGGAGAAGCGCGTGATGATGGGTTTGCGGGTTCCTGGAGGTTCTGATGCACTGCGCTATCAGATCCACGTGCAGATGGGCATCTGGAATTGGTAATGATTTTGTAGCCAAATGATAAATCGATGAGAGTAACAATTGATTCGTGTATTCCAGAGGGCTGTGCTCCTCGAATCCCAAACACATTCTCAAAAGGTCGAACAGAACCGGAAGTAACAACTCCTCTCTTTCAATATTGTCTGCTCGCTGAATAAATTCCAGAAGAGTAATGCCGCGTTTCCAATCTCGACTGTTGAACAATTCCGGATTTGGCATCGCCTGCTGCATCCTGGCCATTCTTATCTTCTTCACGGAATTTTGATCCGCGTTATCAGGAACCCTTGCCTTCTCCATTCTTTCCAATTCATCGACGACCAACTGCGCGTCGATTCGAATTCTTCTGACTGCTCTATTTCCGGCAGCGACTACATTTCCAATCTCACAGTCTGTCACTACGTCTACCAGTTTTGCCAAAATCTTACGCGAAAGCTGTGGGTCCACTTTGCTGACGGAATCGAAGAAAACTTCGTCTATCTGTTTAATCAGTATCACGCTTGGCGGTTGGTAACCCTTCTTCGTAAAAATTTGAGAATCATGTTGCATCATACTCTCTTCAAAAAGCTTCCAAACTTTATTGTTAGTCAAGGCCTTTGCTGTGATTCCAATAAAGTGCTCCAAGATATTCTTCAGTGCGTTGCCGGCGAATTTTTTCTGGGGATCAATCTTCAGGCGCTGAAGAAGCTCCAGTCCAAGAGGTGCAAGCTGTTCAAGAATGCTTGGTCCATTCACATGTGCCAATATGTCTAACAATTGTGAAACTATGTAAACTGGCGTATTTTTATCAACAATTATATCAAGCAATAGCGTACGGGCTTCCTGAAGTTTATTTCGCAATTTTCCACTGGTATGATGCTGAACGTCCGAATCCGGAGAGAGTAAGGTGTACAGAGCTAAAGAAAGCTGATCAGGATCAATAGTTATTTCGGATTTTCTGGCTGCAAGCTCGTGAAGTAGAGACGAAAATCCATCCATGGAAATATTGAAAGTTTGCGAAAGTTTCGTGAGTATTTCAACGGCTGCTTTTCTGCATTCGAGATTTTGACTGCTCAGTGCTAGCAACAGATTCGGCGTGAAAACTTTATCATTGAAAATCCACTGAACGAACTTGCTGCGATTTAACAGTGAAAGCGAAATTTGTATGCAGTGAAGTGAAGTCTGAGGTGAAATGGGCTTCGTGAAAAGTTGAGACAGGAAGCAAAGCATGTTTTCCACGGTAGAAAAGTGCCTTCTGAAGAAGATCTTCAAGCACCAGGCATAGTGCTCGCGCCATTCTTTATTAGCCATACCGTCAAAAAATATTTCTAGAATCCGTAAAACCAGTTCGCTGCGATCAGGATCATCTTCAAAATCCAATTTTGGATTTGTATTGAGATCCAAACGTCTGTGAACCATCTCCATTACGTAAGTGCCAACTTGTAATGGCAATATACCTCTCGACGTCAATTCTAGGGCAGCTTCTATTTTGTCGCCATTAAGCTGATTGCATCCTGGTAGAGGTTCCACGTGTGGATACTGCTTAATCATTTGAGACGCTATTTCTATGACTTCTCTGGCGACCAGCGGCTGCAAAGAACCAACCGGAACCCTGCATACTGAACCAAGTAGGATCATATTGAAGAACATGGATGCGGCATCCCCATGTGCAGACTGAAGCTTCATCGTGCTCAATATATTTGACGTCGGCGGTAACAAATCCCATTTGAGAATATTGTGAAAAGCTGCCGATGATATGGATTCCGCATTGGGACATTTTCCCGCATCTTCCAACACTCTTTGCATATACATATTATTTTTGGCAAAGTCTGACTTGAGAACTTGTATGGCTATGTTGACTTCGTCTTTGTTCTTCGGAAAAAGAGAGGGAAGAGCGGCGATGAAGATACTGGTATCGTTCCCTTTTTCGCAAAGGTCCAGTAATATTTTTAAGGCCGGCTTCAGAAGTATCATTCGCGAACTTATATGGCATTTCGAGAGAAGAATCATGAGTTCTTCCGTCAGGGTATCTATAGTAAATAGACTTTTCAAACGATTTGTGGATATGTTGAGTAATGCGTGAACAACCCGGACGTCATCGTCGCTAAACCTTGCAAGCAATGATTTGTTGATCGTGTCTTTAAAACTCTCAGAGATGTGCACCTCGTCCTTGGCAATAGCCATCAAGCCAGCGATCCGATGTTCCGCGTTAACATGATTCAGACGATTAAAAATATCCAGAGATTCCTTTGCATCTCGCGCTCCAGAATGCCAGGTCATTAGAAAATGAAGGGCCTTCCTTGCCCCTATTTGCGTCTCACTGAATCTCATTAAATTCTTTAGATAGTTGTCGAACCTAACTGGATAACGTATCTCCAATGTCTGATAGAGTTCCGCAAGAACATCCTTTACTTTCTGCGGAGTTTTTTTCGAGAGGGTATCCTTCCTCAACGAATTCTTTAATATAGCATCTACTTCCTCGTCGCTTAAGCTAATACGATTGAACATGTCCTTCAACATCGTCTGGATTTTTTCCGTTTCATTTGGATCTTTCAAAATATACCGGATTATACCCTCCAGCAGTAGGGGAACTAGTTGCGCCACCTTAACTCCAGTAGACTGAATCTTTGCTAAATCTTCTGTAAACCAGGTGAGCTCCAAGAATCGCTGTACAAACTTCTCGGGAATAAATGTCAGAGAATTAGATCGTGATTCACAAAAGACTAGCAGAACCAAAAGCACGTCTCGGTGTAATTCGGCTCTCTCAAATGCCTTCAGCATAAGGGCTTCTGCTGTCTTGTCATTTAACTGAACTTTAGTAAACAACTTTGCAACAATCATATAGCTACTTGCTGCGTAATCAGTTATCGGACTTGCCAACCCTTGTATCAAAGAAGGCAGTATGTGCGTTATTTGAACTTCAGTAATGTTTGAAACGCGATCAATCATGCCGATCAGGGTTGTCGTGTAAAAGGCATAAAGCGTATTCAAACAACTGGCTTGATTGGAATACGTTCGTGTTGCCTTAATTACATGAGTACATATTAATTTTAGAAAAGCATTATCGGATGATACTCGATTTAAAAGGGTAATCGTGGAGAGAGGCACACCTGGTTTTTGCAATGGCGCTAACCAATGCCATTTGTCACTTGGTTCAGATACATCCACTATCTGCAATGCCCTGGCGAATAAAGAAAGCTTTGAATACTTTTGAAATAAAACAGAGTTGAGTGAAACTTACCGTACAAATATTCGTGTCTCATGGTAAGGAAGTATAAGCATTAGAAAGTGATCCCTGTTGAACTGCTGAATATGAAATCTGTGTATTAGCCATTCCAAGGCCTTGTGTGCAGTATTCAGTAAGAAATATGGTGACAACAAAATACAAAATTCTTCAATACGACTATTGATTTGCTCGTTAATTTTTGTATCATGAACGGATCTCTCCAAGTTCAAAGAACTTTGAGCAAATAACGTACCCTCAAATTGTCGAAATAAATTATTTAGTTTGATTAACTCTTGGAGACCACTTCGTCCTGAAACAACAATAACCCATACCTTGCATTTATGCATATTTGTATTGTCATTACAGATATATATTACAATACCAACCTACATTTAGTTATATTTTACTAACTTCATCAATTACTTAATTATAATAGTTTTAAAAAGAGCACTTACCAATACTGAGTACTGTCTCTCTATCCAACTCAGCAGCATCCTTAGGGTCAAATAATAAACTGGCCCGCTTTTTCTGTTGAATCAAAAGTCCAGTTTGAGGAGTTTTAAGTTTTTTCAATTGTTCTGCGAGTGACGTTGCCATTCTACATTAAAAAGAGAAGGTTTTATGGCAAATTTAAATTATATATTAGATAAATTCGCTCTGGTCACTGCTTATAACCTTACAATAGCAGCGACTACATAACGAAATTCAAATAAAGAACGGAACAGCACAATTGACTTACCTGCAGCACTATATGTATATCCTTTACTGTACAATATATCACTGATTAGAATAAACAAGACTACTTTCACTAATTTATATTAGACGTAACTTTACAAGCAAAGTACTGTACATGGTATTTCATAAAGTGGCATAAATTCATCCAAGCCATGCACGTCGTCTCTGTGCACGTGTTTCGAGCAACCACGCGCTATGAAGATGGCGGTTACCATTGTCGGTAATAAAGAAAATGCCAAAATGATCAACTCTAAAGTGAATTAAAAATTTGCAAATAAATTCATAGTTTATTCTGTGATAATTAAAACTACTTTTTATTCAGTGTACAGAATATGATATAAATTGTCGTACAAATTCTTCCTTTCCACTGTGTCGACGTTTGGCTAATATTCAGACTACATACTTTTAACCACAAAACGGTAGCGGGTTTCTTTCTACATGCAAGGTATGTAAGTACATGTCTATAAAAAATTCTAAGATTATTTTGGAAAAAATTGGTGAAGAATCAAAAACTAATAAATGAAAAAAAAAATTATGTAGCGCTGTACTACGAGAATTCACTGCAGTCCCTTGAACGGGCTTCCGGTTCGTTTTCTGACAAGTGGGTAATAGCTGCCTGACATTTCGCCTGTATTAAATTTGCGAATGTTCAAGCACGGGCTCTTTTTCCATAATACAATGCATCGGTAATATTGATACGAACTGAATTCATCGATACTATTAGGTTAGAGTGCAGCCCGAAATTTTGTCGATTGTATTTAATGTATGGAAGGTAAGAGGTTTTACGGTATGAATTGGAATTTATCGTCAGGCGTGCACCCGGTGGGGGTTAGAGTTACATTTATGCATTATACGAGATTCATTTTAATAATATACAGTTTCAGAAGATCCAGGCTGCTTTGGCAAGATGATCAAACCAAGACAGGAAATTAGGCCCTATGAATATCCACAGACTGTGTAAGTTGTAATTATGATGATAGTTTCGCTATCTCTGCACTTCAATTTCAACACATCTAAGGAGGGTGCTTATTAACTTCCTGTGATTCGATTAATTTGTGTTGTTGGTATTTCAGGGAATTCAGTGGTCAAGAGGATCAGCATTCCATTGAGTTGGACAGTACCAATGTTACCATTATTCCATCATCTGGAGGTCATGATCATGGCAGTTCGAAAGTCAAATTGAAAAATATAGTAGATTTCACATGGGAACATAGGTTCTACACAGGGCAGCTATTAGCTGTTCATATGTCAGGGAAATATCTTGCCTATGGCATCAAAGGTAATTCAGCACTAAGTCAGAAGCACTGATGTATTTGCCAAATTCTCATATATCTCATCTATATACACAGCTGCATCTGGCGGGGGTATGGTCAGAGTTGTTAATAAAGAAATGGAACAAAGAGCATTATTGAGAGGCATGAATGGATCCATACAAGATCTTGCCTTTGCCCACATCTCGCACGCAATTTTGGCTTGTGTGGATTATATAGGATGTTTGTTCGTGTATTCCATTGAATCAACGTCTACCAAGTTGGTGTGTAATCTGATATTGCAAGTCGATGCAGAAGACATATCACCTACAAGTCACAGAGTCATCTGGTGTCCCTATATCCCAGAGGATGAATCTGGAGATTCTGACGAAGTTTCAAAACTTCTTGTATTAACACGGGGCTCAAAAGCTGAATTATGGTCAATTGCAAATGTCGCAGCACGAAAGGGTCCTGGCCCCATACAAGTAACATATTTATTTTACCATCGCATACTGATTCTTCAATATGATGAATATACTTTACTAAATCATTTTATATTAGGCTACAGATCACACAATAAAGGAAACCGGTGGTATGCTAGAGATCAGCCAGCACACAGGAGCAATTATAGAAGCTACATTCAGCCCAGACGGTACAGCTCTGGCTACAGCTAGTTTAGATGGGGAGGTAAAGTTCTTTCAGGTATATATGCATGGTAATTCATGCGCTGGCCAAACGCAGCCACGATGTTTGCACCAGTGGAGGCCACACGACGGACGTCCGATATCTTGTTTATTTTTTCTTGACGACCACAAGAGCTATCAGCCCGAGTGAGTACCTGCAAAATTGAAACTGCCTATTCTGCACAGCGTAACCGTGTAATATACTGAATGCGAAATTTACTCTACAGCGCCCAATTCTGGAGATTTGCAATAACGGGATGCGACAATAATTCAGAATTAAAAGTATGGTCTTGCGAATTGTGGACATGCCTCCAAACAATAAAATTTGAGCCAACACCTACCACCGGCAAGATGCCCGTTTTGAAAGCTGGCCTAGACCTCAGTGCCGGATACTTGTTACTCTCAGACATATACAACAAAGTTTTATATATACTGAGTCTAGCGAAAGACAGTGGCGAAGCACTCGCATGTGTCAGTACCGTTTCCGAGTTCCTTCTACCATACCCCATACTGAGTTTTGGCATTGTCGATGCCGGTCAGCGCAGAGTCCGACCCACAGGAGAGTCTCTCGAAGATCTTTGCCCGTGCGAGGACGATATTGAAGATCAGCTGGTGGTACGCATGTACCTTGTCCAGCCAAAGTCTCTTCAGGAGTGCCACATCGCATTCAGGCCGGCCACGCATGTTAGTGGTTCGTGCCTTATGGATACACTCACTCACGATTCCCTCGATTATTCGGAAGATCTACCGGATATGGGAACGGTTAATCACAATGGAAATGCCGAAGAAGAAAATGGCGAGGAGGATCGTTCCGTCTCTACAACCATGGAAGCATCCGCGAATCACAATGCCGGATTGAATCTTATGACTCCCGACGCTTTTAGTTCTCCTGCTAAAAAAGATGGCAATACTCTCGATTCGAATCCTGCCAGTCCGGATTTGGAAAATGTACTCTCCGGTAGTCCATCCTTGGCTCAAGCCGTACAGGCTTTGAATGCATCCGATCCACCATTAGCCACGAGTGAAGTTGAGGAACAAGCACCAGCAAGTGGTGGAAGCAGCCCTTCGAGGGAAGTGCGGGAAATTCTGTCACTAGCGGAACCTGAACCCGAAGAGGAAGTCAAACCAGAATTTGTTCTCGACGACGACGACATTTGGGAGCATACCCCACCAGTTTTATTAAAGGATGTCAGTGTGCATGCAATGCAAGAGACGGAGGAATTTCCCGAGGAAGAGGATAATGATGAACGACGAACATTATCCAAGGCAGGAGTGGAATCGAATGTCGGCCTGAATACTGCTGACAAGAATTGGCGCATGACGAACGACAGTCATATGCTGGCATTGAACAGAAAGTTGGATTCTCTTCTCGAGACAGTACAGAATCAGCGTCAGGAACTCAGGGAATTGAGAACAGAAGTTACCCGGTTGCGCCAGACAACACCAGTGACGACGAGGATCGAATCTGCCCTAACCAGGGCGTCCCAGCAACAGAACGCCTCTCTAGAGCAAGCGATGCACAGCCAACTGACTCGACAACAGGAAGTCCTGAGTTCTCTCGAGAATACGATCAAAGAGAAGATCTTCACGAGTCTTCCACGAATGCTGGAATATGGTGTAGAACCTCTGAGGCATCAACTGGCACAGATAGACGATGTCCTTAAGGATAGTTTGACAGAACTGATAAACGGCTCGCAATTAAAAGATACGCTTGCACTGGTAGCAGCTAATTCGGCTAAAACAGCTTTGGACATCGCTTTCAAGGAGTCCTTCACAAACGTTTTACTTCCTGGTATGGAGAGAGCTTGTCAAAATATGTTTAGGCAGGTGCAGGATGCCTTTGCCAAAGGCACGCAAGAGTGTAAGAATTTTCTACAGATTTTTAATTCTTTTATTTTTTATAATATAATTAAGCTGAGATTTTTTTTCATTCGTTTCTCCTTTGAAGATCTGCAAAAGGTGGAACAGCTCCTGATAAAACAAGCCCAGCGAAATAATGAACAACAGAGTGCAATTCTGGCTACATCCGTTCGAGAAGAACTGCAAAACGAATTGACCAGAGGCCTATCTGCGATTCAGGAAGGAACAGCTAGAACGGTTCGTGACTCCATCCGGGAGCATCTCAATCAACATTTCACAGAACTGAGTGGAGCGCGGTAAGCTATCTATAATGCGCACCTTGAGAAATTAAAAAATACTACAAAGATTTCATTACGAAATTATTTCCTGCAGATCTCGAGCCACTACACCTGGAATCCCTGTTCCTGCCGTGGCCGATGCGCAAGCCCGTGTCCTGTCCCTTCTTCAGCGTGGTCAATTGAATGCCGCGTTTCAACAGGCTCTTAGTGCTAGCGACCTAGGACTCGTAGTCCTAGTATGCGATCGCACTGAACCTTCTCGTGTCTTTTCGTGTCCCCTGGGTCCACAGGGTCAAGGATCCAGATGTATTCTACAACAGCCTGTGATCCTTTCTCTTGTTCAGCAACTCTCCGCCGACCTAGGACACCGTACCGAACTTAAGCACAGGTAACTGACACTAAAAAAAATATTTAACAGGTATATTAAAGAGATTGTTCTTAGATGGCTGGAAGAAGCGATCCTCAACCTGGATCCTACTGATCCCGTAACGCGGGAACACATGGGCAACGTATTAATGACTCTTCAAAATCAATTGGCCACTTTCGTAGCAGCGAACCCGAATCATCGATCAGCCAGACGTATGAAGATGCTGGCTATGGGTGCCAGAGCGCTTCTAAATCAACACCCTTGACCGACATGTCATTGAAAACGCACTTAGATTACTCTTAAGGTTTTAACAATTTCTAATAAGGAATGGTCGGATGAATTTACGCGTATTTCAACGTCAAAGCAATATCGCGAGCTGCGCGTTCAAGACTGGGATTCTTGTTGCAATTCACTTAAAGTGAAGAGGAGGAGTGTGCGTTCCGATTCAATCCGATACTATTCCTACTCTCGGCTCTCCGCTTATATTTTTCTTCGTCTCTCCTCCCTCATACTTCATCCAAAATACTTTATCAAGTGACGCGAACTCGGACTTAGTCTAGACTGAGAAGCAACTTCGGTTTGGGTTTCGCAAGAATTTTCCTTATACGTTTAAGACCCAAATAAGGATTGAATTGGAAATTCAATCATGAGACTGTGTAATGTTCGCGGTTTTCTTTTCTTGACGGACACAGCTTTTTGCAGACATTTCCTTCTAGTGCTCTGCAAATTAGCTAGTGTTACATACTATTTACCTACTCGTAGATTCTCCAATTTTCACGTGTACATTGATAATTGTCCTAGACACTTTTTAATCTATTTTTTTTCAACTCTTCTTGAGGCAATTTGTATTCTTCACTGACTTATTTTTTCATTCACTTCGCACTGTCAGATATTTTTAAATTCCATTCGATCAACACTGTGAAAGGTATCCAACAATTTCGTGGAGGGTATCTTCTCTTCCTTTTCTTTTTTTTTTTTATATTTGTTACATTATTCTACACATGGAAGTTCCTATTAAAGGATTGCGTTCGCTGCAAGAATTCAATCTTGCAAACAAATCGTTTTCGCAAACTGGAATATAGCTATTTCCTATTTTTCAAATACATTTTTTTATTTAAGATCAATTCTTTTATTCGTTTTGTACCATCGGCAAGTCTGTCATACTCTATTTTGGTATTATCTTACTTCTACGATAGCGTAACAGCGATTCAGCCAACTACCTTGATATATCCGCTAAACATTTTCTCTGAAGGAGTGATATAATGAAGGGGAAAAAATAGATATGTTATAGCTTGCAGCAGTCAGAGTTAAGCAAATACTTTATTCTTATTAATTAAAATTGAAGAAAAAAATTGTATTATAAATAATAAAGCAGTTTCGTACGAATTCAACGATAGAATGGATTATGATGACGACGACATCGACGTCGGCTTTAAAGCTTCTATTATGTGCGTTGCCAATTTCACCCTCTTTCTCTTCCTCACCTTTCCCGTTTTATTCGTATTCGTCGCAGTTTCCGTTGCTGATTTCTTCTTTTTCTTACAGCTCAAAGGATTCGGGCCACCTTTCTTTCGTTTCTTCTTAGACCTCACGTCACTTTCTTCAGCCAACCCCGATTTCTCTTTCAGAACCTTCAAGGTTTCTTCTTGTTGAACATTTATTCCAACAGCCCTTCGTAATTCTGCCGCCCGATTACGGCTAGCCTGAGAGGGTGGTTCCAAGGTTGGTGCTTTGCCGTGCAAGTAGATCAAAGGAACACCGGGCACTTTCCGCACGTGTTCCTGAAGATCGCGATCTTGCGTGGCAATGATGTACCTGCGAAAAAATAACATTATTTCCATGTGAAACAAGTCTTAAAAAATTACTAAGAAAAAGTATAGTTACTGCGGACCTCGATGGGTTTTCCTTTCCAAGCATGGACAGTAAACACTTGGATCCAGAAACTGGCTGTTTCTCATGTCCGCATTTATGCACTGCAAACTGTTTAACAATGAGCATCGCGCCAAACACTTTTGATCCCAGCTTTTCCGTTTCCAAAATTACGCATTGTGTACTCAACAGTTTCGTCTCCGCTTGCAAGTATTTAGGTAGCTGGTCTTGGATATTGAATTTATTCTGAAAGAAAATAGTTGACAACTCTTAACATTTAAATAATAGCAATATGGAATTCTAATTAGTACTACTTTTGAATAATTGTACCGCCCTGTACTATAATCTCTAATAAGTCACATTCAATTTAATGAGAACGCGACAAGCCGCAGGTCAATAACTTTAACCGCTTAAAAGTTTCAGTAATGAGTGCTAAAAAATAGATTAAAATTTTTCATTCAATTCATGAAGTCATAATTCTCCGACAAACATTCCTTCCATATTTAATTAGTATGAAAAAGTCAGTGAGTCGAGATTCTTGTTTTACACTAAATAACCAGAAACCCAACGCTTGCCCCGCGATAATAAAGTAATTCAAAAATCTAGTGACAAACAGTAGATAACATAATTTTCTTAGAAAGAAATAGCTCGATCAGACTGTACCAGTTAATCGAGAATAAAATTACTCAACTTTCTTACGATGTGTCAAATGTCACAAACATAACCTCTAAATGAAAGAAAGCGTTGAGACTTACTTGAAGCGCAGCAAAAGAAAACGTTCCGTCGATCAGCACTTGATATGGTTGTCGAAATTTAAAGTTATTTACGTAAAAGGCAAGATTTTTCTGTACTTTTTTATGTCGAGAAATCTTCATAGTGCCAGAATTATTCTAAACGGGGAACGTGTACGAAATTCATTGAAAACATGGAGCGACAAACACGTGGTTCGCGAAGCCTAGGCGCGGTGGGTTCAAACGTTGTATAGCCCTTGTAGAAGTAGACGAGGAACTACTAACCATCGTAATTCCGGCCATTGCTCCTAGGAGTGCCATAACGTCATATATATATTTTCAAAGGCGAAGGAATAGGGAAACAAAACTTACCCCATCTATTCTGCTATTTCAATCCATTTAAAAAATACAATTAACCACAGCACATGTAACAGTGGATTTGATAAAGGGTAACAATAAGAAGTAAACTGAATCGCAAACATCATTTTTTATTTCTTTCTATGTACAGAAGCTTGAGTAGCCAGTTGAATTAGGCATAGGACTCAGTAAATCGAACTTATTTACAATTCATCGTTAATGAACGGGTACACAGTCGCACCTTTTCATTAAATAATTGGTAAAAGAATTGGTGAACCAATAAGACTTTCACCAAACTCTTCGAAGATACATCGTATTTAGAAAAGAAAATCGTTATTATAAGAGAAATTACGCAATGACAAATCGTCCGAGCGAAACTCGAAAAGAAGCTTGGCGACGAAGGAGTAGGGATAAACCTGGGATAAAATAGAAAATAAAGGAAAGAAATGTCTGAGAACAGCAGAGGGGAGTCGTGTCTGCCGACGGAAATGGAGGATTTCCTGCTTCCTGAAATTCTACCTCGGCCGATGCGTCCTTGACGCATCTCATTTCTTTAAAGATGGCAGCCAGCTCGAAAAACGTGACTGGCTGCGCGCGGCTCGTCACTCGATCGCGCGGAATCATAAATTACAAATCATAAATCATGTATTACTTTAGGTATAACCTCGTTGACCCGGACATACTCTTTTCGAAGTACACGTTACATCGAAGAATAGGAAAGAGCCGCGCGGGATGTGAATGTGCAGATGCACCAGGTATTGGCTAATCATCCGCGACTCAAGCCGAATTCGCACGTCGCCCCGAGGAATCTTCCTTACTGCGTTAAGAAAAATGAAAAAGGTACACGGCAAAAGGTATAGTTCTTAGTTCCTAGACATTCGCCAGGAGACGACGTGAACGAATATCGACCTGGAAGGAAGATTCTTGTTCTCTCCCGTGCGTTTGTCGTGGGGAAAGGATGCTATGCCTATTAGCTGTGGTACCACTGGCGTCCCTGTAGACGACGTCTACGCGCACGTTCGAACGAAGAACGTTCTTAGAACGAAAAAAAAGACGTAGAACAACGTGCGTGGAATTTTTCTTGGAATCAGTCTTGAGAACGATTGGTGGGCTCTGGTACGAGCTGGTCGTGGGAAGACCTCCCGTTGGTTTGAGGAAGGCGAAGAGGCTTCGAGAGCCACGGATGCCTGGAGACGTCCTGAGCATCCGGTCTTTCGGAAGGTTCTCTCCTGAGGAGTGCCCTGATGAGACACCGTGCACGTGGTCCAAGTCCCTCGGGCACGGCGAATTGACCTCTGGAAATTTTAGCGAAGAGGGAGGCGTGTTCGGCGTCATTGAACGGGTACCGGCCGACGAGCATGGTGTAGAGAAGCACGCCCAGAGACCAGATGTCCGCAGCCCTGCCCGAGTATGCCCTTCCGGATCTTAATACCTCCGGAGCGACGTACGCCGGACAACCACGGCGATCGGTCAGCTTATCATCGTGATCCTCGACAATGACAGCATCTTCAAGACTCTCCAGGCGAAGCCGTGTTCTGCAATCAGCAAAGAGTTCTCATAAGACAACAAGCTATTGTTTAGAGCCTAGAAAAACAAAGCGATCGCAATATCGGTATCGATTTCTCTTGCGGTAGATTGGACCCCGATTGAGGATGGAGGATTCCCCGAAGAGGTGGAGACGATGTCGTGATCTCGCGCATCTTGTACCCTTTACGCCACGTGACCGTAAGCTATTCAATTTAGCAAGAGGGATCGATTGGCACACATCGACATAACGTTCCGTTGGTAAAGCGTTGCCAACCATATGAATGAGGCAACGAAACGACAGCGAGGCTGGTGAAAGAAAGGGGCAGGAGGCGAACGGGCGGGTACAGCAGTCGGAGCGAGGAGGTTGGTGCGAAGTGCCGATCAATGTGCAACGCGGAAGTCTCGAGCGAGTGAATGCGCGCGCGGCCGCGTACGTAATGCGCTCTTAAGTAACTCGAAGTTCTTGCGGAGCGCGCGAATCGCTCGGCGATAACAGCCGACGACATCAGGAACCAGGAGTTCCCCCTTCGCCGTCGATTCGAAGGAACCATGACTTTCGATAGAGAGCTAAGACTTTCATCCGGAGCTAGGGACCTGGGGCCAGGTGACTGCGGAGGAGGGCGACCGGAGGATTGCGAGCTTCTTGTAAAAACGCGGACGAGTCAACGTCCTCGAGGTTTGGTCAATCGCGCGGTTACGCACACTTACGCACTCGCGCGTACAGAGTGCCCCAGAGTGGGCATCAGCTGGCCTAGACTCTGTCGGAGAGGCGGCTAATCGAGTGAGCGCGAGATAGAGCGAGAAACGGGAAGCCGGAATAGGAGAGCAGTGGAGAGCAGAGGAGAGTGGGAGGGAAAGGAGACGCGAGAGTAGCTACGTACGAAAGCGGTCGCTGCTTTCTTCGCAAACTTTCACCGGGCGACGCGGCGGCGACGCGCTTACACGGCGGGTTCAAGAACCCCGGATGGATTCTAGCGCGAGCGGCAAATCACATTGGAAGTTAATTCGAGGCTCGTAGAAATAGCGCTGGAGGTAAGAGTAACGATCTTGAGGCTGACGATGATTCTGATGACGGTGGTAGAGGCGACAGTGATATTGGTAAATGGCGCCGTGTGGTAGTGGTAGCACTGGCCACGAAGCCGGTGAACACCTTCTTGCGAAAGCAGCCGATAACCAAAAGCTGACGTCAGCCACGGAATAGCTCGCGATATTTATGCGTCTGCAGCACGGAATGCGTCTTCTTCTTGGTCCCCGCGGGTCGTGAGGTACGTGGGGAGAAGTCGAGCGAGGAAGGAGAAAAAGATGAGGGAAAAAAGCGAAAAAAAAAAAAGAAGCTGCAAGGAGAAGCGGAGACGCAGTCTCGCGCGTGTGTTTGCATGTTGCGAAAGACATCCGAGATACGCAGTACCTGCTGGCTCTGTCGCGCAGCCTGCTACCATTTATTGCCAGAGCGTAGGATTCAGCAGTGGTCCATAAGCAAAATGAGCAAGTGCTAATAATGATCGTCGGATGGAAAGAAGCAGCCGGTTAATTCTGGGTGTCCTATCTCTCTTGGCAGGATATACTCGTCGTGCTCGGAGTTCGTAAGGGGACCGAGAAGAGGCGCTGAGCCATACGTTTCCTAATTATACGAGAGTTTCAAAACCCCAGTCGATGAACCAATATGCTTTTCTGGCTTGCAACATCCCTCTCTCCCTCTCTCTCTCTCTTTCTCTGGCTCTCGATACACAGCACACAGGAGCGTACAGAGAGCAGCGGCTTCTCGGCAGCCGCTCGAGCGGCAGGAATGCGAGCGGCGAGATTGGCCAACAGAGGAACGGCGGACTCGCACGACACACGCCTCTACGTTTCCATGCCTTCGTGCTTGACTATGCTTCCAATTACTCGTTCTCGGCGTGTAGGCTTTGCCAGAGGGTGCTGTAGGTGCGTACACCGTAGAAACCACCAGAGGTAGAGAGACAGAGAGAGAGGGACTCTGCCGTCTGCTCTTCTGGCTCCTGGGGCACCAGTCACGTCAAACTCCATCCAGACACGAACGAACACACCTTGTAAATACCTTGGTGTGGTCGCTGGGCGCAGTCCTCGTGCCTCGAATTCGCTATCGAGTCTTTACATGCACATGCTGTGCGACGCGTGTCCATGCCTATGGCGTGCTCCCTGGATGAGGAAGAAGCAAGGGTGCGGAGGATGCTTGTGAAAGGATCAATGAAAATCAGGGTCGAGGAGCCTGACGGTAGCAACCAACCTGGCCTCGTCGGCAAAGACGAACTTCCTGAGCTTGAGGTCGCGTAGGACGACGCCATTCTCGTGGCAGGTCGCCACTGCCCTAGCTGCTTGACGAAAGAGCCTTCTGGCTTCCGGTTCGCGAAGTCTTCTCCGTGCTCTGACGTAGGCATGTAGGTCCCCGTGGTGTCCCTCCAGGAGGAGGTAACGCCGTCCCCCTGGCGCATCCACGACTCCTGCCACTCCGCTCGCCGCTCCGGTTCCTTCCAGACGAAGATGAGCTTGTAGAAGGGCTTCTCCGCCTTTGTCGCCCACAGTCAATGCCTGAAATTCAATAAGCGTACTGTCAGGGTTATCCTCGTTCCGCGTAGCCAATATTGTTCAGGTATTTCATGACAATTAGAACGGAGACGCGACAGGTTGGCACCACGGACGTCGAGACTGAAACCGTTTACACGAGTTGGAGCCACCCCCACCAGCCACCAGCCTTCCCGATCACGGTCAACGGCCAAGGTCAAGAACGCTTACGGCGCGCATGCTTACTTCGCCCCGCTCGTTGCCTCCGTGCTCGGCGTTACTTTGCTCCGAGACGAAGGAATCTTCTCTGTATCTTAAATAATCGGCCATCGGTAACTTTGCGATACCGACTGATCCATGTTCTCAGGAATATTATTCTTCGTTCAATTTGATTGGCTCGTAAAGCTGAATCAACCATTCAGAATGATTAGGCAATTTCTTATCTATATACAATTCATTTTTATCTCGAGACATAACTCTGTGTGATCTGTGTAATCGTCAATTCTGCGAGACAACCGCTAAGAGAATATATATATATATATATATATATATCCTGGAATTAATCTGATTGCGCCTTCTTAATATTCGAGCACCGTTTACTGCGTCCCTTCGCACCTAGAGACTAGACGATGCATCGATCGCCGCGTCGTGCGTTGAAATTTGAAACGACCTCCCATTAGTTGATAATGGCAAATGCAATCTTTCGGTGACTACGGCCATTCATTGATTGACCTCTTATTCCTTCTCCTACGTTTATCAGTAACTCGACACACCGTGCCATCCTCGAGCTTCAACGAATATAGAAAATACCAGGCGACCTCATCGCCAGATAATTCTATTTGTTACGTGAGAATTTCGAGAAAATGTGACCATTCGCAATTATGAGAACAAAAATCATACGTCGCATTTACGAAAAATCTCATTACGCCGACGCCTCGTTAAGAGTGTTACGAAAGCGTGCGACGTTCGAGAGTTCGTAATCGCGAATTAAGCAAAATAGCTGTATAGTGGGCATAGTTGCAGTTATGAATAACGGGTAGGATAGGAAGGTAAGATAGAGCACGGTAAGGTAAGGTAAGGTAAGGCGAGGTGCAGCCTTGTGTTTGTTCGCGAGGTGATGTAAGTGCCTCATTGTATAACTCGGCGATTGTAAAACGTTAATGGAAACAGGCAGTAATAAAAGCAGCCTGCCGTTAGTGTAATAATCCACGAACCTGCTCTTATCCTTCTACATTGTAAACACCTTATCAAGAAAACGCAGGTCAGTCCTTCGATCGTTTGCGATAATGAGAACACCCATTCAATGACCGCGTAATCACCCGTGCCAGAGATCTGATCAAAGCATCATTACGGTTGCAGCGGACTCGTCCTTCGATCCGATCGTGATCGATCCACTTAGGAATAACGCGTGCACGCGTTAGATCGTACGAGCGAGAGAAAGACGCGCGAAAGAGGAAGATAGAATTTACCTAGAACCGTATCGAGGACCGGAAGTTCCTGCGCCACGTCGCTGTGAGTCAGGACAGAGGGGCTGATGGGATGACGACTCTACTGAATCATCCTGAGTGCCGAGTGGCGAGTTGGCACTCGAAATCACCAAGGGTTGCTCAAACTTGGATTTCAATGACTGTTGTTCTTTGACAATGAGAATGAAAATGGGGAATGACTGTTCCTCGATGACAGGATATAACGATAGTTTCGATGCGTCACGCTTGATGCAATGTCAGGCAACCGTTATCAACAGCTGTAACCGTGTAGGTAATACTGCTGCCCGTTATTGCGTTGTTGCGTTGCATTGCGAAATCGGCTCCCTGTTGTAAAGACTAATTGTACGGAGGGACAGAGGGAAGGGAGGGCCGAGAAACTGAAAGCTGGAGAAAAGAGGATCCCGAGAAGAAGGCACTAACGAGAACGAATCTTGAGCAATCCTTATCAACGGACCTAAGTATATAAACGGATGCCTGTTGTTGTGTCACGTTCCGAAGTCAACCGCGCGATATAGCCGTGTACGACGCGAGATACGGAGTCCTTTAGAATAGAAATTCATCGAGCGATCGATAAAAAGCGAACTTTCCTCGCGCGTCGGAGCCTCTCCATTTCTCCCGGGAGGAAAGTTTTGAAATTTCGAATAAAATGTTGAAAAGACTTGGTCGCGCTGAGCAACCGTAGCGACCGGCTAACGGTTGCTCGTCGTTGCATGAAACCTCCGCAACGTGTGGAAAGAGACGATCCGCTACTTCAGGATTGCACGTTGCGCATCAGGTGGGATTCCGGACGAGGCTGGGTCGCTTAGACCCCATTGAAACAGTCATGATAACGAAATACCTGCGACGCAATCATTTTTCCATTATAAGCTTTTCAAGGAAAATATTTTTTTCGAGTAATAACCGTCTCTGGGTCGCGCTTAGAATGCGTAAATAAAAAGACGTTCTTTTTAGCAGCTAATTGATAAGCAGTATCTTACAGGCCGTCATCGTTAGCAGTCAATGATAAAGCATTTCCCAATATTCACCTTTATCCTCGAAGCAAACGACGTAAGCAATTCGACAGTGATAACGTGTCAAATTCCGGAGGCCGTCTCCCACCTCCCGCCCGCCCGCCCGTGCGAAGTCTTCTTCTACTTCGCACCGGGTGACATCGGATCGATTTCATCAACGACGGAAAATGATCATCGACTTTGCCTGTCGGAGAGGTTTATGGCCCGAGGTTATTGTTTCGTGGCATCGCCCGATAACGTAATAGTCGAGGACTGGCCTGGATAGCAGCAGGACAGCCTCCGGCGAGTGTTTAGAAAGGTGGACTTTTTTTTCAATAACCACTACCGCTGCGACTCCACTCTATGATCGATCACGGCAGGATTTGCAGTAGGAGACAATTGAGAATCTTAATATCTTTCAGTAATTGGAAAAAAAGAAGACTTCGATGGAGCGACGGGTAGAATCTCCAGTTCGTATTATACGACCGTAAGATAATTTCTGATGGAAGAGGCTACTTTTGAGATGGGCCATCTATACAGAATCGTGTTTTAAATATCTGAATTTCGCGAAGGTTAGGACCGAGCCGCGAGCGGAGACGGTTAATTGCGAAAAGGAGGGTCGTGACTGCGATTGATGATCGGAACGGCGATGACTCCATCAACCTTGATCGTATGCCGATCGGAGATTGGTATGAATGATAAGGTCGAACCTGAGAAGTATTGCGTCTTGTTGTGTCCTGGACTTATTGGAACTGAGAAGCAGGTGACCGAGGCGGTGAAAGTAACAAAGTGAATAATTGCAAGGAGTGCCTGATCAAATTGTAACAAAGTGTAAGGATTATCCAGTTTCCACTGGCAGATTGATTGCGCATACTGACCTTGGCAACTAGCTGCTGTCCAGTCTGCACGTCAACGCATCTGTACAAGGCGCTACCTTCGGCTGGTCCTACGAGAAGGAATCGATCGCCGAGTATCGTCGGACCATGATGGGCAGTTGGCACAGGCTCGCAGCTTGGAAAGACGACCGGTGAAACGGGCGCCTCCTCGCTGGAGGGTTGATGAACGTCTTGATGGTTATTCGGGTTAACCAGGAACTTTCCATTATTGATGCGCGTCACTTGAAGATGCAGAGGATGCTGCCTGGCCACTCTCATATTGCGCGCGAACTTCACTTCCGTTCGGTAGCACGCCACGATTGCTTCTTAAGTCTCTTCTCTTTTTTACTTATATTTTCGCCCCTCTAGTCTATGTTTCCTTTACCTCCTCTCTTTACACTGACTACAATAATTCGTACTCGGGTAAACTCCAACAAAAAAAAAAAACCTTTTGTTTTCGTTTTCCCAACACTAATTATCTTTTGAACACTTTATTTTAAAAAAAGCGCGCACAGCTCCCTTAGCTAATTGTTCGATGCACGACTCTGCGTAGCTGAGGGTTGCCAATGCACGATTGTCAGTCAGGTAACTTTAGTAGCTACAAAGAAAAATTTTGGTAAATTGTCTTGTGTGGGATATCCCTCCCTAGTGAGCTGCAAACGATCCGTGGACGGAGAGAGATCTTCGTAGGGTGACCGTGTCACCGGATGAGTAGCTTCTGAAAGGAAAAATAATAATACGTCATTAAGGTGACTAATGAAGAAAAGTTGCGCCGTACGTGCCTTCCAGCATACAATAACCAACAGCCAAGTACGGCGGATAAGCGCAAAGTTCGGCAGAACGGGGAACTGATCGGTGCATCGAATCATTAGGCTGGAGTCATTGGATTTTATACGCTAGCAAGTGCTCGCTCTCAATTCTCGAGGCCCCGAGTCCCAGTTGGTGCGCTCGTGATTCACGAACAATTTCAAACGCAAATCTTTCGTCATTTATTCATGTTCTTGTGCAACGTATACTCTCCGGAGGACTTTGGAAGGTCAGGGATAGGTAGGATAGGTAAGAAGGTGGAAGGCGGCAGGGGGCTAGCGGAGGTGGCCGGTGTCTTTATACTTTAACGAGGATTTCGTGTCGCGCTCCATAGAGGCAGGAAGATTTCAAATTCCCGAGGTGCGATTTACACATGCTCTCGCAATTCGTACTCGATTTCAGGAGCATAGCTACAGCCACATTGGTTGCGAGAGAACATCTAGGGCCATTGTATGTGTGCAAGTAAAATAGAGAAGCCGTAAAAATACGCGGATTCGTACACGACCTGCGACAATGAAAATGGTGAAAATCATGTGGTCCTTCAATTGATAACACACCTCAAGGATTCACGATAAGAATCCAATAATCGTTCTAGTTTGCAAAGACTTTATCGTAGATTCCTATTGGTTATGGACAATAACGAGTTCATGTCCCGAAAGGTTGACTATCTACGCACTTGCGCAAACTTGTGACTCGCTCGAAATATCAGGGCCGTGTGTTCGTGGATCCCTCGGGGGTTCCGCTTTGTAGCAGACGACGCGGTAACGGATATTATTTGTCTATCTCTTTCTATTTACTATCGGTGCTTAAAAAGGAGCCCGCAAACGATGAGGTTCTCTCCCGGAATAGGAGTGTATGCATATTGGAAGTCATGAGGCCCCGAGGGGCTCCAATCCTAATTGTGGTTGTTCCATGTATACTAAGAAATCTTACGAAATTAACTGAGCTGAATGGAGCAGACTCGTTGGTGAGTTCTTTTGGCTGACGAAATACCGAGCGCTTTTCAGCAGCCGATAGTAGATATCCTTCGCTAAGGTCAAAATGGCGGAGTTTCACGGTGTCCCCGCGATATTGCGGCCGCGGAGACCAACAGCGTTACGCTGTAAAGTGACGCAATCGCACGAAATAAATTGCCAAATAAAAGTGTCGCGTACAGCCGCGTCCTGTGACGCCATTTCTGCTAGTAGCCACCGGTGCCATCCAGTCTATCGATCAATTCTGAGCTTCTCTCACTCTCTCTCTCTTACTTTCTGACACCGCAAATCCAGTCCATCGAAAGCAAAGTGAAGCACTTGAATTATGTAGTCAGGTCTCTCTGGGACACAAGGTAATTGCGTGAAAAAAGGACGATTGTTGCGTTCACGAAGGTCAGTGGTCAGTGGAAAAAAAAAACGGAGAATTCTTGCGAAGCAATATTCAGTCTAGGAGCGTGGCTCTCCTGACAATGAGAAATTGAGAACCACCGACCGAGATGAAAACATTTGATTAAATCGAAAAGAGATAGGGGAAACGGAATCCAATATATAAACGAATGATATCATCCGTCAAGCACTGAAATATCACTTGAACGTCGCACCAAGTATTTCCAAATAGTAAAATCCCAATTCCTCAAGTTGGGTAAGTGTGTACCTTGCTCGTTCTTGTGGATGCTTTTCGTGTTGCCGACCGTTCCTGAACGGGGGAACGTTCCAAAGTTGGTGGAACACCGTCTCCTCGAAAGCGAATCTCCGGAACTCCCGGACGAATTGTTTTTCGCGCGCGCACACACACACACTTTGCTCTTTGCTTTTACGGCAAAGAACCCAGATGACCAGATGACCACCGAAAATTCGATGTTCTTTAGTATCGAGGATGCGTGAGACTGCTAGCCAGGATGATACTGACTTGCTGGATGACTTTAATCCCGCGCTGTGGACGGTCCAACCTTTTTGGGCCGGCCTCCGCTCAGAAACGGCAACAGCTGAGTTTTGAGAGACGAACCTGACACGCCATTGTGCAACTAAAGACTAAACTGTGCGCTGCCGTCAGGACGTCGCGAACTCTCGAAGGCGCCGGTCGGAGAAGTTACTGCGCATGCGTCGTAGTGGGGAGACAGTGCCGCCTCTAGGAGAGAAATACGTGGGGTGCCTATACGCTGACACGGTCACGTATTCCACGATGAACACGTACGAACACACATACGTATCATTATCACTGTCTCTTGTCATAGGCAGGTTCGATTGCGTGGCGCTTGCTCGTGTCAACCTTCGAATATATTCAATCATCTTCCACGCGTCACGTAAGATGCCTGCTTCTAATCCAACCAAACTTCCATTCACAGGATGCACCGACTCTTCCATTTGTCCACGAAGAAGACCTATGTAGATGTTGTCTCTTTCACGGCGGATGTGCCAGGTGTCAGGGAACTCTCGAGGACTGCGGTAAATAGAATATCCCAGTTTATACGCGTATATATACGGGAGGCGCTGTAAATTCCTGGATTTGCAAACTGTGACACACTGGCGAATCGTTTATGCGTTTAATTCGTCCCAGAGGAAATGGCTCGATTATACGACAAAAATCGTCGCGAATACATTACTGTTGAGACCGAGTTCGAGATATCGATATATATCACTGATTTCCGAATGAAGGAACCCGTAGGGGTTATAATAATCGTGAGGCTTCGCATAAGCAATGTTTCTTTTTGGCTGCTACCTCTTTCAAGACAGATAACATGTTTATAGTTCCAACACACGTTCGCCTGACTTTCGACATTTTCAAGCGTGAAGTAGGTGTGCGTTTTCATGTACATGAAAGTGTGTGCGCAAGTACACGGCCATCGACGCTACACCGAATGGGCGCTGTAACGTTCACGGTCGAGATCCTATTTTTGCAAATGCTTCACGAACCCGGAGATATCGGGCCGCGTTGATGACCAAATTCCGGCTAAGACGTCATCGACTCAACATCGTGATTATATACTCAGCTGTTTATAATTCAAATGCAATAACATGATTGGCACTCCCCTTAGCTATGAATTTATTATAAATATGAGTAATTAGCACGGCAAGCAATACATGCCGCATAGCACTTCCGTCGTGTCCATTGGATAATCGACGTATCGGCGATAGGTCATTCGTTACTCAATTTGCGGGACAATTAAATCCTTTTTTATAACCTTCATTGACGGAGAAAAAAAGAAAAATCAGTTAATTATATCCACAGCTTTTTATTGTCTTCCTATAGTCGGCGATATTCCACAAGGTCTCTTTTCGGAACGAAATACTTTTATATCTATAATATTGTGGGTATCTAACGGTACTACGTCCATGTAATTACTCAGGTACCTATTTAGGGTATTTCGGACGAAATTGTGAAATGTGCCGTAAACCCTTCATAACAACGGTAATTGTGAAAATTCTCTATTCGAAATGTCTCAGGTGTCCCGTTCAGTCATGACAGCCATGAGAAACGCGAACTGTCGTAAAGTGAAACATCTTGTTTCTCGGTAAACGTGGTTCTTGGTAGGTCGTCTCGTAATCGGGATATCCTACAATGAAAAGAGGTGGCTCACTCACTTCCGGAGTGGCCTCGTCTGCTTCTCGTGAATATACTGTAGATATGATGCTATCCACGGCTATTGAAGTAACGTTCGTACTATATATGCTCACAGCAGTCTGTTATCTGGCCTCAATAGAAGCGATGCAAACAAGACCCGGACACGGAAGTTTAGGTTTTCTGATGCAGTTTTCATACCCACTTCCTGTCGCAGGAAAATTTAATCATAGTGTCCACGCAAAGAAATAAAACAATCGACTATATAGCTATGGTAATCTCCAATAACATCTCTGTTCGAATTCGAAATTTTCTTCAAAATAAGAAAAAAAAAAAAGTACATCATTGCAAGAACTGTATAATAGTTTTGGTTCCTTTTTTTGATTTTCGTGGTGGGACTTCAGTATAATCCGAGTGACCAAGGGAAGCGAAGGGAGTGCGCCAAAGAATAGGTACGTAACTAAAGAAGAAGGAAGCTCGTTCGTAGCTACTAAGCGAGGCTATAGAAGGGAACGTGGAGCACAATGTGTAGCAACGTGTAGGAACGTGTGACTCGCGGTTTCACGAGCATAACGAAGAAGGGGCACTTGCCCATGTCTCGTGGCGACCTCGAACGAGGTTGAGCCGTGATCATTGCGAAATCCGGCAAAGCCGAACAAAACCGAGCGCCCCGTGCGACTGCCGCTGGTCGTCCGTTCACCGTGACATCGGTGGACGACTCTGCCATGATTTATACAGGCACGTAGGGCACGCGAGGCTACATCAGGCCATTAACACTTCTCAGTCTCTTATATGCGAATACTAACGCTCTTTAATTCGATTCGGTTCTACGTACATGTCCTGGCTCCAATAACGGATATAACAGTTGGTTTACGTATCGAGCGAACCAGGAAAAATAAGACTGTCCGAAGACTTTCCTGGTACGATGGTCGATATGACTCCGCGGCGTAGTTGACGGTTTGAACAAGGAAAAGAGATTCTTGTCCTCGGTCAGATTTGCGAGGGATCCCGTGGGAGAGTGGGAGTACAGGATGCCGGGAATAAAGGGGAAAAATAATCGGAGCAAAAGGTAAGACTGTAACGATAAGTCAAATCCTGATACGTAGAGCAGCAGGAGTGCCACTGGGCGTATCGGCACTTCTAACGTGCAGGGCATCGAACCGGCAAAAAATTCTAACCGGTTCGCGGTTTGGTTGACGCCCCAGAAAAAAAAGAAAAACAGTACCAGGTTCCGGTTGGACTATCAAAGATTTTCATTCGCCTCCACAGTAAGAGAAACTTATCGTCGTCGGTTACAGTGTAGGACTAGAACTTCCTAGTGGGATTTTTCTTAATAGGCGGTAACCAGACGCAGCGATACAGGACATGCAAGAAGTAACGAGGTCCTCAAGGCGCGAGACCCTGAGCTATAAATCGACGGCCCTGCATTCGAGACTGAAGATAATGCGCCACGCGCGGCCCACTTGCATCCTGTTGTGTCGAACCAATGCGAGTTAAGCACCAGAATGGGCCAGAGCCTGTCTCCTCTCGTTTAGCCTCTCATTGTTCGCTCCTCTTCTCCTTCTTAGCCTTTTTCAACTCCCCGGCCGGCTGCTCCCGTGGCAGCTGCTCATCGTTGAGAACACTCCCGACCATAGAGATTCGTGCAGGATAATTCTTCCTCCGTCCAGGATGCGTATCCTTTTCGTTCCATCTCTCGATTGAGATGCGATGGTCCAGTGGCTAGCTGACTCATGCTCTCACCCGAAGAACCTCTGTCTGGGTGCATCCGAGGACACGTGCATTTGTCCGGTATCGTTGAAAAGTCTGACTGGTGCGTTCAACTTGACCAACTGATATTTCATACTGGCCCGAGGGAGAGGAAGGTGAAGAAATAACGGGAGTCGTTTGTGTAAGCAAAAAGGAAAGGAGGGAAAAAATAAAGAGAGGCTTGTAACGTAATAAAGAATCGAGACCGATCGGTAGATCGGCAGATCAAGACGATTTATAAGAGCAAACGGTAAGCAGTTTCATTGCGCTGGCAGTGTTGCTCGCGGTTGCGGCGCTCTCCGATATCAAGAGACCTTTTTTAATTGGTGACTTTAGAGGACACTGCGCAATGAGCGAACGAAGTGACGGTCAGAAGGAAGGCCAGCTCACCTCGTGCCACCTCCATCCGACTGGCCCCTCGCACGTTCCCGCCACCTCCCTCGGCCGTCACATTGCTCCGTGTCCATCACGTTGCTGCTCGTGCAGCAATGCTCCTGCTTGAGTTCTGCCGAGTTCTCTCTCCTTTCAAACATATCGCAGTGCCACCTCGCGTGCAGCGACGCAACGCAGCCGGTCGGCAGTTGCGAGGGCGCTGGCATCGTCGACGCTTGACGCAATCCTCTCTCTTAGGAAATAATATGTCATTTGTTCGTCGTTCCCCCTAACTCGCACTCTCAGTGGTTCGGCTTCCACAACAGGAATAACCTTTGCTACGTGGCTTACGCACGTGCACCTTCCTAAAAGAAAAGTTAAAAGTGAAAAATGTACGATGAGCTATTTATTTACATGACCAATTCGCCAATTGAGAGTTTCCGAGACGGCGAGCTGCTTCCTGCTGCGTCTATATGTAGAAGCGCATGAGTTGGGGAGATGCTTGTGTCGAGTCTTTTAGTTTCTCAATCGACGTCCGCTCGTCGACGTCGACAGTTATGGCCGACGCCACAACGCCCGGAGCCAATCCCAAGTTCGCCTTGTAACGCGCTGGCGTTTCGCAACGAGAGCATGATCGCCGCTTGGCCGCAATAAGCGACGCCGCTGACTCTCCTCCTCTCCCGCATCTCACCACCCTCTCGCTCCCTTATTCCCTACTATCTCTCAAGAAGTCTTCTCCGATGTACATTCCCGAAATAAAAAAGTCTTTGGAATACTCGAAACGCTCGTGATAATCTCCCGGGCGAATCGATCGGCCGAGTTGTCTGCCGCAGACGATACTCTCTGTATTATGGCGCAGCTAATCGCTACTCTATTCGCATCGCCGACCTCCATGATAAATATTCCACTCGTCACGAAAAATCGTCACAAGCCCATAACGATATTGCTCCAAATCTTGAATTCCGAGAGAAAGGATGGTCGAAAAACGGTCCACGAAGTTCTAGCGGCTGAGTGAAATTTATCTAAAGAGAATAGCACAGCCAACCGAACATTTCCTCCTGTCCAGTTAACATTGAAACTGGATCGAGCAGCGAGGAAGTCGCGCTCCGTCAAGTCGTTCGAGCGCGCCTCGCCAAGTGTAATTCATAATTGTGCGATATCCTTGCCTTGGTGACCCAGTTACACTTATTAGTCGATGTCCCCGCCAAGCCCACGGCCCAGAGTCCCGTCGGTGCGAATACTCGTGTATTGAGATGGCGAAGGTCGACGTGCGTCTCCAAGACCCGACGCACTGTCTACCAGCAATGATTCCTAGCAATTTCCACTGCAACCTGGGAACCTCGGAAATGATTCTTTGCATAGGCCCGACGCGTCCCACGAATTCCATACTTGGCTGCCGACCATTCGCATCCGTTTTACTGTATTGTCTATTGTCTCTTGATTCTAAACTTTAACTCCAGGGATCAACCAGATCCCCGGATGTCCACGCGTGTCGCTAGACGCCCATTAACACAGAGTGCCTATCGACGTAGCCGCATTGGCAAGACTGTGTGGAATTGCGTCACGAAACCAGCAAGACACCAGAGCCTAGGATCGATTCGTTCATCCGCAAAATGAAAGACTTCTCAAATATCCGTCACTCCTCTAACGCGCCCATGAAACCCACCCATCTCCACTATGACTGATCGCCGATGTGCGTCTACACGGAAGATCACGTAACCCGGCAATTCGGAGACGTAAGAACGAAGCGGCAGTCTCTCCGTGTTACGATCGTCGTTATTTCGAGTCGTTCAATGGAGTTGCAACATATACCCTATGTGATATATACAAAGCGTGCGATACGACAGCGAGGGACGGCTGAGGAGGGGAGGGCTGGGTGTATGTTGCAAGCGATAAAGTTTTGCAGCACGGGGCACCAGAATATTATCACGCCCCGGGAGATAAGGTATCACAGTGCACGAAAGAATGCCAGTAACCGATTGCTCGAAGCGCGGCTGAATAATCAAATTTCAGCGGCGGCAGCGGAGGGGCGAGGGGTTGGATCGAGAATCGCGATCCTTAAGGTCACATCCCGGAAGTCGCGTCATCCGTCAGCCCGTTAGGCTATTTCCGCTCTTTACTGCGCGCACTGTCCTACCACCGGATATGTAATATGTATATGGTATACATGGATTTTGAGAAGACCCAACCGTCAAATGCATGAATGGCCAAAAAGCACGTGCTGACGAAGCGTAATTCGTTTTAGCCAATTGGCTGCTGGCCTTTGCAAAAGCTTCCTGCAGTCAAAGTGCCCTTTGTTCGATTGTTAGGTATTAGGCCTAGGAAATATGTGTAAGGCACAACCGTAGATCCGGAAAAAGGAGATTTTCTCGGGTGCGGGAAAATTTCAATGGGGAAGGAAACGAGGAAGGGATCGCTTTACGGTCAACTTCCGGGGACCTCCGTGTCTATCCGTCTGCTTCTGCTCGGCCGAATTTCTCTTCGAAAGGGAAGAAAGGAGCGCAACAGCTGTCTCGCGGCATTGACTGCTGTACCCGGCGCCATAAAAATATTTACCCTTCCTTATTCCCGCTGTGAGCAAACATGGAAATGCAATTCGGAGCCGCATCCTCAAGGAAAACCCAGACTTCCGGTCATCTTCTCAACAAGTAATCCCTTTATTTGATTGAGCCTGCTACGTAGAATCTAGCATCGCCAGCAGTCGCGCCGAGGGAATTTTGAGCTCTGACGTGTCTAAAATGGATTTCCGGTTAAGGAATGAAGCGTCAGCCTGACTTTCGCGATATTGACTAGTTACGAAGCCAGAAAAATATTTACGCTCACTCTACTCCGGGGATCCACCATTCCGAAAACTATGGAGCACTCTCATCGAGGAGTTACCGAGCAACAAATGACAATCCAGTATGCATACAGATGAGCAATTGTCGGTTGGAGAGCCTTTTCATTCGCCGGCTTGAATTCTGGCAAAATATGCCAGCGCTCGTACGTTGTGCAATTCGTTAGAGTCGCCGAGCGACAAGTTGCAAAACCGGAATATTGGCCGGGTACAAATCACGCGGAACACCTGGCGAGACTCCCGATTAGCGATTTCCAAAATTTTATAATTTCTCTACATACTGTACCACCAGTCGCTAACCTTACGCTATTCAAATAGGTTTTATAAACAGCTGCCATTCAATACGGTAAGCACGTCCTAATTGGACTGACTGCGTGACCCCGTTTAGAAAGGACTAATTACCCGTTAGTAATTAGTACAGACTTTCCTAATAGACTGACGGCATCGTACACGCTTCCTACGTGCTCCGCCACATGATCCACCGTCGCAATGCGTCATTCGATACGACTATGATCAGCACTCTTACACCAGCGATCAAGATTATCTTTTCATCTTGGACGATCGCACAAATTCAGTCAAGTGCAAAAAGCATATGGCGTCGATCCCCGTATGCACGATACAGTCGCGCGCCTCTGCGCATTTCGGCGATCCGTAATAAGACAACAGACGTGCTGCTGCTGCAGCCTGCATCAGCAACGGCAACGGCAATAGCCAAAAAATTCAATATTTTTCCATGCCTCGTTCCTATGGGTGCATGCACCCGAGTAATCTCGTTATATCGAAGAAGCTATACGTGCCTGTACTCTGGGCTCACGGCCCCATCTGCCGTTGGAGAAAAAAGAAATTGCTATGCAGTCCCATGACTCTGGAAGAGGGAGGCCAGGAGGGAGAATTTAGCGTGAGGGCAGGCAGGATGCACTCGGCACCTGCCAAGAAGGCTGCCCGGTCCGTTCCTCGTCCATTGTCCGATTACGGATGTTCGAAAAAGGGATCGTCGGCTCGTGCTACGCCTCGACTCGGCTTTACACAGGCTTTGTGGATTTCACGGTTAGTCCTCTCTGTTCTCGGGATCCTTCAGAGAATGCAGGGACGCCAGGGTTCCTCCCTGCTACGGGAACAATGGAGATCCTTGCGGCTCAGAAACGCAGAGGGTCTCGAGAAGTTTTATTCGTGTATCGTAAAACGTAGGATGCAAGTAAGATGCAGTAGGATCCAGTAATACGTGGGCGGTGGTAGCCATGGGTAAGTAAAGTTCAGCGTCGGTCACGATAACTGGAGTTTTCGAGAGCCGTTCGATCTAATGTTCGCGTACTTGTTCCCCGATTCGCTCGTTTGAACAATGCATAGATTTCACGAGTTGTCTCTTAACTTTTTTCCAAGCGTCCTACGTCCCCGAGAATTGCTGATCGAAGGCTACGGTTATCTGGGTCGCGGACACCCGCGAATTATCTCAATCCTTCCGTTCTCGGCGTTCTGCTCTTGGCAAATCTCTCTCCTCAAGTTTTTCGCTCTTTTTACGATGTCACGGACCCTGACCAAAGTTTTACGTTGGATCGCGAGACGGCAGCACTGTCCGCCACGACGTGGCATCGATCGCAGTGCCACGTGTTCTAACGTCCCGTTTGCGAACGGCCTGCAGTCGTTACTACGACCCCTCCCGCCGCCCCATTCTAAACAACTGCCGTCTGGTGGTAGCGCCTAGAGAGTACACTCCAGAGAGAAGTCATTGCGCGTCGTTGGCACGACGCACGCGCACACGGATCATCGACCGTATCAAGACACAGGAGTACCACCGTTTGGAAGTAGCGAGCGAAACGGTACGTTCCTTTCTTCATTCGATCCTGCACCTCGTTCTCCTTGAGATTCGGAACATTTTGCGCCTCTGAGTCTCGAGGAAGGATTAACGTTTGGAAGATTGGCCCTTGTTATGGCGTAATGACTCCTAGATGACTGTGTCACTGTATTATACACCTCCGTGAGGCATACACGTGACACGATTCAAGCCCACCTTTCGTCTGTATCCGTTTCAGTTGCCTGGGGCCTCCGGTTGAATTGTTGCAATATGCAGATGGAAATACCGATAAAGGACGCTGAGAAAAATGATCATCGAGATCCGGGTGCCAATAGATACGGAAACTTTATAAATTACTACAGTTTTCATTCTGCGGAAGAACGCGTGCAGCAACTTCCGCGAAATGTGTGGCGGTCTTCCCACCCCGACCGGAAGTTCCTGGGACTAGACATCGGGTGTAACGCGGGGGTGAGCATTGCGCAGCTGTTGGACGGAAGAGGCTGGCCCGAGGCTTCCGACACGTCTGATTAGGAAATGGCATTTTAAATTTAGACGTGTTATCGGTCTTTTCGATGACGCCTCTCGGCGCACGTCTAGACTCAGAATAGAATTCTTCTTCACCTCGGCTTGGCTAAACTCTCTGTACCGTTCCGTTCTGAAAATTTGCTGGACCACGTTTTTTCAAAAATATAAATAAACTGTCCCGCTTTTTTAACTTTTGCAGGATCTTACGCTAGCACTTCATGATTTTCTCGAGCCTCTACTCACCGAGGATGGCGGAGCCGACTTGTCTCTTCTTGGAGTGGATTTTGATCCGGTTCTCATTGAAAGAGCTTGCGAAAAAAATTATTGGCCAGATCACGTCACTTTTAAATGTTTAAATTTCATTTCTGACGATAGAGATAAACTCCTTCGGGAGTATTTGTGTAAACACAACAGGAGTCATTTTGACGTAGCATTTTGTTTCTCTATCAGTATGTGGATTCACATAAATTATGGGGACTTTGGATTGGTTGAATTTCTTTCTGGAGTTTGCAAATTTTCGAATATGGTCGTGATTGAACCCCAACGGTGGAAATGCTACCGAAATGCCTCTAGAAGACTGAGGCGTTTCAATGGTGAAGATTTCCCACTATTAGACAGTTTAAAGTATCGCGGAAACATGAGTGAACATATTCAAAATATTTTGAAGGAATACTGTAATTTTCAAAAAGTTACAGTCACTGGAAATAATAGTTGGGGCAGAGAGATTCTTATTTATGAGAGAAATACTAATATTCCAGTTGATGCTCAATAAATATTTTTTATTCTGTACACAAATCTTTGGCTTTGTCTCTATTTTATAAGGATAATACAGCGACGTCGCGATGGGTAACGAAAAGATTACTGAAGCGTCGCGATAGTTGCGACGCGAGAGGGCCACGGCGCACGAACAACACGCGAGCCTCAGCCAGTGGCAGCCAACCGTTGTATAATAACAATTTGACATGAATTCGGCGAGCAAGGTAAGTGAGAATGGTGACTTTACAAAGTGATTTTTCCTTATATTCCCCTCAAATACGCTTAGAGTATACGGTGCATCCCACCACTCACCCTTATTTTCTGACCCAAAGCCACGTGCGCCCAAAGCCGCCCTCGAGTATTCTAACGATGGAGTTTCAAAGTGGACGGAAGGTTAGGTTATGTGCTGTTTACTTTGTATTTATCTATTTGAACCCTTTTCATAAGTGATCCAGAGTGCCGGAGGATATTCAGGAGGCTGCACAATAGTATTTTCACAATATTTCCTGTATATCCATAGTAAAATTCAAAAGGAAACAGAAAAATACGAATGCGCGGTAAACGGTTGGAATTCTGGCGTCTCTAGTGCTGACGTATCGCTTGGTTTTACAGGTCGGTGAAATTTTCACTGCCGCCGGAGCGGCTTTCAACAAACTTGGAGAGCTAACGATGCAGCTGCATCCAACGACAGATTCACCAGCTGGGTAAATTGCAAATATCTGCACTTTTACAATTTTGCTCATGCTTGATCTTTCAAGACAGCCCGGTTACTTTGCTTCGAGATGCCCGCATCGCTCAATTACTAGTTTCGTAGCTTCTAACGTTGCGTCGCGTTGTATAAACTCGACTGATGATAAGTTAGGAATCCCCACTGGCGTAGGACGCATAATATTATATCTAAGGTGTGTTTCAAAACTTTCTGCAAGTACTGCGGACATCATCGCGTCTCTTTATCCTTTAATGTATCTGAGAAGGATACAATATTGTTTGCAGCACTTGCAGTGAGCTATGAAACACATCCCTAGTCAACTAATATTGATGGCGGGTCTTTTAACGTGTTTCTGTGAATTTGAAAAGATGTTAAGATTCCAAATAACTTTATAGCAAATAGTCAATGGAATGATTTGCCTTTCATCAAACGTTATCCTGACTTACAGTAAATGGACTGACGAGGAAATTGAGATGCTCCGTCACTCGGTTAAAACCTTCAGCGAAGATTTGAACAAAATAAGCGAGCACATCAAGGGGAGAACGGTGTAAGTTGAAAGGGCCATATCGAGCCAACGGATTGTCGCTCAATTTCTCCGTCAGATCTGACGCCATTTTGACAGAGACGTTTTTCTTCATTGTTTGTAGGTCGCAGATACGCACCACCTTGAAGAAAAAGGCATTCGAGGAAGCAGGTGTCCCGATCAGACAGCAACAGGCTCAACAGCAATCGATGCAGCAAAGCAGTGTTGCGCAACAGCAACAAGTGCAAGTTCAGAAGCAGCAACAGACAACCGCAAATCAAGGGTTGATGGGAAAATCAGCAGAAGTAACTCTAAATATGCTGAACGCTCCAGAATCGGAAGTGGACGTTGAGGGCTTGCCAGAGGAGTGTCAGGTTAAGTTGGAATTTGAGGGAGCAACAGAAGAAGTGGCATCGTAATCCTAAGTATTTTATACTCTTACTTATATTTTTAATTATAAGTCAAATCCACATTGTTTACTGTAAGTTTACGGACATGGATCCAGTAAGTTGTCATTTTCAAAATAAACCTTAAGAATCGTTCTTTAACTTCAACCATCCATTCGTAAAAGAGCTAATGTTAGCCCGCGTTGAATGAAAGTTCGTTCATTCATCGTTGGTGGCGCCACTATCCAACGCCTCGCAAGAATTATATCTAGTTACTTTACCGAATGGAAGTTCACTGAATATCTTTACTAGAGATTTTATCAAAAATACGTTGGTATGTCAACTGAGTGTCTCAGCTGTTGCACAGCGCCGACCAACCGAGGAGGCAACTGACAGACGTTAGAGTCTGGATCGCGTATCAGTCTTTGTCCTCCCTGTGGCTTCATTAACCAAATCCTTCGTATAGTTAGTGCGACATAAACAATTTGTAAATTAGTGTTACGTGTACAAGGAATATGGCAGGATTGCGCATACCAATTGACGTGCAGAGATGTTAGTGTGTCAACCACGGTGAACTGTCAACAAAATTGGATTCACGAGGGAAAGACTTGCTAATCAGTTTTCCTTCTATTCCTTAGTTAATTCCTTCTTTCCTTTAGTTTGCTCGAAATAGCAGATCTAAAAAATCAAGATGGAAGGAGGCGTCATGGATAGTCCTGATGAGAGCCTCATCAGGACTGACAGCGAGGAGATCGCGCTTCATGGATTGTGCAGCCCGAAAAGACCTCTCTATAGGTTTTCAGGTCTTGCACTCATGTGTCTTCTCGGATTTGGTAGGCGTCACAATTTCAACCCAAAAATACTATATATTTCATACTGCCATTGTTGCTTTTTGCTTTTCGTTATTCTACTCGATAGCTGCGTTGCCATCGACTGAAGAGGAATCTGTACTTAACGAGATCAAATATTCCTCTGACGGGGGCGTTCTCCACTATCAGTCATTTAGTACAAAGAAACAGCCATTTCCAATATTTTCTTCCCGTATCAGTAATTCGAGGTCACAATACGACTTTCCGTATTGTGCTTTCCTTCGATTCCCATATTGGAATATGCACGTGTTCGTAACTGCCGTTGCCAGATATTTTACAATCTTCTACTCTCACGTGTACGGACGCACGATAGTTGGAAATCGACGATAGAATATCGTCTTGGACATAAAATAAAAAAGTCCCGCAAAATGAAGTAGAACAAATAATCTTTGTTGTACTCGAAGTCAGTAAAGTATTATGAGATATTCGTAATAAAGATAATACTGAATACTCAAGAAAGAATTCCCTCTTTATTAGCAGCTGTGAACTCTGAACCCTTGACTTCTATTTCTTCATCATTACATTGTTGGCTGACAAATCAAGCAGTCTGGGCCTTATTTTTTCATTGATCAATGATTGATTTCGTCTGGTTTTCACGCTAATAATCACGTTTCCTTCTCTTTTTCTATTTGCAATCTAGGATCGTACTTTTGCTACGACAATCCCGGCGCGCTGCAGGATAATTTCAAGAGTGATCTGCAATTATCAACTAGTAGATTTGTTTTACTTTACTCGATTTACTCCTGGCCGAACGTGATTTTCTGTTTCATTGGAGGATTTTTATTGGATAGAGTTTTTGGAACTCGATTAGGCACTATCATTTACATGGGACTAACCCTAATTGGTCAGATAATTTTTGCAACTGGAGCCACTATGGATATGTTCTGGCTGATGATGGTCGGAAGATTCGTATTTGGGTAAGAAACACTTTTTTTTTCATAAAAAATACTAATTAAAAAATAAAAATAATACTTATTAACATATATTGTATTTATAAAGTTAAACCTTATATTTTTTAATTCTAGAATTGGCGCCGAGTCTCTTGCTGTCGCTCAAAACAACTATGCCGTGTTCTGGTTTAAAGGCAAAGAATTAAATATGGTATTTGGACTGCAATTGAGTTTTGCCCGTGTAGGGTCAACCGTCAACTTCCTAGTGATGGAGCCGATCTACAACTATGTTTCCCAGTACTACAAAGGTCCACAATGTATTGGCGTCGTTCTCTTTCTAGCTGCTTTGACTTGTGTGGGCTCGATGATTTGCGCCTGTCTGCTGGCCATCATGGATAAACGAGCCGAAAGTTTATTAAAACGAGGACAAGGTCAGGAAAAAGAGGTAGTTCGAATAACGGACGTTAAAGACTTCAAAGGTGTATTTTGGCTAGTGACGATAGTCTGCATCGCTTACTATGTCGCCATTTTTCCGTTTATCGCCCTGGGAAAGTAAGTAGGCATTATTACGGATTAGTCATCCGCGATACTACCAGATTATCTTCTATTTAATATGTATTTCAAGGGTCTTCTTTGAACGCAAATATGAATATGAGCCAGCAGCAGCTAACACAGTGAACTCTCTAATTTATTCGATATCGGCAATTGCATCACCAGTTCTTGGATATGTTGTCGACAGAACTGGAAAAAATGTCAGCTGGGTTTTTATTAGCATATGCATAACGATGCTGGCGCACGGATTGCTTGCCTTCACTTATGTCAATCCCTACATTGGTATGATTACTATGGGATTGTCCTATTCGATGCTGGCTAGCAGTCTCTGGCCCTTGATCGCTCTGGTGATACCAGAGTATCAATTAGGCACGGCTTATGGCATGTAAGTATTTTAAGTAAGAATGATCGAGGATCCCTAATATGTTTCTTTTAATCTTCTTTTTTCATTTTCCAGCGCTCAATCTATCCAGAATTTGGGTCTGGCTGTTGTATCTATATTAGCTGGGATGATAGTTGATGCTGGTGGTTACTTCATGCTGGAAATATTTTTCCTCGGCTGGCTTTGGAGTGAGTCTCTTTTAAATCTTGCTTCTCTCACAAATTAAAATCGTTTATTGACACAATAATTTGTTCCACAGTTTCCCTGATCACCACTATGGCCATTTGGATGTTGGATATCGCATCGACCGATGGGTACCTCAATATGACACCAGGTCAGCGAGAAAAGTATGACGAATGTCGTAAAACAACCGATTCCTTGGAAAGAGAAAAACTATTATCCGGAGACTCAACTTCTGATCTGTCAGCCGATGATCTTTTACAACCGCATTCTGATATTCATATCCGCAATAGATATCTTTCTCGCATAGGTGCACCGGTATGATATATGGATACGTTATTTAGCATTAAATTAATATTCGAATTAAGACTTTTTGCAGCAATTCTTAGAAACTTTGTCTTTTAGTTGCCAATACATGCGAAAGGACCAACGTATCGAGCGCTTCGATGATGCTCGGCATTTGATCTTGAACATGTTGATGACTCCTAAGTCAGTTAATGGACATTGAAAATGTCTCGGGAGAACTTGCTCACTGTGTCTTCCCGTTGCACAGCGTTAATCTGTGATAAGTTTGTTGATAAGTGAATTTAAATGATAAATAGAAAAAAAATAAATGTTACGGACAAATCGAGCGGTGATTTCCTATGACTGATAGAGATGACGAGAGACTATACAAAGATTTCCCTCCATCGAGGATACTCTATATTTTTATTCAGAGATATTTATTGACGCAATTCGTTTATTATTTTTTATCAGAGAGGCAATCACCCAAATCATACGCGATTTCATATTTCTGAGAATTGAACGTTCCATTACTATTACGTGTCCTGCAAAATGCGAGATGATCTTTAACGTGCTTTAATGGATCTTATATCGTGTAATATATTTTAGCAAAATAAATGTTCTGTCAAGTGAATTATTTTACTCTTTTTCAAAGTCTCTTGCAACAACATGCACACTCTTTCCTGAAATATTGCTATATATTTTAACGTCAGTAAGAATTTACTTTTCTGTAATTTGTCATGGCCCAGTCGGTAATGTATATCAATTATGTTAGAGTCAGTTACCCATTGAGCCAAAGAAGTTCTTAGAATTCCGTGCTTCTCTGACAGAGGGTGCTGATGAAAATCACGAAAACAGCTGTGCAGTTGAACACGTGCGTTTCTGGTGCGTGTCGAGTGGGTTAACCAAGTCAAATTGTTTCAGTGCGTTGTGTTGGAGCATTTAGTGAGAATTTTAATACAATGGGTGTGCACGACAACTCAGATTCCAAATACAGTTTGATGGGAAGTTCAAGTTTTCACAAATTAACACCGAAACGTCCTACTCCAGTTGTTTTTGGCGAGAGTGCAAATAAGCAACAAAAGACCGAAGGCAGTTTAACGAGTAGTTCTCCTAAGCATCCTAAACCGCCGGATAAAACGAATCTTACCTTACAGCAGCAAAGAAAGTCTTTGCCAGTCTACAGGTTGAGAAAACGGTAAGTACTGGATACCATGTTATTGTTGTAAGCATTTCATAATTATTCACGAAAAAAAGTACCATAAAATTTGTCAGAATTTTTACCAGAACTTTAACCTCAAGCATCGTAAGTAGTATGATCCGCATTATTCTTTGCTCTGTTTTACGTCCCGATTCTTCAGTCGGCGAAATCTTTGATAATTCCGTGCGTCTCGCTAGATGGCAGTAGCGTCGCGATTCTCCGACCTACTCTTGAAACAGTTTCGCTATAACGATAATTTTCATCGTTTCACAGGCTGCTCGAGGAAATAAAACAGCATAGTACTCTTATAATAATTGGTGAGACCGGCAGTGGAAAAACAACGCAAATTCCACAGTTATTATTAGCTTCCGGCATTGTCGGCTCATCCGGTTGTATTGGCATCACGCAACCACGACGTGTGGCGGCTGTAAGCGTAGCCAGAAGGGTTGCGCAGGAACAAGGGAGTTTTCCGGGGAAACTTGTTGGCTATTCTGTGCGTTTCGAGGACGTAACGTCACCCCAGACTAGAATAAAATATTTAACTGATGGAATGATGGTTCGTGAAGCTATGACTGATGAGATACTCTCAGATTATTGCGTCGTTATTCTCGATGAGGCCCACGAGAGGTCCGTCCAGACTGACGTGCTGCTCGGTGTAGCACGAAGAGCTCAAAAATTACGAAGATTGAAAAATCTTCCGCCTTTGAAACTCCTGGTGATGTCCGCTACCATGGACGTCGACAAATTCACAAAGTATTTCCAGGCGCCTGTACTGTATCTGGAGGGACGGCAGCATCCTGTAAAAATTTATCACGCTACTAAGACTCAGGAGGATTATGCATTCTCCGCCTTAGTCACGGTCTTTCAGATTCATCGGGAAGCTCCTGCAAAGTAAGAAACTTTATAAAGTTCCATTTTTACGATACAGGAACTACCGAAGCAAAGATATTACAAACTATTTTCTTCTCTTTGGAAATGTACTATCCCAAAGCACAGAACCCTCGTTACCAGGAGCAATATAACTTTCGAATTCCTATTTTAGCGAGGACATCCTCACGTTCCTGACGGGTCAAGAGGAAATCGAAGCAGCCGCAGTTGCCGCAAGACAAGTGGCTAAGCAATTGGATGGAAAGGGATATCCTGCCCTCAAAGTATTTCCCTTGTATTCGGCTCTTCCGACTCATCAGCAATTGGAAGCTTTCAAGGCATCACCCACTGGTATGCGGAAGCTGGTTTTGGCTACCAACGTAGCTGAGACGTCGGTTACCATTGGTGGTAAGAAAAAGAAAAGAAAAAGAAAAAAGAAAAAGATCCATCTACTAAAGTAAAACCCAAGATACTACTCGTACACGTTTGGCGAATGTTAGTTCTCATGTTCTTGTGTTTATTTCTACACCGAGAAAAGCCATACTGTTGGATTGACTACCTTAGTGTTCACGGGTGGCGAACAAATTTTTGGTTCCTTTATCAGATATTCGGTCCGATCGACTAAAATATGTTTGGATAATCAATTATTTTGTTGTGTTAATTAAAGATTTTTTTCACCACCCGTGAACGCTAATTTGGTCAATCCCACAGTATTTCCGTTCTCGGTTTATAGATGGAAAAATAGCGTTGTGGCTATTCAGTGAGAGACAGAGACAGAGAGAAGAAAGAGAGCAGAGGATCTCTGAATTATCTCTAGTAGAAAAATAAACTGGTCAAATACCTATAAACGAAACTTCCAGCGCTGCTGGCATTAATCATTGAAACGTATGCGTGTTGCAGGAATTAGGCACGTAATTGATACTGGAATGGTCAAGGCGAGAACTCACCATCCGACCACGGGATTGGACGTTCTCAGGGTTGAGAAGGTAGCCAAGGCTCAGGCTTGGCAAAGGACAGGTAGAGCTGGTCGAGAGGCTCCTGGAAAATGTTACAGAACCTATTCCAAGGATGATTTCGAGAAGATGAAGGAAATGCCTATACCGGAGATACAGAGGTGCTCCTTGGCTGGGGTGGCCTTGCAGCTTCTGGCTATAGGGGTGGATATTACCAGCTTCGATTTTATGGACAGGCCTCCAAAGGAGGCAGTGGATGCCGCGGTTTCGTGTCTCGAGAAACTTGGAGCAGTCAAAGGTTAGACAGAAAAAAATTATTGAATCAAAAGTATCGACGTCAGTTAATTAATTATATATTTGTAATTTATCTCATGTACGATCGATCGAACTGACAGGTTTACCACCACAGCTGACAACCCTTGGGAGAACAATGTCACTATTCCCTCTCGATCCTCGATTCACCAAAGTGATCCTTGCCTCCGTGGAGCACCAGTGCCTCGAAGAAGCTCTCACAGTTATAGCCTTACTCTCTGGAGAATCCGTGTTCACAGACCCACCCGCTAAGAGGCAGCAGGCTTTTGCAGCCAGGTCCAGGTAGTTATATACAGTGAGAGAGACCGCAGTGAAGTGTCTTCGGAACATGCTGACATTCCCTTACGTGTATATCCCTCTGCAGATTCTCGTCGGAGGAAGGAGATCACGTCACCCTTCTAAATGTCTATCGCGGCTTCACAAATGCCGTTCAAAAGAAGGTCTGGTGCCATGAGAATTTCCTTCACCACAGGAATCTTGAATACGCTAGCGAAGTGCGACAGCAGTTGGCTGCCCTGGCTGTACGGGCGAATCTCGAAAGGGTCAGCTGCGGCTCAAACACGGATCGCCTAAGAAGAGCCTTGCTCGAAGGACTCTACGATAATCTGGCCGAATTGCAGAGAGATCAGAGCTACATCACGGTATGACTTTTCACCTTTGACCTTGTTTCTCTAGGATTCACAGAAGGTGATAGGAACTGAAGGAGGAGAATGGTGTTTCTTTATTCTGTTTTCACAAAAAATAGGTAACTTCTCGGCAGTCCGTTGCGATTCATCCCTCGTCTACACTTCACGGCAGCAAACCGAGTCTTGTTTTATTCACGGAAATTGTCGCCACCGGAAAGTGCTATATCCGTGGCCTGTCCGTGATCGAATCTTCTTGGCTAACGAAGAAGGGTGTGATATTGGGAAGGCAGGATTAATTGACAGATAGTAAAAATTTATTTTTTATTTCACGAATAACATGTACATAATTTAGCCGCTAGTATTATTTTAACGAATGCGAATAGATAATAATAAATGTTTGGGAGCCGGTCAATTAATTCGAGTTGCTTTAAGCTCGAAAGAACTTTCTCGAATGGATTCCCCGGGAGCAGTGAATATGGCTGCCTCGCGGATTATCCTCTTTTCCAAAGTACGCGTTATCGCGACTGAGTCTATCCCGTTGGGAAACTCGGCTTCAAGAAGGCGATCCTCCTCTCTTCCCTCCCCTCCTCGCTTCTCTTGTCTTCTCTTCTCTTCTCTTCCTAGGCTGGGCATGGTTCGCAGCTTATTCGCGCCGGGGGCTTCGTGTCGTAATTGAATTTTAATAATCCAATTAAGCGAATTACTGCCACCGGTTTGTCGAATGATAAAACGGTTAATTAACGCTAGATAAACACTGCATTTGACGAGAATAAACGTCCCTAGTAGTTGGTAAACGTTCGACTAGAGTGTGACAACAGGTGGCTACCTCCAAATTCATGCGGCACATTGAAAAATCAATTGAACTTAATTTTTTTATTTTTCCATGGCTAAATGGCAACGTCCACCAACGAATTAGCAGGCATTCCGACGAACGCGCGAAAGACCTTTGATGTCCAATCGACTTGCAACGCGAGAGACTTCGCGTCTGAATTATCAAACGACTGCGAGAGATTCGACTGCGTTGGCGAAGTGGCAATTTGCAGAATAAATAGGACGATTTGAAATTGGCTATAGATAGAGAGGAGCCTAAACGACTAACGGTACTCGAGTCGCATAGTTTGGCGGTTTTCAACAGTTCGTTCACGCTGACCCACCGCCATACATATATTCGATTATCAAGCCGTCGTGAACTTTCACTTACTGTCCCCGAAAATATTTCGAGAATTTTCACGAAAAATCGAATTCCGACTATCGGCCGGGTCCCGATAATATTAAACGAATCAGCAGACTCCATCGCCTCAGCTTTTCCGCCTCTTTCGTAACTCTTACTCACACGCAATCGTACCCTGACACACATGTAGTTTCCCTATCTCTACTCCAGCCTTTCCCTCCGGGGCCGTTCCTCGCCCTCTCGGCATTCTCAGTCCACTCGGTAACCTTCTACGTCCCACCCCATCTGACCTCAACCACCCCCCTAGTTCTCTTCCCTTCTCTTGGTGACGAGCGATCTGCGCCAAGCTTATGGACCCCACATCCCCATGGTATCTCACGGATCCACGGTCTCCTCTACATTCACCCTGTTCAACCCTTTCAACTTGAGGAACGCGACGACAGCCCAAGTTCGTCATAACGAAACAAAAAAAAAAGTATTTGGACGCTGATTAACGTGCATTGAAATTATAAGGTTGGCTCGCTGGATTTATCAAAGGGAACACCCGGTATGTATATGGCTGTCCGAATATTAATATAACGAGTCCTCGAGTTACTGGGCAAACCGAATGACAAAACAACCTCGAGTCCCTACCCCGACAAAGGCTCTGGCCGAAGCATGCTGCTGAAGCTTTTAGCAGTCTTAGGAGCTTTACCAAAGGGGCTAGATAAGTTCCCTCTCGTAACGCACCTTTGCCTTGGCGAATTGAATTATTCGGCTTAGCAGTGCTGCCAGCCCGAGTCGTGAATTCGCGGCTGTTTCTGGGCTGACCGCCATAAATCCTTGCAAGGCGCCTCGCGGCCTTAACGATTTAAGGAGAAGCCGGACTTACTGCGGTCCGTAACGGCGATTGAGGCTTCAAGCTGATTTAAAAGAAAGGCTGGAGGGAAAAGCCGAATTTTCATTGGGATATTGAAGTCTTTTCTTTCCAGTTCTTAAATCGTCCGTTTATATCAGCCTGGTCGACTTGGAGATAGCCTTGAGGAAGACATCGATACTCATGAGAGGTAACTTCGTGCTATCCGATCTCGTGGGAAATTTTGCAAAATGTTTTGTCGCTTTTATCGAGAGTGCCATACTGCCAACGGAGTTCGGATATGGATTGGTTCGTAAAGGTAGTGCAGGCCAATAGGGCTGCAGCCTGGAATAAAACCGAGAAGAGGGAATAAATTCGGTCGCTCGTAGAAGCGATACTATTTCGCAGCGTAGTACGAAGCAATTTATACCTTATTAAATCGTAGCGGTATCTGTACGATTTGAAAGTTGCCAGGGATGCTACCACGTAAATCTGGCCCAGATTCGCAAGCGGCCATGACGGAGTCAATGTATTCGCAGATTTACTTCCACAGAATCAGTAGAATCCTTTTAACCCTCCAAGTAGAGTCATGCACAATGCACGTTAAAAGAATCAGAATGTGTTTGTGTCACAAACGAACTTTTACTTCTGCGATTAACTAAATCATCAGAAATTCCATGAAGTTCTGGAAGCCAGGAATTATCGTCCAACGCAACGGAAGGTTAGTTCTGATTCTGTTCGAGTAACGGAAAACTGACAGAGAGAGGGAGATTGTAAAGAGAAAAGGATAAAAAGATGGTCACAGGTATTGACTCGACACTGTCCAAGATCCACTGGTATCGCAGCAGCACGTTTGCTCAACAGGGCCGACGCGTGATTAAGAATTAAATATTTACGAGGAACGCCGACGTGTTCCCTTTTCGCGATTAAAGTTTGCAATATGCTCGGGTGGCTTTGCTAGAGCGTGGAGGGTCGGAATCTAGAGAGAGGGTGAACTTATGAATAGAAACCCGCTGTGAAAGGACGTAGGTAATACGCTTCTCTATGTAGCCCGTTACGCGACGGAGCTTTCTTCTATCTCCCATCTTCCATCTTCCATCTATCTTAGAAGGTCCTCATAGTCGCCGTGTGATCCTCCGGTTTTTAATAATGAATTCGACTCGGAACCTCAGTCCAGCCCACAAAGCGACGCTTCCCTCGTTTGATCAGAGTCCGAGGCCTCCCTTGAACTTCCTCCAGCCCTTTCCTTCTTTCATCCCATTATTCTTCTCCCACCGGGAAGTTAGCACGGTACTAGGAATAAAGAGCGAGGTCGTTTCGCTGGCTGCATATTTGATCCGGCTCTTTTGTAGAACGAGATTCGACGCTTCTCTTATGGAAGTGGCAGTCACACCGGAGGCACGCAGCAGCGGCCTCGGTCGCCGGGATCAGCAGTTCATCAAAAGAGAACGAGAGGAAGTGGAACGAGAAGGAAGTATCCTTTTAAGCTTTTTCATTTTCTTCATTGAAAGCACCTTGGTGAATGTCGGTAAGTAACAGGTGGCTTCAAAAATTTATCTAGCGCCAAGTAGCGCCAAGACTGGCGTAGGGATGCTGCATCCCTTGCGCCCTCGTGGGGGACTGGAATACTCGCTCGAGTGTCTCTCTGATGAAACTCGCATAATACTTTGTTCGTAATAACTTACTACTCCCGCGGGATCTGAGTCTAGTTTTAAGGTAGTAGAGATAACGTTCCTTCCCGTGCGAAATGACGACTCCTTTGGCTACGCGGTTCTCCTGTCCTTAACTCTAGGGAAACTGCTTGGAGATCCTCAGGAGCCAGGTTACGAGTCTATCCAGTGCAACATTTTGCCCCACAAATAGTCCTTGGTGCAAGCCAGTACACTGGTGGAGTCTATGGTCTTCATAACTTCCCTACCCACCCTCACGAATGTCCCAATGAATCTGACCATAGTAAATACAAAAGGATTCGGTTCGACCCTGTACACGGAAGACTCGACGTATCCTGGAGCATCGAGCCCCAGCATGGACAGGATTAGATTGCCGAATCCTCGTGAGTGGAGCAGCTCTCGCGATTCCTCGTCCTCTTCTTCGACAGTGGAGCGATTGCCTGGAGCGCCGCCGTCACTGTGTACGTAGCTAAACCCAAGCCCCAAGAGGCTTCCTAACGAAGATGAGTTTGATCGATGTCCTGGCTGGTGTTTTTCCTTAGGGTCATTCGAGTCCAGCGACCGGCCCGAAGGGAATCTATACGGGAGACGACCTTGTTGTTCCACGTTGCTTTGTTCTGCTGCGAGGAACGTGTGCGGCTCGGAATTACTGGCTAGCAAGGAGACCGGGTAATTTGATCCTTGATAGGCAGGATCATGGTTCTCTTCCTGGGCAAGGGCTGCCCACTTTCCCGTCAGGTCAGACCCACCCATGTTTTCCTCCTCGTAATCCTGGCTAGTCTCGTATTCCTGTCTCAGATCCTCGTTGGTACTGTATTCATCGTTTTTGGCATCGATCTCCTCATCCCCGCGAAGATCCTCAAGGATATTTTTACGCGCGGGACCAAGGACGAACCCGTTAGGAACCTTCGGAGCGGCGAAGCCGTCGATGATCTTCTTGATATCCAGGAAGTAGTCGGCCCAGCAGTAGCCAAGATGCATTTCCTCCTGATAAGTGTTGTACATTCTTCGCCAGGACTTTAAAGTGGATCGTATCATGATCACGGGATCCGGTTCAGGATTGTCCTTGGCCCTGATGCTTCCGGACACTGTCAGAACCAAAATAAGCAGGACTATCCTCGACATTTCCTTCCTGATTTCTTCCTCGTTCGATTCTTCCTCCGCTCGGCAGACCCGATCGATCAATCCCATGAATTCTCAGCAGCAATAGCGAGAACAGATGGACGTTTTCCTAAATCGACTGTCGACCAGCGGGAACCGCACTTCAATTCCAGCAGGCAAGTCCAGACCGTCCAGGATAAACTGGGTGTCTCAAGAAAAAGCAATCCACCACTTGGCCCGAGAGTTATCACGGACTCCCAGAGCAGCAGCACAACACCACGATCGATTCACGGAAACAAGTCACGAACCGTTGACCGGAATTCTCCAATATTTCCGATAGGAGTGAACTCCCAAGAGCGGAAGAGGACCGAGCGTGCTCTTCCGGTAGCGATACTGGCTAATGCTAGACTGACTGTCCCCGAGCCCAAGTCTGTCCGGCATATTTGCGAGTGCAATTAGTGACTGACACGAAAGTGCGTAACTGTGCGTAACCTGCCACGTCATCCTCCCTCTTTTCTCTTTTCTCTCCCCTCTACGAGCTCTTCTACCTGCTTACCTAACTACCTGCTTTCCTATCTTCGCGCGTATCGGTTTCTCTGGCTCCGCAAGGCGACATAGGCACTCTTGCACGTACGTATACAAGTTTCAGGTATGACGGGTACCAAGAGAGTCAAGGATAACGGATTCTCGCCCTGAGGCGCAGCAGGGAACGAGGAGGAGCAGTCGGAGGATTTCCAGATGGAAGGAGAGAAAGAGCAAGGACGTCGAATGCAGGCTCCCTCCCTTGAGCTACAGGCCCTTCGCGGTGCATCCTGTGTAGGAGCATTCGCCAGGACGAATGCGAACAATCGTGGAGGGCGATGACAGCTACGAAACAACAGCTACGATCCGCAGCCTCCTGCGCCATCCGGATCCTCATGCTCAGTCAAGGCTGCTGGAATTCGGATACACATGCAGTCAGCGAACTCGATATTTAGCTGTAGTTTCCCTGTACTCGCGGAATATTCAATGGGTCCGTGAACAGGCATTCCTTTTTCCCCCTGTGTACGGAAGCGTGAGCCATTTCGCGCGAGTCAATTTACTCCTGCGAACGGGACCAGAGCGATGGGGATGAGCTTGGAAAAAAAATATCCGGTAATTCATTGCTCGACTCGCCGCGCTTTGCCCCTCGACTTTTTAACAAATTTTTCACTCTGACCGAGTGACCACTTTGCGAGGGGCAATCTCCAGTCGGAAAAAATCGAAGACCGTCCACCACCCTTTGCTGTTGCTGCTACTATCGGCCACAGGGTGGAGGTCCTGAAGTTCTGCTGTTTGGCTTGTATACAGGGAGAACCTTTTTTTTTATTTGAATGGACCGATTCCGGATCTCACGTCGATAAGGCTCGCCACACTGGGCACGATAGATTGCGTCCTGGAATTGGCCATTGGGACACAGTCTATGCGGAAGTGTGCCTGGTATAACGCGATAGGCATTATTTCGACTTTCGATTAAGCTGGCATTTGTACTGGTGCGTTTGAGCTTGCGGACACGTATCCTTCCCCTTCTGATTTACCCGTCTGTTAGCCCTTTCGGTCATCGCCGTCCTCGCCTCTCTGACGCTGCGGGTCCTCGCGGGGGGTAGAGACTCTGGTCGCCCGGATAATATCCCGCGGCTGGATCGGCAGGATCGTTCGGATTATTCGAGCCGGCGGGCGAGCGGGTTAAATATTTGGCCATTACGTAAGTGCAATTTCCAGGATTAATCGACGCTTTGCTCGTGTACGATGTCATTCCTTTCAATTCTCTTCCCAAATTTCGAGCCCTTCTGGGCAGCCCTGCTTTTTTTTTTCAACCCCTCCCCCCCCCCCC